TAAAAATTTATGTATTTAGAGTTACTAGCACACCAGTGGGTAGAAGGCGTATAGATATCCTCTTACAGTCAAAAAGCCTTTTTATTTTAGATCAATTTTATTAAAAAATTAACAAAATAAATTGATTTCATTTCATAAATCATAATATGGCCGTGTGCGGGTTCCTAGTAAATTGATGGTAAATTAAGGGAAATAGTAATTTATGTCGGTATGGCAGCGAATGTTGGTATTAACAAAATTTCAAGAAGGGTAAATTAGATAAAAATGAGGTAAATTGAGAGTTACCATTATGAAAATTTTATAAGATGTTTAATAAGTAAATAATTTTGAAAACTTTTAACCAAAAATATTAATAAGTGCAATAAATAAATATATAAATAAGTACAGTGCAAAAAATCCCTAGGAAATTTCAATTAACTTTACCTCAATTTACTTGAACTCGCACACGGCCTATTTATGCTATATATAATTTAATAAATGTATCCCCTTTTGAATACCCATACTATATAAAAAATTACTTGTATGACCCTGTATATTATTATTTTATTTTAAGTTGTATTAATGGAATTGCTTGAATGCCTTAATGCGAATTATTTGATGGGAACCATAGCGTGTTCAATGACTGCCGCTTAAGCTTTCGACAACCATTATGAGCGTTTTAATAAAATTTTTAAACATATTTATGATAATGTATGCATACTGTGTACGCAGACAATATTACTACAAGTACGGCCTTTAATCGAATTTCTGGATTTTGTAAAGCCTTGTGCCGACTACTGCTTACGTCAACATTTCACTTGCACATTTTGTTTGTTCTTTTGGTCGGAACATAGTGCATTGCAAATGGCGTTATAAGTATTCCTGGCAAACGATTTCCCTCGTCCTTACTTTGTATTTGTCCTCCTTTTTGCGTTTTGTTCTATGTATTGTAAATTGTATAATGTTGTGAGCAACATATGACGGCACTCGACGGCACTCCTGCATTGTTGTTTGTTTGCTTTGCTTTGCTTTGCGCGATTACTTCCTTAGAAATTTTTTGTGTCTTTGAATTGTTTGAAATTTTGCTGTTGTTATATCTGTGCAAGATTTTTGTTGTTAATTTTATTTGAATCTTTTAGTTATGTGCTTTGCTTTGCTTTGCCTTGCACTTTATCTGAACAACTTTTTCTTGTCTGTTAGTCTGTTAGTGTTCCTTTTTTCAATTTGTACATAATGGATTATTGTCCTTTCTTTTGCAACTATGTCCTGAATACTGCATTGGTCGATTTTATCAACCAATCAAAAACTCTTTCAAAATGGCCGCGATTCGATTTCATTCATCCCTTTGTGATTAGTTTCCTTTGATGTGAATTTTCTTTACTTTATCTTTGTCTTCTATTAATTATATTTTAAATCAAATTTAATATAATATTCTTAACTGTAATATACACTAATAAAAACTTGTTTATTGCATAGAAATGTTAAATGAAAAGAAGTGTATATACATATGTATATACAAAAAAGTTGGACTCATAAAGTTAATAATTTCATTAACCGATAATATCGGTTTATATATAAATCATTTTACATCTATAAACCATTATTTGACTTTATTATTAGCATATATTTTCATTAATTAATACAAATATAAGTAAACTTTTATTAATTAATAATTAAATTAATTTAAAACAATATTATGTTGAGCCTAATTGAGTCAGTGTACTAGTGCACTTTTACGCTTTATTAACTGCAAGGTTTCTTCATAACCCCTATCTATGCATTGAATGGATTATTGTTCATCACTTCATCAGACTAAGCAATAATTGACCTCAGATCTGCATACCTCCCCGAGGAGCCTATAACCATTCTGATATTCGATAACGCGGTGTTGGTAAGCCTATCAGTTTTCGTAAATAATTTCAAGACTATCCTTTATGTATTTTTTAATCGGATCAATCTTGAGTTAGTCTTCTCAGAGCAATTTCTAGCTGGAGAATAGTAGTGTTTGAGGCCTTGCTGAACGCTACACACCCATATAGAACTGACGGTTTAATTATATAATTATATATCAGCAATATTTTAACGAAAAAGCATGAATTTTGTTTATTTATCATATTAGTTATAACTAGCTAAGACAGATTTACCACAGTCGAAGCGTTATTGAAAAAACTGACATTTGTGAAAAAAAAGCCATGTTAGAAATTATGGGAAATTCCTAGAAGTAGTTAGAAAGGAAACCTTTTTACTTAATTATTTAAAATATGCAGATAGAAATAAAAATTAATATAAGCCTACAATAGAACAAAGTGTTATAAGCTTAGAAAATCGTTAATATTACTAAGAATGTCAAATTTAGTTATTGAAAACTTATTTGTAAAATAATAAAAGGCTGGCTAAAAAGGCTAATTTTAGAAAATTTTACTTTACATAAGTACAGTTCCGTCATTTGATTAAGAAATCAAATAAATCTTTAAATGCAATTATCGTAAAACCACTCTAAAAAACTACTCTACTATTTAAATTATATGAAAAACTAAAGCACATGGCTTTCACCCATGATGTTTTATTGCGTTCTTCTAATCACAGTGAAATGCAAAGTATACTTATCTCACTAACGATCGTCTCTTCGAAAGCTGGTCTTAAAATTAATACATCAAAATCTAGGCGTATCTGCAGTCAAAATTTATCTGCCTTTAACGTTTGTAGTTGTGATATTGATGATGTTAACGATTTTCAGTAACTGTAAAGTAGGTTACCCCTGAGAGTGGCACTCTGTTAGATGTATCTAATCGCCTGCAAAAAGCGAAGCGAGTTTTGCCTCATTAGCTAGAGCTTAGAGAGACATCAAAATCACCCTGGCAACTGAATTGGAATTTTTCAACGCCTGTTTTGTAAGGATTGGCTTTTTGTATAGCTGTTGAAACATGGCATATTACAAAAAACATCTTTAAGAAAATGCAAGCATTTTTAAACCGATGTTTGCAGCGCATTTTGTCACGTACAATCACTAATGCCAGACTTTTGAAGATTACCAAGCAAATTGGTATAATAAAGGATATCAGAAAAAGAAAATATGAATGACTTGGTTATACTCTAAGAAAAAATACGCGCAGTATAACTCCTTCAGCCGGGCTGGATAGAATGGAACTCAGTTGAATGAAGAAGAGATCGTATTCACAAGAACATCCAAATCATTTGATGAGCTTAGATACATGGCACGGAATAGAGACAACTGGAAACTTTTTGTAAAAAGACTAAGCTCTTAGATATGCAATCAAATTCTAATTACTATTAATTAATAATACTCTTAAGAGTAAGTAAGATTGTTAGTTTTTAAAACAAGAGTTTTTAATATTATTAAGTATAAAAATCTTTATTCACCAATTTGTAAAGAAAATTTTTTACCGAAGTAATTGAAGAAGAATTTATCGAAGAAACTTATGTTGGATTAAATTAAGTTTTGATACATGTCCACACATTTAAATATTTTTTTTTATTAAATATCAATATGCATAATTCCAAATATAACGTACTTGTGTTTAGAGAATAAATACCTTCTGCTCAAAAAGGTACTCGATTTTTTAAATAAAACACACAAATTTAAATTTTATTACAAATTTATTTTATCTCCTTCAAAATATGCTCCTTCTGAAGCGATACACATATGCCAACGCTTAACCCAATCTTCCATACATTTTTCGTAGGCCCGTGAAGGTATGGCTGTTAGTTCCTTCAGCGAATTCTCTTTTACCGATTCAATTAAATCAAAACGCTTACCACGAAGGGGCAATTTGAGTTTCGGGAACAGGAAAAAGTCGCACAGATCCAGATCTGGCGAATATGGTGCCTGAACGATGACAGTGGCGCCGTGTTTGGTAAAAAATCGCGTACAATAAGAATTTTCCATAGTAAAAATCACTAAATGCAATTGAGGTAGTCTCACATTAACAGCTGCTGTAAACAAACTAATTGACAGATGGCGCTCAAATTTGTAGCATATGTCAAGAAAGGGTGTACCAACATAACAAAAAAAAAATTTGAAAATGGTCTATTACTTAAGGAGTAGTTAACAAACAATCCTTTACTCTCACCCTACTTTGTTTTTAGTAGTATCAGTATATACTATCAGCATATGTTGGACCCGTCACTTTCGCATAGATATTTAGATATAACGTTATGGTTATTCAATTTTTCATTTGTATGTTTAGCTATACAAGCTAATCGGGGTATACGTTATAGGTATGCATATTTTGAGTTGAAGATACAATAATAAATTAAGAATACATTGGTGTCAAAAACCTACAAGCACTGGTTGATATATTAATTTTAACCATCAACCTATTTGTCATATAATTCGAAACTCGGCTTTACATTTGATTAGAGGAATATTCTATATCAGCGATTCAATTTCGCACCATGATAACGAGAAACTTCTCATCGATATTTATTTGAAAACTTTGTTTTTAAAATAGATTGATACCATATATGTGTGAGCATTTATTTTTACAAATATCTTTCTCTCCTTTGTACCATATTTATAGTACTCTTTATGTGTGTAATATTCTTATTTATCCTTACACAACTATGTATTGGATTTATTCACAGTTACAGAGCTAATCTGAATAGCAGCTTCTTGAATTTCTTACGCAATAGTTCTACTTTGGACTCAACCCAAAATGGTCGGTTGATAATTTTGTTCTAACAAGAAATGTATACATTGTAATCTTTTAATATTTTGTATTCACACATTTCAAATTGAGTAACATTCCCAATTTTATCTAGTTGCATATTTATTCTACTCATTTTAGTTTTGATATCAACAGAGTACTCAATATGTTGCTGATATTACCAATGTATATTAACTACGTAAAGTCTATGATTTAAAGCAACAGTTAATTCTGACATAGATTTAATATAAGACTAAATTCATTACACTCATTTAGAATTAAACGAATTAAATTAAATTATATATATATACTTATATATCATAAATATTAATAATATTTTTTTTTCTTTTTCAGGCCTTGTCTAATTGCCTTCCAAAACTTTACAAAATATATATTTAATAAAATATCTTCCAAGTCCCACATATTTTAAATATAACGGACATAAACATTAGTGATTTGAATGTAAATAAATTTTTTCATTTTTTATAATGTAATTAAAAAGTAAGCAACACCAACACACAACGATTAATAAAAGAAAAAGATATTATATTTTAAATAGCAATTCAGCCGTTGAGAACTGGTAATAGTGGTAAGATTAGAATTCCTGAAAGAACTTTAATAAAACACGTTACCTTATAGTTTTCGAAAAAATTTATTGATATTTGGGGCATGAGCCACTCTTTGGGATTTCGAAAACATGATGATAATGAGTGCAGCGGACCACGACCACCAGTACCAGGAGAAGAAAGCCGTACTAAGAAGGTTTGTATATTACATTATATAAAAACAAATTTTTCTCTTACAAATAAAAATAACATTTCCCTGAAGATGACTGAAGGGGTGACTGAATGTTCTCGAAATACGCCACCATCATATTTGAACTGGGCACGTACGCTTAATCATCTCCTTGAAGATCGTGATGGTGTCGAATTATTTAAAAAATATGTTGAAGAGGAAGATCCCGCTTACAATGATCATTTAAATTTTTACTTTGCCTGTGAAGGTCTTAAACAACAGACTGACCCAGAAAAAATCAAACAAATTATTGGTGCTATTTACAGGTTAGTAAATAATTGTAATTCTTTGGGTGTATTTGTAATCAATTCATCAAATATAATAGATTTTTGCGGAAAAGTAAATTGTCAATTTCGGATGATTTACGACGCACTATAAAGGCTGGTCTTAAGAATGAAATCACACTCAATCCAAATATATATGATTCCATGCAGCAGCATGTGGAAACCACGATACGAGAAAATATATACCCTGCATTTTTATGCTCCGACATGTACATATTATATATACAACAAATGTCTGCTGTACATGAAAGATTTATCAGTGGACCAAATGGATCTGGAAGTGGCAGTAGTAGTGGTGCAAGTTGTGGCAGTAATGTCAGTAATATAGCAGCAACAAGTGGCGCTTGTTCGTTACCTATATCTAATACTTCGAAAACTGCTTCAACGACAGCAGGTCCATTTCTTAATTTTGCAATAAGTGCAAGTAATGCCTTACCTTCAACGGGGTTATGTAGCGCAAGTGGAAGTGTTTACGGTCCTTCAACTTCAGCAAGTTCAAGTGGTTCTGTTAGCGCTACTGATACCTTACCTCGGAGTTCTACTTTACCAACATTACATGAAGACTCAGAATTATCACTTTATGACGACTTCGAAAAGCTTCGTGCTGAAGGCCGAACTTCAGCTGATATCCCTATACGTCTAACGCACGATCTTTTATTAGCTACTCAAAAAAGAAGACTGGAAATCCGGCCACCAGGGTAATTTGTTTGTTAATATATCCGTTGTGTCTATATATCCATTAAACTTCAATATATATCGCATTATATATTATATATACTAAATAAAATTGTAAATAAGTAACAAAATGTTATTATTATAAAATATATGTAGTATGCTAAAATATTTTAAATACCCTTATAGCACAAATACTTTAATATATATTATTTTCTGATTATTTTCACAAAACGTTATTATTATTATAAATGAATATTCAATTTATTTTATTCAGTTTTAGCAAATACATACATTGTACATATAATTTTTTTATGTAAAAATTACTATATTTTAGTTTTTTAATTTAAGTCTTTATATTTATTTAAATATTTGTGTTTTACTTATCTATATTTTTTTTTATTTATTTTAATGTATTTTTATGACTTTGGCAAAATTGCATGGGTCTTTCCTAAATCTACAATTCCTTTTTGCATGCGAGTAGTGCTCATGGTTATGTATACACAGCAAACACAAACAGCTCGTACATGCCGAATTCTCGAGTTGATTCGGAAAGAGCAAGTATTAGTTCGGGAGGCCGAACTGATTCTGATACGATGTCACTTTCTAGTTGTTCGATGTAAGTATAGCACATGCATCCATCCACCCATTCATCTATCTATCTACTATAAATATTCAATTATTAACTTATTTTATTTTTCTAATTATTTTTTTTTAAATTTATATTTTTAAGAGATGGGAGACCATACATACAAAGGAGACATGGATCTACTGAAAGTAAAGCAATTCGTCAAAGTGCAATAACCAATAAAGAAACAAATACATTTCAAGTTAGAATAAATGTTTTTTGTGTTTTTTCATAATTATAAATATTTTATTTCATATTTGCAGGTAATCCCTCGCACACAACGACTTCATTCAAATGAACATCGCCCTTTAACAGAATCAGAATTAATTTCACTACTAATTCCCAAATTAGAAGAAGTTAAACGCATGCAAGATTTAGAAGAACGGTCTCGTTCAGAGGTAACCGAACTAAAGTGTAACAAATCAAACAATCCATTTTAATAATAATTAATTTATATAGCGCTTTTCGGAAAAAAATATGCCTACCAATGAGAGACTTGCCAATGATCGTGCATTTGCGGAAGCTATTCGCGAAAAATTTTCTTTGGATGAAGATAATGATCAAGACATTTTAGATCAGCACGTATCCCGTGTTTGGAAAGATCAAACACCTCACCGTTCTCCTGGTACGATGTCACCTTGCCCGCCTATACCTTCAAGAAGACGTACTGTTACGCAAGATTCAGGAATGCTTAGTGATGGTATAAAAATCAAATAACAAATTATATGTTTGATAACATTAATTTATACATTTATACAATATACATTTTAAGGTGGGCATTCCATGAAGCACTCTAAGTCTATGCCAGACCACAGTTCCTCGTCAAGGAAGCTTACAAATAAATGGCCTTCCATGAACACAGATAGTGGAATTAGTTTGTTTTCATCTGATACCCTTATGAAGTACAAAGATATAAGGTAATAAAATTCTTAAAGTTGCACAATTTACTGTAAGAAAAATAAAATAAAATTATCTTTTTAGAGTATGTAAAATACTATATTAAATTTTATTTACAAAGTCAATTAAAACTGAAGAAAATATTTTACTAATGGAAGGGTTTTCGTATAGTAGTATTTGCTTTTATTTATTATAAGTGGCTTTCGGATATATTTGTTGGCTTTATAAACATATTTACAACATATTTGTTCTTCTGCACGTGCCATACCAGGTTTAAAATTTTGAACCTAGCCAAAGCTACACGAAAATTTCATTGTTCAAATTGTTTTTCTGATTTCTCAGAAGAAGAATATATTATAATTTTTAAGCTTATAAAACTCTTATTTAATTTTTGTAGCTCGCGTTCTGGTTCAAGTACAACCTCTAAACTTGAAGAGGCAAAAAGAAGACTGGAAGATGAGACTCGAAGATCTCGTCGATATACTCAACAACATCTGCCTGCTCCAATGCACCAATCTACATTTAGCAGTAGTAGCAGCGGCAGCAGTAGTTTACATCAACTGCCACCACCTCCACCACAACCTGCGAAACCCCAAGAAACGACCACTGTAGTTTTTTCTTTTTGTGATGAAGAATATCCATATAGGACAAAAATACCTGGCACTCAACCAACATTAAAGCAATTTAAGGAGTATTTGCCAAAAAAAGGAGGCCCTTATAGGTAAGAAAAAAAAACCAGTAATAATGCTCATGATGTTTTTTATAATACTAAAAATTTTTATTGCAGATTTTTTTTTAAAACTCACTGTGAAGACCCAGATAGTCCGGTAATACAAGAAGAAATCGTTAATGACTTAGATATTCTTCCCTTATTTGAGGGCAAAGTAATGGGACTTGTTAAACTTTCGGAATAGTATTAAATTTAAAATGTATAACTGTGAAAATTTAACGAAAAATTTTAACATGATTTTAACATCACTTGTGGCGGATTAAATTCAATTTATTATATTTTCATATTTAAGATAACTTTTGTTTTTTTTATTCTTCGCAGTCTATAATTATATTATATAGTAAATATAATGTTAATTAATTTATATTATTAATTGCTAAAATTATTTTGTTTAGATTAGGTATGTAAAACTTATGTTTTTATAAAAAAATTGTTTGAATAATTAAATATGAGTACACAGAGTTAAGTGTCCTCTTGTTACAAAAATTAATCATTCGATTTTATTTTCTTGGTTTAACAGACTGCCTGTATAATAATTAGATAAAATATTCTCAATTTTATCTTTGGATATATGATTGAATTAGGTAACTTTAATTTAAAAAGGAAAATCAAAACACATTTATTTAATAAATATAAAAAAGATGTCAATTTATTTTATTTACAATTAAAGCAATTATATTTATATTGATTGCACATTTTTATGTAATTAAATAGATTAGAAGTTATTAAATATAATATTAATATTTTATACATCAAATATAACATAACGGATACGTCTTAAGAGTTAGTGACTATTAAGTTGCACATGTGAACAATTATATATATAAATATATAAGAATATATGCTGCATTATTTAATTTATTTATATAAACATTTTAAAATGATATTTTTTTAAGTAAACGGCCATCTTAAATATTATAGAAAAAACTTTGTCGAACAATATACAATTTATTTAAAAAATATTAAAATCGAAATAAAAAATACTGAAATAAAATATACTTAGCTTAAAGAAATAGTACTTCTTTCAGTTTTATCTTTCAATATTATTTTATTATACATATGTATGACAAAAAACTACTCGTTCAAAATCTTATTAGGCTATATCAAAGAATATAGAATATTTTAGATCTTTCTATTGAAATAATTTAAAAGAATATAGAATATTTTAGATGTTTCTACTGAAGTATAGAAAACATTCCATAAGAAGAAAAGTTCAACTATACAAATAGGTACTCTTATTCAGATTAAAGATTTTTTAAGTTTTATTAATAGAAGTCCTTATAATATATATGTATTTTTTTGTTTTATGTAATTAACGCTGCAATTCAAACCTTTTGTTTTTCAGATAATTTATAAATTTTTTTTTAGTTCGTGCGTTTCAATTAATTTATTAGATATTTGTTTAATTAAGATACAGAATATAAAATATATATATCGATATATATTAATATATATTAGTCAACTTTGTTTTATAATGGAAAATTTGCGGCTACGTAATTTAAGTTTCAGATGAACTACTAACAACAGAACTATAATATGTAAATTCTTTTCAATTAGGTATAATTCAATTACATTTAACATATATTTTATCTTTGAATTAACGGAACGGACTGATACAATCGTCTGCCGGATTCTATTTAACTAACCTACTGAACTCATTTTACATAATAAAATAAATAAATTGACTCTCAAAATATGTGGCAAAGCACTAAGAACTAATAAGTACAGCAAGACCCCGATTTGCGTAGTTAATTGGGACCAACAGAATGCGACGTAAATCGTAAGAATGCAAATCAAATCACATTTCTCCATATATTTAATTTCCAATAATATTTTAGTTTTTAACCACTTGTTGGTTGAGAATTACCTTTTAACTCATTGAATATCGACAGAGCCTTATTCTGAATTCGCAATTTGGCTCAATGGCATTCTTCTTTGACTCTGATTTTCATTTTTATACTTTATAAAACAGGAGTTTACCTTTCCACTTCACCACACAAATGTAAACTAGCACCTTTTAATTAAAAGCTTAATACATGTAAGTTCCGTTTAAAAAAATGTAATCTACAACAAATACAAAGGTAATGTACGCATGTACTAAAAATTGACGCAATTCGAAGCCAAAACTTATTTGTTTTTGCGACGCAATTCAAATCAACGCAAATTGGGGTATTAGTGTATAATATAAAAACAGGTACTTGGAATCGAAAATGCAACATAAGGATTAGGAAGTTTAATCAGAATAAAATTTATGTTAATGGCCCGGGAAAACAGTTATCATTTATTGTGCCCATAAATTTGTTTATTAACTATTTCGAATTATCTTTCTATAAGATTAGATATTTGCGTTAAAATAAAATTTGTTTTTATGCACACTATGCCAAGAATCCATAAAATCCCAGAGATTACACAAAAAAAAATTTGTTTTATTAATATCCAACGTATTTATAAATATAATAAAATACTATTCTTAACATATAACATTAAATACATATTCAAAATAAGATATATGATTATAATTGTTAACTTAAATAATTCAAATGAATGACTTAATTATTTTATACCCTAAAATTATAATTACATTCTTCAGTACAAATAGGAACCAAAAACTGTACAAACGCAGAACATGTTCGGACTTGAGAAAACATCTGACACTTGAGAATCGGCGTTAGCATCCCAGCAGCACATACCGCTGTAATTAAGACCAGCACCCGTCTGCTGACCCAAGAATACTTGAGCAACGTATTTATATCGCATCATATTAACATTTTCATGTATGTTAGCAATAATAGTATCTGATATATCTTGTACCAATCTTCTCGCTTCATCCGCAACATAAATTTTACCTAAAACAAAATAAAATAAAAACGTTTTAAATAAAATAAGAACATTATTAACCTTGCAACTTTTCATTCATAACTTCTTGAATAATTGATTTTATTTCCGAAGTCTTAAAGCAATCAGCCAAAACAGGCCCCATCTTATAATTCCAAGCATCAGTGGATTCCATGTCAATTTATTTTATTTATAAATATTAATGTTTTGTCTTTGTTTGTGTGTACTATTTATTGAAACAATCTTCCGAACTAAAAATTTTAATTTTTAAAAAATAAACAAATTTGTTAGTTGTATATTGAATAGAAACCGATTTTACTTTGTTTGTTCAATTTTATTATGACAATTGATTCAAAATTGTCAAACAGTTTGTTTATGTTCCTTGATCACATAAATAAAGCGGCATACACACGAACATACACTTTCAAACATTTATGCTACATTACTTTCCAAGTGGATTTTTATTTCTCATCACTCATGAAAAATGATATATTGTAAAGTGAAAAACATTACTATTTTAATAATATTAAAAACATTTTTCAATTGTAAATAAATTTTTTTAGTTATTTCTGTATTAGACTCTTTTTTCTGTTCTTTATTCTCTTTGAGTAAACTGGAAAAAACTTATGACCTGCATACAACGTCGTGCAGTTGAACCCGCTTAAGCTGCATACCTTTATTCCATTTTAATTCTATATTCATATATTCCTTTTATATAACATTTTCACTCATATTACGACCAGAAACTACAGACTTTTGTTGTAACATTTTTAAAAATAAAATTTGATCAAAAATATGGTAAAACTTTGAGATGCAAAAAAAAAATTGTGTGTTATCCATTGTAACAAATAAGGGTTTGTATTTTTTTCCATTCGATTAGAAACCAAAAAGGTAAAATCAATTCAAACAATAAAATACACAGATAACATAATTAATACAATAATTTAATTCGGAAGCATCATAACAAATAAAAGCGGATAAGAGAAAGCTGTTATAACAAGAATCAAACAAGAGATGATATCAATTAGCTTAATAATATATGGAACTGCTGCCATATATCAGGGTTCAGAAAAACACTGTGCTGTGCACAAAAATGCAAAACACCACGCACAAATGTTGTGCGATTCTAAATAAAATTTCACACCACAAATGTGGTGTGCGAAAATTTTTGTGCACATCTTTAGTGCCACATCTTGTGTGCACAAACAAAACGCACATTTCACACGAATGTGGTGGAGTGAAATAAAACTCGCACACGCATTCGGTGTTTGTGCCGAAGTTATTTCGCACAGCACATTGTGTGTGCGGCAGCCAGCTTGCTCTCGCACACAACGTGTGCAGAAAAGAATACGAGGAGCACATTTTGTGTGCAGACTCGAAAATAAAAATGCACCCAAATGTGCGGAGACGAAATGTCTACTGCACATTTGTGTGAAATGATGATTTAAAAGCGCACAATATTATGACAAATATCGCAGCAAAATAGTACGTAAAACTGATTTGTATTAATTTTGGTCTTAATACGAAATATTTTATTGAAGAAATGATTTTGTATTTATATTTTAATTTTGAATTTAATATTAGATTTACATTTATTGCTTATATTACTTATTATTTTAAGGTTTATTAATTTAAAACATGGGAATAAAGTTAATTTCACAATGTACTTGAAAATTTTGTTATATTAAATAGGTACATGAATTTAATAGAGAAAGAGTATTTGTTTCGAAATGTTATAAGTAAAGAGGATCGGTTCTACGGATCGTACTTTGAAAAAATTAAATATATCAATTTTGGACTACTTCATAAAATTTTATTTAATAGTAAGTTGTACACTAAGATTCGTTAGTAAGGTTATAAAAAGCAAATTAAATATTTTTTACAACAACATAAATTAATTTTGTTATTAGATTTCACTTAATTTTTTATCTTTAATTACAGCTTAAATTTAACGAAGTTATTGAAATAATATGGCATATATCCACTCCTACAAAACTTCGCGCATTTAAACATAAGGAATGTTATATTTATTGCAAACAAAACATCATTGCAATCCAGTAAAACACTCTAAAAAACTAATGACGTTATGGAAACTTGCTCAAATGATGGTCGCAGAAAATATCCAAATTCGATCTGTGCGTTTATGCAAGCCAAATAAGAGTTACAGGAGAATATACATATAAAAATACGGCAGGATAGAGCACAGTTTTAAAAAGTCAAGTAGCAATAAACAATGCCTGATAAACAATGAAGTAAAGAAAACTGAAGTAAATATAAGATAAATTTTCTCTATGTTAGAACAGTGATTTTAAATTAGTGTAGAACAGGGATGCCAGTTACTGTGGATAGCGGCGTTATTCTGATTAAAGACGTAACTTAAATGTCAGTATCAGTCCTGAGTGTTGCTTACGAGACTTTAAACTTCCGTTCGTTTGCAGAACGTGTTTATAAATCGATTTTTTTTTTAAATGTTCGTCACAGCTATTTATATAAAGTGTATTCAGTGTTTTATCATGCCATAAAATAGTATGGTATGATGCATTTTTTATTTATTTTTTTTTTTTTGCTCAAATATATTAATTGAGATCAGAAAAAAGAAGCTATATTAGTTTACATTTAGACAATTTACGAACAGCATCTAATTGCTGTTTTATAGCGCATAGTTCTGTCATATTTGACAGTTGAGTATGTTGGTACTGTAAACAGAATAACAGAGCAATTCTGGTAAATTGTTAAAAATCTTTAGTTAGAACGACCGGAAAACCGTTTCTAAAATTTTTGCTACTCTGACACAAAAATCTTTCAATAAAGTTTTATCATAAGTAATTCGTGGTAGAAAGCTGTTTTGTTTTATTTCTTTCGTGGTGAAATTAAAAACAGATGGAGAAACCTTGCTACTTCAATGAGATGGGTCCAAAGGTCAATTGAGCGGAAGTTTGTGTACGTTATAGAACAGGGGAATAAATGGACGGCGTCGTGGGGTGGGGTTGCAGTATGGGTACACATTAGGAATAGAGGTGTTAATGCGTGACAAGTACCTGCTTAGCACTCAGTTATATCTTGATCTCAATTGAACTAAGACAGTTCTTGCTGTACAAGGGAAACTTCGTTCTTCTAGCGAGATGTTAGGCAGAGATGTTGACAACCTTGTTGTCAACTGGATCTGTGTGGAGGGCTCTGAGTCCAAAGATCTAATCAATAACAGTTCTTACTTTAGGTCTGTAGAAAGGTCGAAAAAATCTTTCCGTCTTGAAACAGACCGTTGCCAGAATACGAAAGATCTTTCAAACGATCTTTCGCAAGATTTTTGAGTATAATGAGCTAAAAGATCGTTGCTAGTATTGTCCTGTAAATGTTGCTCCAACAATGATGGTGGTCTGTGAAAAAGATAGATTGTATTGGATATGCATACATATTTGTAGTGTTCGTACACGGAATTAAAAAAATATTTGATATTTTTCCTTTAGTTTCTAGTTTGTTTGTGTGTTGCTTATATTTTTTATGAAGTCGGGTCTCGCAACATATTTTTCATTATAGGTAAATGAAAGTAATTTAAAATGCAATGATATGCATTATTTGAATGCTTTTTGCAAAAAAATATATTATGTACTTTATGAAATGTAGATTATACATCTTCTAAACTTCGCACCTAACAATATAATATACAAATCAATTTAATGTAATAAAATGGTATTTATTTTATATAAAACTGTATAGCAAAATTATAATAATATTTAAAATAAACAAAAATATTAAATAAGTAAATGGTTATAAAATGTATACGAAATTAAAATCATTTTAAAGCTTTAAATAATTTTTTTGCAAATAATTTATTATTTTTTTTTATATAGGTGTAGTAAAACTACTATTTTTATTATAATCAATAGTCTAACTAATTGTTGCACTTAAGTTCGCATTAATGTTTGTGTTAAATAAGCAAAAATCGATATTTTATTATTACGAATTAAAATATAAATATTTAAATACAAATTCTTAGAATAAACAGTATTTAAAATACTATCACTTGTTTTGATTAATTTAAATTGTTTATTGACTAAAAGAAAACATAAAAATACCACTACATTCACACGCATGTAGAGTGAAATATCTTTTATTTTGTTTTTTAATCGTTTTCTTTGATATGTGTCCGACGCGGAGTATTTTATAAAAAATGAAGCTGGGTTTTGGTGATGCCACCTGTTAACATCTTTTGGTATTGCTTTTACATAAATATGGTATGTATTGCTAGTGAGATGCATAAGCTAAATTATGTATACGACAGTACATACATCGGTAAATTTATTTAAATCAGTTCATTAAGTATAATGTTTGTGATGAATATTTTATAAAATATCACAATATAAAATATTTATTTCCGAATTTCAAAAGAATTAATTCTTTTACTATTTGCGAAATCATTGAAACCGCTAGACACATGCTGGAAGCTTGATAAAAAATGTATAACTTGTTTAAATAGGTTCAATGCCACAACATATTAAGTAATTTAAACTCACGGAAATATTCTGGTTATTCAAAGTTGAGACACTTTTAAAAAGTAAGATTCAATAATATGACTAAAATTTTTTTAAATATACAATTTGTATATTTTTTTACATTTTAATTGGTTTCTTTTTTAAATTTTTTAAAATACTTAAATGTACTTTTTACCAAGCAATTTCTCTTATATAACAATTTCAAATTTCATATTTTTGTAAAATGTATTCCATTTTTTATTTTGTACTATGCGCCGTACATGAAACTATATTTCCACCAATATTTCCAAGTATATAACCTCTTCTTTTAATTATTGTGTAAAAAGTAAAAGAAAGTATAAAAACAAAGTTTTCCATTATGTACATACTGCCAAAAAAAGTTTGTATTATAAATTGAAGAGCTTAGCAACAGACCGCAAAGTGAAATAATTATTAGTGAGAATTCAAGCGTAGCTCAATAACTCAGTTATTAGTGAAGTCGTAAAAAAATAACAGTTTAAAATATTTTTCTGAATTGTTTTTAATTAAATTTGAAAAATTAAATATGAAAGCAACTTATTTGTTTGGTCTTACAAATTTAAATCAAGAATAAAATTACAATCAAAACTGTCGTGTGAATCTAGTATAAAGACAAAAAAATTAAAAATGAATAATAAAAATCAAATTTATTTAATTTTTAATTTTAATATGATAATTCTTTATTTATTATATTATTATATTTAATTATAATTTAAATTTTTTGCCATACCATAAAAAATAGGAATAATTTTATGTTTTTGTGAATAATGAAAACAAATATTCGTAATTTATTATTATTCTATCGAGCACGTCTGATTATCTATTGCCATGACCGCTTTTGTGTCTATACCGCTTAAAATCGAGCAACACTGGTTTAGCGTGGAAGCATTCTCAGCACTTGGCAGCCCTATTTTCATAGAAATATCATAGCATTGTAAATTAGTTTTGCTAACTATTTCATTCTGGAAAAGAGAAAAAATTTTGCGCTTAAATACAAAACTCGGAAAAAATAATTATATTTACACGTAAAACAAAAAAACTTTGTTGTTTTTATATATTTTATCATATTTGTGATTTATATGTGATTTGCAGGATATAATGTAAAGATTTTTTGCAAAAATCAATTACAATTACAATATCTTTTCTCGAAAAGGTGTATTTAATAATTGTATTATCTTTTCTGCTTTGTTAAAACGTTCGCTGCTGTACTTTTATTTAAAATAGTTAATTTTACAAAGTGCGTAATGGCGATTTAGTCGAAAATTATTTTATCTGACTTAAAGGTAATTATTTAACTTTTCTTTGCATAAATATGTAAACAAAAATGTTTATCGCACAGGTTCTAAAAATAATGTCGAGTTCAGTTTTCATTGAAAAGTGTACTGATTCGAAGTCTGGACTTAGCGCTGACTCTAAGCTATCTGACTCAAATTTAGTAATTGTATATGGAAAAAATGGAATTAATATCGATTCCGATGGAGTTGGAAAACTTATGGGTAACAATAAAATTATAAAATATATTAAAAATTACATTATATAAATTATAATTTAATAAAAGTAATTTGAAATTAGCTTTCTATGGAATACATGTTGGTTTCAATATTTGTTATTTTATGAATGTAACTATCAAATATACTAGAGTTGTTTCAGTTTATACAAAATTAAATTAAATTTTATACATATGATTAATTTCTAAAGTTTTCAAAACAATAATTTATTTTTAGAGGATAAAGCCTTGTCTTCGATTAGCGTTGTTCGTATTACATCACCAACGCCAAGCATGCAAGATGAAGAAACTGAAAGTTACAAACAAACGCTTCGTAAAGAAAAAGTTGGGTCAGATAACGAATCGGAGGATAGTTCCAAAAAAATTTCAGACCAGGATAAACAAGATGTTGAGTCTGATTACAGAAATTATTCAGATAACGACAACAAAACAAGTGATGAAAAAGAAAAAACGGTAGTAGAAAGTGTTAGGAAGAAAAAGAAAATTAGATCAAATAATAAAGCATGCTCCAACAAGTTACAGACTCAGTCTAAGTACAAAGTTAAGGAAAATGTACGACCAGAAATAGTAGGATTAGTTCTAGAAAATTATTTCACATCACAAGCTGCAACCGAAATGGGAAAAGAAGCATTAAGTAAGCGACAGTGTTTAAATAATATGATATATATTATTAATATAATTTTTTTGCAGAAACTGCTGGTGTACCTAGTTATAAAAAGTCTGCCAACCATGAATTTCAACTTTTTGTTATACGAAATGATCATTGCTATACACCATTCACTTCACCAACTCAAATGAGAGAAAAGTTAGAATCAGCAAGACTTGAATCAGAAAAACAACATACAAATCGTAAATTTTATTTGCATGGTAATGTTCTGAAAAAGAAACCCATTCAAGTTTTAAACGTAGAACCAAAAAAAAATGTGACTAAAGTAATAAAAACTAACGAAGTTAAACAAAATAGTTCAGAAGAAATCAATGAAGACAGTAATATTCAAATCTCGATTGAAGAAAAGGATGAAGATAGTAAAAGTATTGAGTCTGTTGAATCGGAGAATGATAGGGTTAGTGACGTAGACTTTGACGTACGTAATCGTAAAAGTCGAATAAGAAAAATTTCTTTGTTGAAGAAAATTAAAACGCAAAAATATTTAAATAAACGTCGGTTACCAAATCAAGAAAAGGTTAATAATGATACCGATCAGAAAAGTTTGTTAAAATTTCAAACGAAAGTAATCAAAACTGCAAATAACGATCAATCCAATTCTATGACATCGCTAACTGTAGCTTCAAAACAAATAAGTACCTCTTCTGAGTCTATTCCAAAATCTCAAAAAGTAATATCTCAAACACAAAAACAAAAGAACATTCTTACGTCCCCTGTTTCTGCAAAACAAAACGAAAACAAAATACCAATTCAACAAGCGACTATAGCAGCTGTGGCAAGAAAGGGTCCCATACTTCAAGTTGGAACACCTACATCGTCACGAACATTTAGTTCACATTCGAATCATGGTGTAAAAGAAATTTTTTTAAATAAGGTAACTATTATTTAGCATACGTTTTTTTTACCAATATATTTTTAATATATCATGTAATTAAAATTAGGTTATGGCAAGCCCAAAGGGTGGATTTACTGATATAAGTGCTTTACTAACGCAGTCGGAAAATGTAGAAACTGTATTAAATACACCTACAAGCTCCCGAACACCGAAACAGTCTTTATCTACACCGAAAGGATTTATGCCGCTTGGAATCGAAACAGCGGCAAGAAATCAGTTACCTGCACAAATATCTATTCAAACGCACCAAAGTTCTTCAGAGCTAGCAGCCGAACATGAGAAGCAGTTAGATCTAATTGATTCTATAGTAAAGCATGAAATGCAAAAACCCGTAGAAATTCAAAATATACAACCCGCTTGTATTGAAAATATTCCTGAACTAGTAAAAATGTTGGAAAGTACAGAAAAGGCTTTAGAAGTTAACACTCAGGAATTAAACAATTTAAATTCTAACCCAAATATCGGCAACATAAACATAACAAACACATCTATATTAGACGCACCAGTGGAGGATATTCCGGAAGACCTTTTGCAAGATGTTGTTAAACTTATAGAAGATGATAAGACTTTAAAGGAAGCAGTTGATAAACAAGTTTTTGGCCATAGCAATAACAATCCTGTAGATAGTATTGTTTCAACTATGTCTTCTACACCACCACCATTAACTCCTATATTACATAAAAATGTGAAACTAAATTGCAACCTTATGCAAATGCATCGTTCAACAAATATAGCAGAGTGTACCGTAAGTTTTCATACTATAAAATTATAATTTTTATAGCCTATGAATACGCTTTATTCAATTTTATGAGTAAAGGGCACAAATATATATAAAATATATATTATAAATTTATAATATATATATAAGCGGTTTCCGACAATTTTTAAACCACATATATTTCTTATTAGTTTGTTGAAACAAGTCGACTTAGTATTCCTGCTTGTCTTACTATCAGTGATTGAAAAGTGCATAAGCAGTTTTTAAATCTATACAGATCAACTCTAAATGGATATTTGACTGTAAAACTCATACAAAATAACTAATGTTTCGCTTATATTTATAAATATATGCATATTGGATGTAACATGACACCACAAATTTTGTGATATATCCTAAAAAGCTTTAAAAGAATAAATAATAGCTGATTTGTACAGCAAAAGTATTTTTGTAAAGTATTGCAACTGTACCTAATCTACACCCAACCTCTATTGTATTTTCAGTAATATTTTTACTGTCACAATATTATTTTTGGTATAAAATTGTGTTATATTAATAGAAATTATTATATCAACTAAATAAAAAACTGTTGCCTTTATTACTTGCATGGTTATGTCTACTTTTTCACGTCACTACCTGTGACGCCAGAAATATTTAAATTTCTGCGAGAACGTTAATTCACTTTTTAATTATTTATTTTTAGAAGCCACTGGAACATACTGAACCAAGAAGTATTATTGAAATGACAATATCTAATAAAAGTGGTGTTGTCACATCAGCAATCTTGCCTATACAAAGTACAATAGAAGAGAAAATTACACCAACTGTTCGTAAAGAGCCAATAAAGATTATACGTGGCAATGGTCGTGTCATAACACTTCCACCAATGGAAGCTCCTACTACTCGAGCTAAACTTCGGGCACAATACTATCCTGGCGAACAGACTAGTAATTTATCGCCCAAACCAAATAACTCAAAAGAATCGTTTCAAGAACCTACTACACCAACAATAATACAAAAAGTAATTGATAGTGTAACAACGGATACAAAAATGTCAACAGAAAAGAAAGGAACATCAAAAGAAAGTCCTTCTCCGAGTATAACTAATAAATCTGCAAAAAGAACATCTGGCAGAAGATCAACTTCGACTAAAATACAAGCTAAGAAAATTGACATCGTTTCAGATAACGATTCTGATAACGAGGACGATGATGACGATGACGATCCAAAGAAGTATGTTTTTAACTATATGTTATTAATAATAATTAAAAAGGACATATATGTCCCCCAATTTTCTAGAATTTCTTAAAAATTAGATGTTGATTTGTACTTCAGATTGGTTTTAATTATATCTCTATTTTTAGATTTCATTAAGTAAAACATTTTCTTTCTGGGTATATTTGTAGCTATTATTTTTTGCATATGGACTCTAGCGGGTCACTTGTCAGTTGGATATAATTTTGTTAGATACTAATATAAGTGTTTATTACATCGAAAAAACATATTCGTAATTAGAAATCTGAATATCAGTAAAGACTGTAAACCGAGCTATAGACAGTACCCGTTATAATGGATAGTAATAGGTATAAATAGGTTTTGACAACTCAAACACTATTTGTTTAGATAAAAACAATATACATTCACATTAAGAATTCACATTCAAGATATACATATGAAAAATATTCAATACAAATACAATAAGTAACGTTTGAAAAAAATGCTTTTTTGTTTTTGCTTTTTACTAATAGAAATCGATTCCAGCAATATACTTAAATAATTTCATACAGTTCATAGGCTATCGTAGAAGTCAGCAAAATTATATATATAATTTATTTACAATACTACTACTTCCCTAAGCATTCCTCATATGTTTCTAGATATATGTTCAAGAATAAAATGTGTTTAAATACCACGTATTTTTTCGAAATAACTCCGATGAGTAGTTTGAGGAAACTTTATATTAAACAAAAAAGTCAGATGTTTGGCTTACAATCGGTGTACAGCCCTACTGTATTTTCATTATTTAAAAACATTTAAGTGACATTAAAATTCAAAATATTTCAAATCATCTGAAAACTATAATTAAGTCTTATTAGTATCATCAATATAGTAACGTCAAAGCTATCACAATATGGTCACAGAAATAACCAACTTCCTGATATTTTGTATAAAACGAAAAGCATAAGTATATTTAAAAGACTATAAATTGTAATTTAAAAGAAATTTTAAATAAATGGGTTTAACTTCACTACAATGTATACTAATAGAGAATTATGGTAAATATAGTTAAAAGTCTTTCGAATGATTTTTACAAATCTGTCACAAAGGTTTAGGTTATACCGGTGATCCCTAGTGGATCCACTTAGGCCTTTTGGCCCATTGTGATGCCGTATATAAATACTAAAAATCTCAGGGTTTAAAACCACCTAGAACCTTTTGCGAAGCATAGAATGCTATTTAAAGCCCGATCCTGTAACTGGTCCAGGTCCTCAAGGAAGGGGGATCTGTCACAAAAGTCTTTCAGGAAAAGAATTGTCATTTGTATTTAAGTTTGTTTTAATTTTCGTTACTTCGAAAATGTTTTAAATGTTTTTTTGATATCTTAAACTTTTTATTTCGAATGTTGTGCTTGAGTATCTCTTCACATGTTTCGGCAAATTCGCCTTTGCCTTCATCAGGAGAATTCCTTATATTAGAACAACATTCGAAATAAAAAGTTTAAAATATCATTTGTAGTTCGTGATAAAAAGCTGTACATTTACTTTGATGGGGATACCAATAACTGTTATTAGTCGCTACTTTATCTAACTTAACAATTGGATTTGAATACGAATGTGATGGAAACCTGCTTATCTAGAGTACTTATATTTTCATCCATTAATAATAGTGATTATAAATATTCAACTCTTTCTATAATTCTAATAATAATACTTTTAACAATTTTAGAACCGGTATTCAAGAGAGAAGTTATACGATTTCGAGAAGATATTTGATTACAGAACTCTCTTTGAAACCCTTTGAGGTCTTAACAAAATATAATTATATTAGATATTGAACATCAGTACAATAAAAAATTTTTAGGCATATGTATGAAATTTTGTTTAAATGTCAATCTAGCATAAATGAAACAAATTACCACTTTTTTTAATTGTCCAAATTTTATTCAAGCGAAATCTATTGCACTTTTTTCTGTACTAATTTGTCCACCATAATTTGTCTACCATAGTAAGGATGCGTTAACGGTGAACAATTAAAATAAATACAGAAAATGAAAAAGGACAATAGATTCAAGGGAATTATTTAATTAAAGCTAAAGTTATTCAAGAACGCGGTATCATATTTACTTGCCTTACTACTGTCCTTCTCTCTTAGTGGAGCATAGAATATCATATACGCGACTTCTACTGCATTTTTCTGGTGTTCAATATCATTAAATTTCTGTCAACAATATAAGCTGCAAATTTTGATGATTTCTGTAAAGAATCTCAAGAATCTTACGACCTCCAACAGTTTCTCACTCTTTGAGTTATTGTAAAAAGTCTAAAAAGCTACATGTTCTTCGAGCAGAGCAACGTATGTTACAAAATACCATATACTGTTAGTTTTAAAATAAAATTGCAAAAATTAATAAATTAGATTAATTTTTTTCTTTACAATATTCATTTCAATAACAAATTTGAATTATTATAGACTTTGGTGTATTTGTCGTCAACCTCATAACAACCGTTTTATGATTTGTTGCGATGTGTGCGAAGATTGGTTTCATGGAACATGTGTAAGTATTACAAAAGCAATGGGTTTAGATATGGAACAAAAAGGTATTGACTGGACTTGTCCAAAATGTACACAGAAGAAAATAGATGATAAGGTAAGAAAAAATAAAATAAAATTACACCTAAAAAATAAAAATAAATATAAAATAATTAGCAAATGAAAATTACCGACATGTTGGTAAGAAAACCTATGATTAGTAACTCTGTAGAAGGAGAAGTTGATGTTGTACACGGTGAATTATCTAATACTGCTGCAGAGAATTTAGAAGTGAAAACGATTACAGTTTTAAATATTAAAAACGAAACCCCAGTAACTAAAAAACAGGTCGATGTTATAAATATTATTAATACAGGTATGCAATAATTTATAAAAAAAAAAAAAAAATTTTATAAAATTAAAATTTTTTAGATATTCCTCATTCAAAAACTCCAACAACTTTAACTCAGCAAAAAACTATTATTACGAAACCTATTGACGTTTTACACTACGCGAATACAAGTAATAAGACATCGCCACAGGTTCAACCAAAAATACACAAATATATATTATCTAAACCTGTAAATGTACAAAAAAAAGAAGCTCAAAATATATGCATAGTTTGCAATAGATTATCACGCATAAATACAAATTTCTGTAGCGACGACTGTATTCAAAAGCATGTAAAAAATTATTTAGATGCGAATATTACAGATCCTCAAGCACAACATTTAGCAGTTGAGAGAAAGAAAAAGGTGAAAGAGTTATTTGAAGATCAACTTGCGATGATTGACCGAAAATCAAAGGTCGAAAGGGTAAGTTCTCATTAATATTATATAGAAACATTGTATACTTACGTTTGTACTATAAAAAAAAAAAACAGCGGATAATAACCATATTGAAAACTAATTTTATTCCAATAACTTAACCCATATTATTGTTGAAAAAAAATAAAATGGGCACAGTTGTTAAATTTTTAAGAAATTATAATTTATTATGTAAAAACTTTACTTCAAGTTGAAACTATTATATTGCAGTTGCGGCAATATTATCCTCAATTCTGTATATGTGACATACACCTTAATAAGAAAAGCATGTTCACTGCATCTTCCTTCGGTCTCTTTTCCTTGTTTGACAGTGTTAACTCTACACTCCAGTTTTAAATCTGTGTTCGCTTACCTACCACAGTAGATGATGCAAAATATTGCATTTAGTCTCATATAACCATATAATATTGCGCCATTTATTTACTGATCAGTTGGCATACTACTAGACGAAAAAGAACAATTTTAGGCAGAAAAGTTTATTCTTTATTTTTAATTATTAATTGCCATTTTGCGATTAGTTGAAGATTTGCCATTCATGGAATATTGTTTTCTTTCTATTAAAAGTGATAAAAAGACACGGTCTCATATTGCTCTAGAGTTCGAGATACGAATTTTTGATGTTCATCCATGCATTTTCGCATATCACTTATTTTTTACAAGGTTGGTTTTCTACTATTTTGCTGATTTATTTCAATTTCCGAATATTTCTCACTAAAATCAATAATTTTTATATAATTATTTACAATTATTTATAAACCATAATTACTATAATATGAAAAAAAAAATAAAAACCATGAAAGAACCATAAAAGACAATCCCTTCAGAAAATGATCAAAAACTATGAGGCGACTTAAAATGTTTTTTCTGTGTAAACTGATATTCTAACAAGTTCCTTCAGAAAATGATCAAAAACTATGAGGCGACTTAAAATATTTTTTCTGTGTAAACTGATATTCTAACAAGTAATTTATTTTTTACATTGCTGTGTATATTTTATAAAGTTGTTAATTATTGAAGAAATTGATATAATAAACCTTACTAATTTTTACATAAACAAAAAATAAACGAAAAAAATCTAAACGATATGAAGAACAGTGCCTACTGTTTTGTTATTCAGCGTCTATACTGGCAGAGTCTTGATAAGATTTTTATTTTCGTTTCAAACTCGTATTTTCAAATTATGTCTGCGAAATAAATTTGTGTGATTAGTGAAAAGATAAAGTATAGTACATAAAATTTTTATGTAACGTACATACAAAGCCTTGCCAAACGCTAGCCTGTGTAGACACAATTTGGCGGTGGGTTAGAAAGAGCATTTTTAAGATATACCAAAATATCCTTATGGTTTGAAAACAAAGAATTAATATTGCTTTTATTTTTTAAAAACGGTATTAAACCTTTTTTTAAATCATATATCATTTAAAATTTCAATTTTTGATTTATTATTATTACTATTATTGTTAGGGGATGTGGCACTGCGACCGTCGGGTCTATTGTCTTTCTGAGTTTAGAATAGATCTCTAAGTCTTGTATAGTAGTATAGAACCTACTTTACAGAGTTTTATTGTCTCTTCCGTAAGAATATACATTCTTAGGAGCCTATTCCGTATATGCATTAGCGCAGGGTATTCTAACACCACATGTGTGGCCAACTTTTCATTCTCTTCACAGAATCTATAGTTTGCATCCGTAAGTATATCCAGTCTTGTAAGGTAGTGTTTTAGTTTACAGTGCCCTGTTAGGATTCCTGTGATAGTTCTAAGTTTTTCTTTTAATAGGTTCATACAATCTTGGTATCTCTTATTGTTATAGGTAAAATCTTATTACAGTAATCCTGTTTATTCTGGTTCTCCTTTATTTTTATGAACATTTTGATATAGTTTCTGTAAGAAATTATTTTTATAAGTATGTATTTATTCTACTTTCAATGCTTAGGTTCGTGTGTTTGATCGTAAAAATGGTCGAGTACTTGCTGGCAATAATGCACCGACAACGTTAAATATAAGAAAATGGCTTCAAGAAAATCCAACATATGAAATAGTGCTGCCGGGGAATTTTGAATCAACTGAAATGCAGGTATGTGCATTTTTTAAATAGATTTTTATTTTTTAAATAAATATTAATTTCAAATGTTTTTTATTAAAAAAAAAACAGAGAAATCGTTTTGAAACAAATGTGCACGCAACCAATTCATCAGCAAGTAAAATTAAAACACCAAATCCAATGTTAGTTAGACAGCTTAGTACTTCACCCGTTTTGGCTCTTAACACACATATTCAAATTCAAGAAGCAGAACATGCTTCTTCTTCATCTAAAATAAAAAAAAGTGTGGAACATAGTAAAATATCCCCAAAAAGTTCGACGACAACTAATAGTAAATCTACTTTAAATAAGTCAAAAGTTAGTAAAATTGTTAAAATGAAAGATGAAAAAACTAGAGAAAGACTTGTTAAGCGACGTAGTAGTGAAAGTAGTAATAAACTGAGTATGGATGATCCAGAACTTGTTCGCTTCAATGTTCGTAAAACACTTAAAGAACAATTATTACAACGCATGACAGAATTAAAAAAAAATAATGAACAAGATAATTTATTAATGACGCCAGAAGAAGTTGATGTATTTTTTACAAAAACAGAGGCAGAAATGTTTGATTGTTTTAAACATGAGATAAGTACGAAGTATAAATCGAAATATCGATCACTTATGTTTAATATAAGAGACCGCAAAAATTTAACACTTATCTCTAAAATATGTACCAAACAAATCGATCCTAAACAGTTTGTAAAAATGTCTGCCGATGAATTAGCAAGTCAAGAACTTGCCCAATGGCGTGAAAACGAAGTAAAACATCAGCTTGAAATGATAAAGAAATCGGAATTGGACTTACTGAAATGTAATAAAAATTATGTTTTAAAAACACATAAAGGTGAGGAGGTAATAGAAGGATCTCAGCTTCAGTGTGAAAATTTAGAAATCACAGATGTAGTTTCAATCTTAAAAGACTCAGCTGATGAAACACCAACATATAATTTATTAAAAACTCATACTACAGACGTAATCGAATCAAAATCATTAAATAATGCAGGTTCAACGACATCATCTGACAGAATAGGTGATTTACAAATAATTAATGACGACCGTAATAATTTTGGGGATTATGAAGGTAAATTTACGTCTGAAACAGGAGGTATTCAAAAATCAGATTCATCAAAAATATCGATCAAAGAAAAAAGCAAGATTCATATTCGAGACCGTGAACAGGGACATGATCGTAAACATCAGCATGATAGGTCAACTTCACTTGAGAAAAAATTTAAAAATAAAGATCATCATAAAAATAAAGCACATTCCAGAAAAAGAAGCCGTTCACGTTCTACAAGTGGTAGTCATAGTAGAGAAAAACGCCATAGAAGTTCGCATAAAAATGATAAACGTGAGAAAGAAGAACGACTCCGAGAGAAGGATATATTAAAATCGCATGAACGTAAAGAAGAGGTTTTGGAGAACCCAATGGATGGTATAAGCAATTCAAAACTAAACAACAAAATTCATAAAGAAAAACCTAAAAAACTCACCACGTCTAATTCATTAGAAGAATTTAATCTAATAGATAAAATAATTGAGTCTTCAAAAACTATAGAACAGGCAGCTAATATTAGTATTGTAAAAGAACCCGTACATAACGACTTATTTTCGGATAAACCACTCGTTGACGAAACTCAAATAAAGTCAAATAATCAAACATTTTCAGAAGTTATTGATATTGAAATTGATGATGAGTCTACGAGTACAACTATTTCTCCACCTCAAGACCCATATGTGCAGTACTCAGCAATAAAAACAAGCAGCAGAAACTCGCCTATTATGTGGGCAGGAAATATTAACATGATTGACGTAGCATCTTTTCAAATTATAATTCAACCTGTTGTTGGAAATGCAATAAATTTGGGAAAATTTTTACCCAAGGAGCTAGATGTTGTTGGGCGAATTGATCCAAATACTGTTTGGGATTATATATCTAAAATAAAAAAAAGTCCCAACAAGGAAATTGTAATAATACGTATACTTCCCACTTGCGAGTCAGAAACGTCAGCATACACTATATTATATCAATATCTTGAGAAAAGAAATCGCTTGGGCGTTATAAAAACAACAGCTCCACAAATAAAAGATTTTTACATAATTCCTCTAGAATGTGGAAAACAGTTGCCTGATATAATAAGACCTGTTGAAGATAATGATTTTTTTGCAGATTCTAAAAGACCGGATATGCTTATAGGTGTAATAATACGTATCATTGGTAAAAGAACAATTATTTCTAGCATTGATCAACATGCGCCAATGAAGGTAATTTAATTAATATTTTTTAAAATTTATATGATTTTTCATGTATTTATTTTAGCGTAAAATGCATGACTCAGATTCATTTACACCTCCCGGAAGTCCAAAACGTAAATTAAAACATAATACAAGTATAAAGAAATCTGATGACTATGATATAGATGCCATAATTAAAGCACCTATTATTGCAAAAGCTGCTTCACAAAAAAGTAAAATCACTTACACTCACTTACTTTTTATTAATAACTCACACACACGTGTAATTACTTTTAATTTTAGTATCAATTTTTTCAACCACTGCGAATAAAAATGATGATGAACCATATTCTCCTAGTGATGACGAACTTAATGTTAATGATTTAGAGCAGACAAGAAATGTATCATTTGATAGGAAAATGGAAGAATTAAATAGGCAAATTGCAAAACATCAAATAGAAATTGATGGCCTTTTAACAGGAAAATCAACGGTAAGTATTAAAAATAAAAAATTAATGTATTTCATTGAATATTTAAAATGTATGACTGTGAAAAATTTAATTTAGACACTCACTTTTATTTATAAAAATATATATTTAAAGTGTGCCATACAAAAAAAAAAAACTCCACGTGAATTAGCTTAATTGTTGTTGTTGTTGTTGTAATCCATGCAAAGAACTTGTTTTTTGGGTTTTTGATAACAGAGGTACCTAGACTGTACATATGACGAATCCTGTCAGTTTCAACGATCTCATCACATTTTTGGAATGAATTTACTAGTTATGATATTAAAAACGTGGTCAATTCTATATGGTTTAAATTTCTTTTTAATAAACTCGAAGGTTATCCGAATTTTATTACCTGACTTCATAAAAGTATTCTGATTCCAAGAAAAGCCGAATCTACTTCCCGGAGCCACTCGTCGAAGACGACTAAGTGCCGTTCAACATCCTCCAAATGGGTCACACAAGCAGATCCTGGCAGGTTACAACCAAACAACAACATAAAAATATTGTAATATTTAATTCTAATTTAATTCTTTAATTCTGAAATGTCAAAGTTTTAGCGTTCATGGTAACACTACCTTTGCAACTACAATGTTTAAGCACAAACATAAATAAATAAATTATATTATAATATTAATTATAATTTACAATTTAAATCTTTCATTTATAGCAATTTGCGGTTAGTCCTCATCCAGCATCGACACAACTTTTGGCAAATATCTCAATCCCATCGAATTTACCACAAATTTTAGCAAGCATTAAGAGTAAACCTGAAACACAACCAATTAACACTCAGAACACCCAAAAAATTCATCCTTTTAAAATATCAAATCAATTCAGTTCAGTGAATGTTAATGTTAATGTTAATGACGAATATGATCCAGCGGATGCCATTTCTCCAATTACATATCAAAACTGTAAGCATATATTCATATTTTTGTTGTTAACATATAATAAACTTATATTTGTAGTACAATATGTGGAGAAACCAACCAGCCGTTTGGCACAACTAAGTGAAGCTGAGCTTCTTAGAATGGTACCAGACGATATGATCGACAAAGCATCTATACCGTTACCATCAAAAGTAACAAGCAATCTAACATATGACGAACCACCACCACCGGGTGTATAAATATAGAAATATATTGCAAATATTATTTTTTTTATTTTTATTTTTAATTTTTCTTTTAATAAATTTTAAATGCTTTGATCAACATAGTTCATATTTCAACATATTTCATTGTAATATATTCATATTCTATTGTCTACTGTGAGCACATTTTTTTTATTATAAATATTTCCTTATTAGATAAGTTAACTCCTAAACTAGTTTAGTAAAAAGCAATGTACTATGTGTAAAAGTTAATTTGATTGTTTATGAATTTAGCTAAAATTAACAACTCTTACTTAAACTTAGCTGTGAATCATTTACAATTATTTTAATAAGTAACATATATTACTTGAGCGTATAATTAATATAAGAATGTTGTAAAAAATAAAAAAATTTTCGTACGCATTATAGAAACTGAATAAAATTTTAAACGTAACCCTTAAAAACAAAACTTTATTTCTAAGTACTTATTTTATTTAAATTAAATTTTATTAGTATAAAATTTTAACATCGAACAGAATATAGTGTTCGATCACATTAGCTGCTCTTCATACAGCACAAATAATATTTGAAGCACTAAGATACATATATCATTTTCTATATTTATTATTCTATCACTAGTATATATACAGTGGCTGACAGCTTCTGTCGTGCAAACAATATTTTTGTACATTTAGTCGTGAAGTTCCAAAATTTTGATCAAAACAAAAAATTTTAAATATGCAACTTTGATGAATGTTTAGTTTTTATTATAAATCAAAAAAAAATTTAACAGAAATGTCATTTACACTCATCACTTATTCAACTACACACATCATATTTTTGTATCATCTAAAAAAATATTATTACACTGAGTTTATCTACAGTGTAATTCATAATTCAACACTATTTTCACGAAAATCGATTGGACAACAATGGCAGAGAACCCCCAAATAAAATTCGAGATGAATAAAATAAACAAGATGAAAAATATAGAAGATAAGAAAAATTCAAAAAAATACTACATTAAGTGGCCCGTCTATTGTCAAGGATGTTAAGAACATTTATTGGAAAGAAATGTCATCCAGAATGTGTTCGAAGAGTTTTAAGAAACGGTTATTATAAAAAACGAACTGCCAAGAACAAGCCATTCATAAGTGACAAAAATCGTAAAATTTAATATATATTCTTTAGATGGGAAATTATATGTGTGGCGTATATCAAATACTGAGCTCCAAAAAGAACATTTACGTGCCACAGTTAAACACGGCGACGGATATGAGATGGTATGGGGGTGTATGTCAGCGACAGGGTTTGGTAATGTACAATTTAAAGAATCGATAATAGATGGTAAACTGTATCTTACTATATTAAAGCAAAATTTGCATAAAAAAGCCGAAGATTTAGTCATAATTGATTATTTTTGTTTCTATTAGGATAACGATCCGAAGCACAAGTCGGGTTTTGTGCTGTCTTGACTTGTTTGGAATTATCCACACATCATACAAATACCTCACCAATCACCTGACTTAAATGTCATAGAATTTTATGGCATATTCTAGAAATTAACATAAGAAAACATAACATTTCTAACAAGGAAAGTATGAAAGCTACTTTAAAATTGGAATGGCAAAAAATATCAATGGAATATACCCAAAAATTAGTTACTTCGACGCATTCAAGGTTGGAAGCAGTAATTAAATAAAAGGAATATCGCACTAAATTTTTAAATTTAGTTTTTTATGTTAAAAATTATTAAATTTTTAAATAAAAATGTATCACACGAAATATGCTGTGAGATAAGCATTTGATGTACATGTTCGTTTTTGTTTACATAACTTCTTGAATATTAATCTTTTTGTTACATTTTCTTTTTGTTTTATAATAAAAACTAAACATTCTTCAAAGCTGCATATTTAAAATTTTTTATTTTGATTAAAATTTAGGAACTTCAAGACTATATCTACAAAAATATTGCTTGTACGAAAGACGGTGTGAGCTGCTCTGTGTAAATATAAATAATAAAATAAAGAACACCCGACTGTATTTTGATTATTGTTAAATTTTATTAAATATAATATACTATTTAAAAGCATTCAGTACAGAAACATTTGGGATATTAACAATATATGTAAGCGTGTGATTAATATTTAAGTACACTATCTTATATCGTATTAATTGTTTTTATTATAAGAAACAAATAATTATTTTTTGCAAATTATATTTATTTTATAGCAAGAATTTTTATTTTCTGCATTAAAATGATATACACTGAATAATTCCTAGCAAATTTAATTTGTTTTAACTGTTAATGCCACATGGATCATATTTGGCACTGAAATGAGCACACGTAGATTTTGGGCCATTATGAATGCGTGGAATTGCTATACGAAATAAAATTCCTTGTGGCATGCAAACACAAATCTTGTATTGTACACTGCCCGTACGTAAGCCGAACTCGGAACTGACAATCGGTATTTTATCCATATCTAAATATATTCCAGTTCCTTTAAGTATTGTTGCACCTTGAGTTGAATTAATAACTACATTATGCTCCGCTTGAATAAGTGTACTTAAAGAATCCAACAATATGCCCTCCGAACCTTTTATTGAAACCTTACTATCGATTTCGATCCTAAGGTCTTTATCAATTGGGCTAGAAATTTTACTAGTACTTACTGCTTTTGCAACTAAATTATCCAGCCCTTTTGGAATGTTATAATGTGGTCGATGTGTTGTAAATATGTTTGCCCCATGTATTGCATCTTTTATAACAAATGCATTAACGTCACGAAATTGTATACCTGATTTGTCTAAAATCAATTTATTATTAACAAGTCCATTACGATGAGTTTGCACACGCAAAAATACACTGGCCTTTTCACCTTCACTAGTAATACTTATTGGTTCGTTTTTAAATCCTTCTATTTGACCAATTAATTTGGTGTAAATACGATCCAGATCAGTAGAGCCATGAAATTTAATAACATCTTCTTCAGGTATCAACTCCATGCCATGAATTCCTCTTCCAAGATGCAAAACGCCAATAATTGTTAATGTTAAGAATAGATTACCAACCGTTAAGATTACCAAAATTGTAACTGCTGTCCAAAAGGCGAATGTTTTCCTGTTTTGCTGTTTAAATGATTTGTAGATTATTTCTTTATCATATGTTTTTGTTAGCTCTTCATTTAAAAAATTTTCATTTCTTAAGGTTCCTCCCACAGGAATAGGTAATGATGCACTTATGACGTGCTCCGACATAACTTCATCAGAATATGACGGCGAAGGACCTCGGATAAATGTATTTTCATAGCTTTTCATTGTAACCAATCTACAATTTAATAAATTACTGAAAAAATTGAACAGTTACTATTGGGGAATTTCTATATAAAAGTGAAAAGTGCTGTACATGTACATAAGTTGATATTTTTAGATGAAAAAAAAAGTTTGTCATGCGCATATCAATTTGTAAAGAGCAAAAGATATGAAACAAAATGTTTACAACGCATATATGTATAAATAAAACAGTATATTTTATATATAAATTAATTGATATAATTTATATAAATAATTAATAATTAAATATAATTTTATTATGATAATGCTAATAAAAAATGTTTATATAAATAAAAATATCAAAATTTATAGTTAAAAATAATAAAAAAATTAAATGTAAATTATTATTGAACTCAAAAATATTTTATTTGTATTTATAATAAAAAAGTAAATTTATTTAACAAAATTCTTTTTTAAACTAATTTAATTTATTATTGTAGATGTCTATGACCAAAAACAAGCAACGCCAGAAAAATATTTCAATATTCGTATAAAAAAAATTTAAAAAAAAAATAATATAAGCTTACACATATTAAAACCATATCAAAGAACAATTTACATTTTTGAAATTATTTTTTATGAAATGATTTTAATTTATAGTGCATTTACAGTGGTATAATATGATATATACATAAAGAAAGAAAAGAAATAGATATTACACAAGTATTTCAAATTGTTTTAAAGCTGTTAAAATCAAATTTAAACTCATGTTTAAAAAATAGTATTTTTTGTCATAATTGGTGAAATAAAATAAATAAAATTGAATAAAAATCTGGTTTTCGTTCTTGCAAAAATATCGGTTGTTTTCGGTTCGGTTCCGATGCGGATCCCTGCTTGAAACTACTTTCACTTTTTTTTTGTAAACGCTCCAAAAGTTGACTTCTAAATCTATTTGAAAGCAGATTTTAACACTCGAATAAACATAGCAATTGTTACAGAATTTGAACTGTTTGTCATCTATATTATAATAATATTTAAAGTACAATAATAGGTCTTTTTCTTTGCAAAGCAAAAATAAACGTCGCTCTACAATGGTGCCAAATCTTAAAAATGATATATTCTGAATGATTTTTGGAAGTAAATAGAAAACTCCAGTTAGCTCTTTATTATTTACAACTGTTGCGAGCGTTAATGAGTAAATTTAAAAATTTAAAAAAAATGATTTTTTAATAAAATTTGTGAAAATGACTAACAGTTTAGTAATTGTGAAGAAGTTAATTATTTATTAAGGAATATCCAATTTCTTTATTTATTAAAAAATACGATACATGAATAAATACAAAACAAATAAATTATTATATAAAGCAATTTATTGACGATCTCGTATTGCCTATATGTATATTTATATACAATTTTTTTTATAATATTCAACCGCAAATTTGTTTGAATTTTTTTACTTGTCATATGTTTATTGGTTTCGGCAGTGATGCCAAGTTATTCTTAAGCCCCAAAAGTTGTTTTATTGGAGCATTCATGTCAAAGAATTACACCAAATAATGAAAGCGCAAATAGAATTGCCATCGGCAATACCAAATAAATGTGTAATTCTAAATAGGAAAAATTATGGTTAACAATATCAAGAAACATTAATTTCTGTAACAAGGTTATATAGTATAATACTAGACATTTAATTCCAAAACGAGCACTATTTGCAGTGCTTAATTTTCCATTTCTATATTCAATTTATTAATTCATTGTTTTTAAATTTTCTTTCTGTAGATTAATCCAAAAAATGTTCGTTTAAACCACAACATTCAAAAGATTGAGAGTAAATTTGGATTTTGTTTAGATATATTAATTGAAAACAGTTTTTGTTGAAAACAGAATTATGAATAACAAAATATTAAAATTATTATTATAATGGTGAAACGTGATTTAATATATATAATATTAATACAACAAACAAAATAATGTCATATTAAAGTTATTTGATGTACTTGTGCATCAAATAGAGTAATATATAAATAAACTTTTATTAAAAGATATAATATATATATATATGTTTCATAATTCATTCACTTTACGTACATTGGTAAACGAATTTTTAGTTATAATCTTGAAAAAATAATTTTGTTGTGAATGCTGCCAAAATTTGCTTTCAATGTGTTTGTTTAAAATATGAAAATGTTCGATGTCTTTTTGTATTCTTTGCTATAAGCTTCGCGCAGGCTTTGGTCGTAGTTTGTTATCGTGTAGAGGCACTTCAGGAATTCTACGAAAATAGTTAGCGGTATTTATTTTATTTGACACAAATTGCTATGGCTTTCAAAGTAAATTGATTTTTTAATTAAATATATTTGCGATAATTACAGTTACATATTTTATATTAGCCAATTGATCCTAAACGAGACGAATTTCGACGATATTTGGAGCGAGCTGGTGTCATCGAAAGCCTCACAAAACTATTTGTGAGATTAAATAAAGAACGACCAGAAAATGCTTTAGAATATATAAAGCATAATCTCGGTGAATCTTTAGAGGAAGCTGACAATTTGGCATATCTACAGACGGAATTGGTTGAAGCTAAGAACGAAATAGAGCGTCTACGTAATTTAATCAAAAAGGTTGACCGTACTGTTCTCGATGATTTAACTTCACCAGAAAATATTGAGATAGTTGAATCTAACCAGAAGGAGATAGTTACTACTTCTGAACAGTCTGATTCTGTAGCGAATGAAATTACCAAAACTGAAACCATTCTGGAAAATATTACCATTAATGAAACGTCTAACATTCAATCACAATAATGAATCAAAGAACTTGTCAAACAATATTGTAATAATGTTGTATATGTATATATGCGCTCACATTAAATTAGTATTAATACAGGCTAGTTAGATTAAATAAAATGGATTTAATAAAAATATGTGTTAAGTTTATTATCTCTTGAATTTTATAAGTATAAAATAAACGAATGAGTCATGTATAGTAATGTAAATCTATACATTTATTATCAAATGTTAAACATATTATAGTTCACAGGTGATGATTTCACTTATTAACCAATTGAAATAAATGAAAAATTCTAGTACTTTTAATACTCTTCACTCATATGTAGTATAAAATGGATTTTTAAAACTGGTCAAAAAACTTATAAATGCAACAAAGATCTAACCATATTATTATCCACTTGATAAATTCAAATAGTTGTATTTATATATCCTTTTTTCTTCCATTAAATAGAAAGCAGTTATAATTTTTTAACTAATTCGGTAGCTATACTTTTAACATAAAACATTAAATAGGAAATTATTTTGTTTGATTTCATTATTTTGTTTTTTTTTAAAAGAATGTTATCAGTTAAAATTCCAATTAAAATGAATACGGTTAACTGCTACCTTTGACATAATTATTTGCCAAGAGTCCTATGAGCAAGCAACCTTTGTTATAATTGTAAATACATAGTCATAAATTAGAATCAATAACTATAGTATATAATGTCACTATAAATAGAACTGATTAAATCTAATTCACCAAATTTTCTCGTGCTGTAGTAGCTATGCTGTTGTTTTAGTTAACCATGCAAAATATCTGCTTTTTAAGTCCCTTTTAAGAGGGATAAGCGGCACCTAATTGTCTAAACAGACGGATAGATCAGGATCGTAGATTTGAACGTTACTGGACTCTATAAATATATTTCTAAATTTGAAAAGTTTTAAATACACTTTCAACAACTATTTCAAAGTTTTTCCTTGAGATTCCTTGAAACAAAGTTCAACTCCTTTTTCACAATGCTTTTATTAATTTTTAATATTTCAGTTCTTTTCAGTTGTACTACTGTTTTTGGAAGACCTGAAATCGTGTAAAGATTTTTCAAATTTACTTTTAAGCACTACTATTCAGTTTCTTGAAAAATACACTTTACTTTATAAACATTCAAAAAAAAATTGAATATTAAATACAGATTAGCCAGCTTTGTATTATACTTTTGGTCATGAATCTGTTTTTAGAATCTGCGGTCTCTCTTTTTACGATAACAATATATGTAAATATCTATTTTATATCTATTTAAATTATAAGTTAAATTTCATTATTTTATGCTAAGCCTTGTTAACAAATTAAAACATGTATGTATTATATGCTTGAATCTGTATAGATAAATTATTTCGACGACATACCACACATGACATACCGAAATGTGTATTTTCGGGAGTATACTATATATATATAAATATATTTATATTTACATTTGATATATGACGTATATTTTACATATATACAGTATTTCAAATAGAAACAGTTTAATTAATCTTTTTATTTTTTAAGTTTAAATCATAACATTACATTTATATATTAATAAATTTTTCTGTAACGTAGTAATTTTAAATAATATACTATAAGAATAAGAATTAAAGATTTTATTTTCTCACTTGTACACAAAATTGAATCATATATTTTCATTTTATAATTGAATATTACCTATTAAATCCTAAGAAATACAATACTTTAAAACAGAATAGAAAAACAAACCAATAAAAAATGCAATTTATGTTACGCCAAAAATTTATTTAAATAATTCCATATAATGCAATTGTTTGTTTGATATAAAGAAAGGATGTTCATGAATACAGATGAAAAAATATACAACTTATTTTCAAAGTTGATTGTAAGCAAATCCTAACTTAAAAATTAAATCAATTAAGTTGTAACTCACCATATCAATGATGTTACCTTACATCAATGTATGTAACATTCTATTTTTTGTGAATACAATATTTATGTTAATGGGTTTAGTTTATGAATTTCAAATTAAAAAAAGAGAGAACAATATAATATTTACGGCAAAAATGAACATTTAATTTTAAAAATTACATAATTAAATTTCTATTAAAAGATTGTTATAAAAGTTTATTGGGTTACATATAAAAGGCGTTTATACAAATTAAATTTTTTTTTTAAACATAATTGTCTAAAAGTGGTCAACTATTAAAACGCCTTACAAATTGTAATATTAGACATATTAATAATATACTTTTAATTAAAAAAAAAACAACAGCTGAAACTGATTTTAAAATAATGTAAAAATATATTTTCTATTGATTGATAATATTGAAATAGATGTTTATTGCCAACGTATCTCCAAATATACTTCCAAAGAAAAAGTTTACTGTTTTGATGCGACTTTTTGTTTTTCTTTAATATTTTTGCCATATTATTTTTAGAATTTTAATTTTATATTTAGAAATAAAAGTTTATGTGTATATATAATGTTAAGTTGTATTTACTTTTTACGTTTATCTGCTGGTTTCAAAATCTGAAAGGAGCACATAAGGGTATCATCCACTGACATCATTGCTCCAGCGTTGTCAAATTCCCCACAATAATTCGGTGCTGAAAATAATGTTACAAGTTGACGCTTGGCGAAGAATTCGTAACCATCTTCCACAACTTGATGGGCGCGGCATATGAGATCGAATTCATGTTTTTGCAAAAATTTTCCAACTACTTCAGCTCCGAAAGTGAAGCTTACTCCACGATCGTTTTCACCCCATCCCATAGTGTCCTTATCTGGATCAGACCACAAGAGGTCGCAAAGTAAACCCTGATCTGGTACATCTGTTGGACGCATAATACGTCTAATTTGTTCCATTGATGCCAAATCAGGACTTAGACCTCCATGACAACAAAATATTTTTTCGTCAACTATTGCTGCAACAGGCAAACAATTAAAGCAGTCAGTAAAAGTTTTCCATAGTTTGATGGTGTATCGACGTTTGCATTCGTCATAAAAACCATAGATGCGATTGATGCTAGCACATTCGTGATTACCTCTTAAAAGGAAGAAATTTTCTGCGTATTTTATTTTGTATGCTAATAACAAGCAAATCGTTTCTAATGACTGCTTGCCGCGGTCAACATAATCGCCCAAAAACAGATAGTTTGACTCTGGTGGAAAACCGCCATATTCGAACAAACGCAATAGATCATAATATTGTCCGTGAATATCGCCACAAATCTTAAGTGGTGCTTCTAATTCAAGCAGAATTGGCTGCGAAAGGAATATTTCGCGCGATCTAAGGCAAAGGCCACGAATTTCGCTTTCCGACAATTGTACATTTTTGCCTGGCCGTGCCCCACGCACTTCCAAAAGTCGTGATATTATACTATCAATATTCATTACGTCAGACATTTTGATATTTTAATACTCTTTCACAGTTCGATTTCAGTTTTTTTATGGTTCCTTCAATATGTGTGTTCAATTATATATATTTTTTTTACAATTTTCCACTGCAACTACCATTTGCGATAGGCGAATTCGAAGAACACCACATAAAAGCAATTAAAAAGATGAAAGAGAAAATCCGCAAGAATAAACCAGGGATGGTCTACGAAGTATTTCTCCAGTAGTGGCCAGATTATTGACATTTACTTAAAATTTAAAGTAGTTTTGTTTTTTAATTGCATTTGAAGGCCTAATTAATTTAAACATAATTTTAATTCCAAAATAAATAAAACATGATTGTTTTTTTATATATGACAGTTCAAACTGAAATATTATTTAAAAGTATATAATATTTATTCATATTGCACTTTTCATAACTATTGTTCTAAATTTTAATTTTAATTGAAGCAAACTTTAAAAATATTTGTACCATCTTATATATTTTTATTGACAAAAAACCAACTTCATATATATTTACTTTGTCAGAATGAAGTGTCAGTTTAAAAAAAAAACATTTTGATACATAATGCCAAAAATCTTTCATAAAACTACAAAAAAAAAACTTTTTTTATTTTTCAATGCAAACGTTATATATAAATTATAAACTTAAAGGGAAAAAATTCTTATTTGTAATAGAATAAACAAATAATATTTTAGCGTAGATTAAGTAGTAAACAAATAAGTAACTAATTTTTTTTTTGACAAATTCAAATCTAAATTTTTAAATCAATACGCTTTGTAATGATTTACTTTTTTAATAATTTTACCAAAATTAGATAAAAATTATGCATATTGTAAAATGTTGCATTACATTTTGTAATATGTTTATGTTGTCTTAGATTTTTCAATATTATTGGAAAAGAAATTTTTAATCTGGTCGTTTTATTTTATTTCAAATCAATTAGGTCTGTTATTTATTGGAGAACTCGTTCAGTATTCTAAAACTGAACACAACACTAAGTTTAAATTAAAATAAACATAGTATTAGTATTAGATTATGATGACTTCAATTTGAACGAACTTTCAGAGATCGAAAATTTATGTTTTTTGGAAGATATTTTCTCTTTTTTAAAAACAACAATAGAATACCCAAATTACTTCTAAATAGCAGTAGTATGAATACAGAGGAGAATATATCATAAATATATAGTACGCTCTTTCGCAGTAATCAGTGTTAGGTAAATTCTTCACCAGAATATTTTTGAATTTTTTATAATATATTCAGTTATAATCACTTACATTACGTATGTTCTTTGCCCATATAATACATAAATTAATATTAATATAGAGACATCTTTCATTAATTCTACTCCTATCTAAAAAATTACCGAATAGAGAACTACAGAGATTGCATCTGTGTTTTGAGTTTGTAATAAGAATTTTTAACCATATTCAATTTGAGCAAAAAAAATTCATTATAACAAAAATAACAAATATTGTATTATCGTTTGTCGCTTTAAATTTTCTGAGCTTATTTTCAAGTGGACCATCAAGAGGTTTGCAACAACAATTTGTTTTATCAAATTAATACAATCCACACAAATGATATTGTTTGTGTGATATTAACAGAAATTTATACATGTCGCATTAGTAATAAAACACATTACAGTAATTGATCATGTCGTTTATTCAATTGGGTGATGTTAAAGTAGAACGTGGAGGAAAACATATTTATATAATAGCTGAGATAGGACAAAATCATCAAGGAAATATCGAAATAGCTAAGCAACTGATTTTACAAGCTAAGGTATTATGTTTAATAAATCATAAAGAAATAATTTTACACTCTTTTTCAAATAGAAAGCAGGTTGTCATTGTGTAAAATTGCAAAAAAGTTGTCTCCGTGCTAAGTTTACGAAATCAGCTTTAGATCGGTGTTATGATAATCCAAACTCATGGGGGTCCAGCTATGGTGAACATAAGGAATATTTGGAGTTCACTTTACAACAATTTGATGACTTACAAAAATTTTGCTTTGATATTGGAATTGATTTTACATCATCTGCAATGGATGAGGTAGACTTTATTTTTTTCAAATTAGAAAAAATAGAAATTATATTGTTATTTGCTATATGTGCATTAATATATTTTACCTAATATGTATATCAAGGTTTCGCTAAAACAATTAGATGAGCTCGATGTGCCCTTTATAAAAATTGGATCTGGAGACGCTAACAATTTTTTAATGCTTGAAAAAGCAGCTGCATTAAATCGCCCTTTGATTATATCAACTGGAATGCAATCGGTCAAATCAATAGATGCTATCGTTAAAATTATGAGAGACGCTAACAAAACAAACTACGCATTACTACATTGCGTGTCGTCTTATCCTACTGAGCCGAAAGACTGTAACCTCCAAATGATAACAGTTATGAGCAAAAAATATCCCGAAATTGTTATTGGATACTCCGGACATGAAATAGGTATTAATATTAGTAAAGCAGCAGTTGTTTTAGGGGCAAAGATTATTGAACGTCACATAACACTTGATAAAAATCAGAAGGGCTCGGATCATAAATGTTCTTTAGAACCAGACGAATTACAACAAATGATTCAAGACATAAATTCAATATCTTTAATTAAACCAATTCCTTGGACTCAAGATGAAATAATCAATTATTTCAATAATAATATTAACATTACTCAAGCATTGCATGGTTCTGAAAAAAGATGTTTATTAGCATGCGAATGGAATTGTAAAAGTAAATTAGGAAAGTCAATAGTGGCTGCAAGAGATTTAGAACGCGGCCGTATTATAACGAAAGATGACATTTGTATTAAAGTAAGCGAGCCAAATGGTATACCAGCGGAATGCCTACAACAAATTATGGGGCATTCAATTTTAATTGATATCAAAGAAGACAATCCGCTCATGTCACATCTTTTTTCCCATCATATTGAAGAATTCTAAATTGAATTTAATTAAAAAAAGAAATAATATACTATGTAAGGATTTATTAAAGTGGTTTAATACAAATTTATTTAAAGTAAAATCTTATCTAAGTATATCTTCTACCATAAAAGCGGTATCATAAATTTCTACAACTTCATCTATTTGTTTCAAAATGTAATTAAATTTAGAAAAAGTACATAATATTAAGGTGTCATTAGAGCATATCATTAAATAAATTATGTCAAATATAACTTTATTCTACAATATCTTCATCTGCAACACAAGCAGTTTCTACAGCTTCCATGTCTTCATCTATTTCACCATCTTTTTTATCCGTTGGTTTTTCATAAACAGACTCCAAAGTAGATACTACTACTCCATTCCAAACTGACATTTCGCGTACAATACTCGTGTTACCTTCTAATCCAAGAATATGTTTATAACCTCCATGCGCAAGTACACGTAGTAATGTTTGCGCTGTTAAGCAACATATATCTTGTTGTTCGAGTGTCATTGCTGTATGTACTCTTATATGCCCTGGCTCACAAGGATCTGTTATTCCGGCTGATCCTGGTAAAAACAGTCCTGCGGACAGCAATTGAAAAACTCGTCGGAAAGCAAGATTAATCGGCAAAGCTTGTCTAGAGGGATTATTCATGATAGATAAATGTGCAATGAGATCTAGCATCCAAGGTGATAAAGGTGTAAAAGCTTCAAAACGTTTTGTTAGGTCTTTTAAAATACGAATAAGTACTTTAATAGATGAATGATGAGCGTTTTCTTCAAACCAACGCGTGTGCCTTATGGCTGCTAAATGAGCTTGCATTGCTTTTTGATCCAGATGTATATCCATTTCTAGTTTTCGTAAATTTTGTGGAAGAGTTGAGATAAGAATACGGACTTTGGAGTTCAAATTGGATATATCAAATCCTCTATCATGCGTTGTGGTACTAATTTGATCTGCTTTAGTAAGCACTTCAGTTTTCATTGCCGTTTTAAGGTCCGCTTCAACTTTCTTTCCAAGTGCCTCACATGCTTCCTTAGTTGGTAATGTTTTAAGAATAACAACAATATCTGCGACATTGTTACCTGTAATCATTGTACCTTTTTTAAACGATCCAACTTGCCTGACTTCCTCAAGTTGCTAAATAAAAACCATTTAGTTTATGCAATTATTTTAATGATGCTATCTTACGCAAGTATTGAAGTCCCCAGGCGCAACTACGAGATTATCCAGCACTGCTTGAACTTTAGTAACCAAATTTCCAATTGAAGCTTGTTCTGCCGGAGTAGGACTTAAATCTTGATTTCTTTTCAACAAAGCCTAAAGTTATTTATTCTTGTAATCTATTTCAGTTGAATAAAATGCATACTTACCGCTGTCAACGCACAATCATCTTGATCCTGCAAAATCAGAATTTATTTGACATTATTTTTTTTAAGTAGATCCTTCGAAACTTACCTGTGCTGATACCTTTGGAAATATAGGTTCTGCTAAGGTTATATCGAAAGGATGACGAGGTACAAACGTTTTTTTAAATGGTGGCCGCATGCCTCCCCGCATAGGTCTACTCCCACCACCTCGCATTGAACCACGTACCATAATTTTGTTTAGTTTATATAGCTAGTTTATTTACAAAATTATTATTTGAGCAGCGCTATCCGGAAAAAAACTTCGTATACTGAATATTTCACTTAAAAAATGCTAGTGGTATGTTCAGTATAAGCAATTTCTTGGCAAGAGATATTTAAAAAAAGGGGATACAGAGCGAATTCAGTAGTTGGCGAATCTACATATAGTTATAAATTTATTTTACGGAATGCTTATGAATAAAAATATATATCAATACTGTATTAAGAAGTAGAAAGTAATATTTTAAGAAAAAAAATTGGATCATATACATTATTATTTGTTTCTCCAAATGGTTAGATATATATTATATAGCAAAAATATTAGAAGAAAATTTATTATATATATGTATGTAATAATTATTTATTTTTCTTGGCTATTCAGCAACTCTAGCGAACAAAAGTAAAAAACCTGGAATTTCAGAATTATGCCTAGTGCTTCTTCGTATACAATTGTTCATTAGATGCGTGTAAGCGAGTTTTAATGGTATACGATTAACATAAAGTCGCTAATTACTGTAGCTAGAACCAAATTGACGAAGCTAGAGGTTTGGTTCAAAGAATGCATTTCAGAAATACTGATCATGATTGAGAAATATATACATATATATGCACGTATGTGTATAATGTATTAGGAAATGCGGAAAGAAGTACAACTTAATAAAAGTATAGAAGAAGTATAACATATAATTTAATATCTTAAGTTATATTTCTTGAGAAGTATAACTCAATATAGACACCAAGTTATTCAAAGTTTGGCACCATCATTGTAAATTAATATAAAATTTAAATGAAATATATCGTATTTATTAAACTTTACAGCAATAGCATCATTTAGTAAACTTACTTTTATCATTTATACCAAGTACTCTTCTACTAGAACTATCTATTATACTATTCAAGTCTTACACTATGACTTTCGATACTTTCCAACTTTTGCAAAAAAAAAAAAATAGAAAAAAAAAGCTTTGGTATTAATTGTAGCATATTTTCTAATAGTGTTCTAGTAGTATCTCTCTTTGGTGGTGATATTCTTTGTGGATATTATTTAATAAATTAATAAAGTCAAGGCTGGCAACACTTAAGTAGCGTCTCGTTTTATCCGGTGAAGTGCATTTATTAAGAAGATAACTTTTAGCGCCGTCGAACATGGATTCTACAAATAATGATGAACTTACTCATGCAGAAAACGAATTATATGATAGGCAAATACGATTATGGGGCTTGGATTCACAAAAAAGGTTTAAACGCTTTCTGTCTCCCTCTTGGTATATTAAAATATGTATTAAATATTGTGCATTGAAGGTTACGTTCTGCAAAAGTTCTTATATCTGGACTGAATGGATTTGGAGCGGAAGTTACAAAAAATATTATACTATCTGGTGTACATTCTGTTAAATTACATGACGATAAGGTCGTAACTGAAGAAGAAATTTGTGCACAATTCTTGGTGCCAAGATCTGCATTGGGATTAAATCGTGCTGAAGCTTCAATAGAACGGGCAAGAGTATTGAACCCGATGGTAGAAATTTCTTCTGACGTAGAGCCACTTTCTGAAAAAAATGCAGAATTTTTTACACAATTTGATGTAGTTGTTGTAAGTGATGCATTAAATTCCGAATTGCTTAGAATTAATAATATATGTAACGAACATGGTATAAAATTTTTTGTGGGAGAAGTATGGGGAATGTATGGATTTTGTTTTACAGATCTACAACATCATACTTATGTCGAGTAAGTTATATGCCATATTTTATCTTACAACATACAAAACAGATAAATTTTAGGGATGTAATGAAACATAAAGTAGTATCTAAACCAAACGAAAAGGTCAAAACGGAGTTGGTAGCTACAACTGTCCAACGAACCATGGACTTTCCTTCATATTCTGCAGTGCTAGATTTCGATTTAGCTTCTAAATCTTATCAAAAGAAGTTAAAAAGAACTGGACCTGCTTTTCCTTTAGTTCGCGTTTTACAGAAGTTTCGTGAAACGTATGGTCGCGATCCAAGTTATAAAAGTCGTGAAGAGGATATTAAAAAACTTGAGCAAATACGCAACGAAAATATTGGTGAAGAGGTTATTCCTTCAGACTGCTTTGAGGATGTCTTTGGCCAAGTGTCACCAGCTGCTGCAGTAGTTGGAGGTGAGTTAGCGCAAGAAGTCATTAAGGTAATATCTAAAAAGGAAGCTCCGCACTGCAATGTATTTTTATTTGACCCAAATAAATGCTGTGGATTTATTGAAACTATTGGTGTAATATAAATCGCGATATACAGTAAATAAAGAGTCATACATATACAAAAGTGTTTATATTTTTTTTAAACCTCGAGTAATAAGTAATGTATATTTATGGTATGTTAGCTAAATGATCCTTAATTGTGGATGGGTCCAAACGTTTAAATCCGTTAGCATCGCAAACTCCAACTTCAATGTTGTCAGCTGTCATTTTGCCCTCGAAACCTTCTTTAAGAGTTAAAATAGCAGTGTGCACTGCGTCATCTAATTCCAGATCTTCGCTATACCTATAAAAGCAAATATTACTGGTTGTATATTTATTTCGTTTTTTTACAGTACCTTTTCTCTAAAAATGTTTTTCCATTTACGGAATTTTTTCCCAACGCAGTAGCTTTCCAAGCAAAGAATGCTCCCGAGGGATCACATTGAAATAAGTAAGGTCGACCAGCAGTCCAACCACAAATCAGCAAAGACACTCCAAAGGGCCGAACACCCCTATAAAAATATACTTTTGTTAATCATAAATATTTTGTTATAAAATTAACATTACCCTGTTTGAGTGTATTCTTGCATTAGAGTAGCAACTCTTTGAACCAGTTGCGATACCGGTATTAGCTCTCTGTATTGCATATAATAATTTTGTGCAATTTTACGGGATTGTTTAACCAATAAACGATAATCAGGGCCCATACCCGAATACACTACGCCGATATGACTGGTAATCATCTCAACTCGGTTTACACTATGTTCTTCGTGAAGAGTGGAGCTATGCTTGTTTTCAGTAGCAATAACAACTCCATTAGAAGCTAAATTATGAAAATGAAATTAATAATTCTAATAATTTAATTGCAACTTACCCATAATACCAACTGAGGGGGCACCTGCACCTACAGCAGCCAAAGCATATTCTAGTTGAACCAATTTGCCCGACGGACTGCAATATTATTTTGTATTAGGATATGCATTATATTTAAAAATATTCGATAAATTTACCTAAATGTTGTTAAAGAGAAACTATAACGTTCAGATGCCATACTAATGTATATTTATATAGTCCGGACCTGCGAACAACCAACGATTTTATAAAAAAAAACTGCTTACAAATGACACTAAATGAAAATGACACAGCAAATGCTCTGAAATACGGCTTTTGAACTGTCATTCAGTATGATATGGTATGGTGTGTTCAGTCAAAATATGCATTGGTTTATATTCAAGAAAATATTACAATAATTAAAGGTAAATAAATTGCTTACTATATTGTATTGTTTTCATATTAGAAATCTTAATAATAGTTAAAGAAAACTTATTATAATGATTTCTATATAGTGTAATAGATAACAAATTTTATAACTTTATTTGTTAAATGGTTGAAAATCTAAGGAGTTGCTTTTAAAATGATAACTTACTCATTTTACTTACTTGCCTTTATATATTTTGTTACGCTGTTTGTTAATAGATTTTTTTCTTAATTAACATCGTCATGCTAGCTAGTCCATATAATTTCTTTACAGATTATATAGATAACGATTATCAACATGTAAACGCTTCAACATTTTAAAAATTGTATAGTTTTATTTCGAGAATTAAGATTTGAAGTAATTAAATTTGCTATGAAACCGTAATCGTGTCCTAATTATTAATTAATGAAATACTTGTATATAGTTTTGTTAAAATATTCTTAAATATTTTTGAATATATATATACTTATATATCAGTGGCGACGCGTGCTCTATTTGGAAGGGTGTGCGGCCCTTCTACAATGTTGTTTTTATATGTACCACTTAAATTAAAGATGATAAATTGAAATATAGAAGATGTTTTATTAATAATAACTATATTACATTAGGCAACAGTATATTCACAATATAACATTTGACAATTCATTAACAAAATAACATAAAACATAAAACATAATAACATAAAAATTAATAATTTATATATAAGTTTAATATTACATCAATATGGAACACAATTTTTCACATACTTCTTATAACATCAAACCAACTTTTTTCAAACAAAAGAATTTGTACTTAGAAGCATGCATGTTTATGCAGTGATTAAACAAAATCGAACGCACTTGCAGCGTATAAATGTGCGGTCAGCTACTCCGCACACAAAGCGACTATTATTCACTGGAGCAACAGCTAAAAGGGGAGAGATTAAATTTGAAAGAAATGTATGATAATGTGAGCTGCAAACTTTAACCGCACATCTAACCGCTTCGGCAAGTCAACATGTTGGATTCTTATACATGCAGTCGATATTCGAATAGAACAGAAAATTACTCTCATACAATTCCCAATCTCCATTTCTCATATTTTAAGCTAGAGCACACCCACATTATTTTGTTCATTCTACTTATGTGCACACTTATGACAGAAATATATGAATGCAATTGCTCAAAGGGGAAAGACGAAATATGATAGAAATGTTTTGCGATGTGAGCTAGACAATTTTGTTTAATTATTTTTGCTAAGATTTTAATATTTAAAAATATATATATGAAAATGTAATAATATGAATTCTCGATGTAAAGATATTTAATGAATTTATATATATTATTTGACAATTTGCAAATTATATTAGGGTGTGCGCCGCATACCTCCGCACCTTAGAGCAGTCGTCACTGTTATATACTTAGGACGTGTGCGAGTTAGGCTAAGTTGATGCTAAACCAAATGGGAGATTTTTTCGGGTTTTTTACACTGCACACATTTGGCCATTTATCAACACGTATCGACACATCACTACATTATCGGCACAACTTAGAATTTCCCACATTTAGAACGCAACTTAGCCTAACTCGCACACGACCTTAATAGTAACAAACTTACACCTCACTATTTCATCATTTTACAGAAAACACAATTACCGCGTAGCGAGATGTAAAATATGGAGGGCAATATGGATTACATAGATCATTAAACCATAATGATGTTCAAATTTCAACACTTGCAAGCCAAAGGCAAGATTGCCTGACATAACTATGGACATGTGCGAGTTAGGCTAAGTTGTGTTCTAAATGAGGGAAATTCTAAGTTGTGCCGATAGTGTAGTGATGTGTCGATACGTGTTGATAAATGCTTGTTGACTGTGCTTCATAATACAGAAAGTTATGGAACAGCACAATTTTGTTAATAAAGAAATGCTGTATAGAACAAGTTTTAGTGCAAACACATTAATACTATCTTTATTTTTATTAGACAAATCTGTTATTTATTATACATATGTTTTTTAATATTTATTATTTATATTATAGGTTGCAAACATATAATTACATTAGTTTTTGAAAAAAGCCATTAAATTGTCCATATACCTTGCTACCCAATTTTTACAAGGTAATTCAATTTAATTAATATCATTTATTTAAGAAGGTAAAATGCAAATACAAATTTTACCTCCTTATTGTGAAACTTTTTATTAAACATGTGCATATTACGCCAAATGTGCCAGTAAGGTGTTACTTACTTACTTACTTATTTGGCCATAACAACCCGTTACCGAGTTTCGGCCTGACGCAGCATGTCTCCCCAGGCTCCTCTGCTGCTTGCGCGCCTTCTCCAGTCTCGTATATCAAGTCCAGTTAGTGCTCCCTCAACTTGATCACTCCACCGGAGACACGGTTTACTTCTACGTCTTCTTCCGCCAACTACTGCTTCAAACACCTTTTTCGCCGGAGCATGCTCATCCATTCTCACAAAATGACCAAGCCAGCGAAACCGCTGGATGTTAATGCGCTGAACTATATCAATGTCATGATAAAGCTCGTACAGCTGGTGGTTCATTCTAATGCGGTAGTCGTCGCCAACTCGTAGAGGACTAAAGATCTTACAAGAAACTTTTCTCTCGAACACTCCCAGTGCTGCTTCATCATTCTGTGATAACGTCCAGTAAGGTGTTACATTATTTCAATTTAAAAAGACCACCTCAACATTGAATAAGTACGTTCGATATGTGATGAGTGTTTTCGTAATAGAAATTATGCGTAATGTCATATTGCAGCCGTAGGTACATGTCATTAGATCCCGACCTTGCATTCGCGATAAATTCATGTATTAGATTAAATTCATCGGAATAGATCTATTTCATAAGGATTAAGTGCACTTTGTCTGACTTGATATACATATGGAGGCTACATATCTTAAGTCACATATCTACAATATACTAATAGGTATATTCTCACTATTTATAAATAAAACTATAACGTTTATTAATATTTTGTTTTCCTTTAGAAGAAATTAATTAAAATTAATCTCAATAAAAAACACAATTTAGATAAAATAAAATTTTTCTTCTTTATTATGCGGTAACTAAATAATATCAGGAATTAATTGTTTTGTTGTAATCATTGTATATTATATGGAAAGACGAACGAATAAAAGCATCACTTTGTTCAACAAATGAATCCATATTTGACCAGAGATACCAAAAAGATATACCATATATAAAAAATGTTGTGCAACGATCCAAAATATATAACCTTCTTAAGTTCTTCTTTGCATTAGGAATAGTTTCATCGCCCTCTTTGAGAATGAATTTCCGCATTCCCAATATATAAATACGTATGTATTGCTCCCAATTTACTTGACTTGCAGACACATCAAAAATTTTTTGATCAGTAGAGTTTAGTTTTGCATTAAGTTTTTGAAATTTTTCATTTTTAAAGTCCCAATTTTTTGTAGTATAATATTGAAGTAATTTTAGACCTGTTGATATTTTTTTTTGTATTTGGACCAAGCTGAAAGTTAATCATATATATTAATCTAAGAATGCAATTTGATATATTTATTTAATTCATACAATGGCTTCCGTCCCAGCAAAAAAAGACATAAGTCTATAAAGTAAGCTGGAAGATAATGAAAAAGTATTACACATATTAAATGTTGATAATAATTTTTCTTTATAGATCCATCTGGATACCATAGCGCGAAACTTAATGGAGTTTCATAAAAAAAACGTTTTCCCGTTTCTATACTTTCACCCCAAGTTAAAAGTGCTTTGCTTGAAAGACATAAATTACAAAACTCTGCTTTATCTGACTTATGGCTAGCTCGGTCATATCCAGCTACTATCATGCCATTTATAGCCTTATCTACAGGAATCACTGTAGATGCATAGTCAGGATTACAGTGCATTGATCGTATTACACCACGTGCAGCACCTATCATCAAGCCTGTAGGCCCATTAACGCCTTCAATCCAACCAGGAAAAGGCTCTGATATAGCTGCAGTAACTGCAATAATAAGAAATCTATAAGTATGTTTTATTTATAATTTTAATTAAATTTTAAATTAAAGTAAATTCAATTTTTAAATAAATAATTAAAATACGGCGAAAGCTGAAATTAAAATCAAATGAATATAATAAAAGGTAATTAAATTAAAATTACTTTTAATATAAATTGAAACTAAATAAATGATGTAATGCATGTGATTTGTAAGTACGGTACAGTGGATCTGGATTTAAATTCGACTATAGTCTGTCCTAAAACGTACGTTGAACAATCTCTAAAAAATATTTCGTTGCTCTTTCTCAGGAATGGAGTTTTAAAAACTGTTTATTTTCGTAAAAATACGTACTTAAAAACTACATTAAGGTTTAGGTCAAAGTAGTAATGTAGTATAAATTCAGTAATGTACATAAGTAATGTTTTGACACTTTTTAGTCTTAACATATCTACTGAAGAATGTGGATACCATAAAATGGAATAACTATTGTAAATTGAGGCGTATGGGACTGTAAATGTAATATCTGATCAATTACTATTACTATTGCAGTAAGAAGTGTATATGTTTCTTATAGATTGTTTGTTATTTTCATAAAAATTTGGTCTTTATTTAATAAGTCCACATATGTACATACGCGATTGCCACATTACTATTATGTCAATAAGTTCGGACTAAAAAAATGCAATTGTTTTCAATGTTTAAAGTACTGATTTTACCTATTTATATTTGTAATAAAAGTTATACCTAACAAAAATTATAGGTATATACGAGTTCATATTTCATTTTTATAACCGATACTGATTCTAATATAACTTCAGTTAAAAAAATACAATATAATTGCTATAAAAAAACTACTATATTACTACTAAAACTACTACTACTATAGTATAAGTAGTATGAAAAACTTTCCTTAGAGAACTCTCAATAACTTTGTCTGATGTATACATATGGTTCAGCTAATTTAGCGGTCTAATATCTATTAGATTCTAAGCTCTGACTTATCGAGCAAAAAAGTTCAAAAGTTTTGGCTGCAGTATTAGATATTACATTAAATAAAACTATATACATATATTCATATAAAATGTGCATTATTAAATATATTGTGAACACTAAAAGGTTTATATTTGAATACATAATACGATATAGTCTTTTTCTTACTTCTGTTATAAAATATGCTGCTATTATTATTTAAAATGAAAGGAATAAAAAAGGATATTTTAACTTATATTAAGGGAATAATTTATTTAATATATAATATTGTTTCTTACCAATTGATGGTCTAGTTATTACAATAGGCAGTTTGCTACCATATCTATTGATAAGATCTTCTGATAATGCCTTACTATAGGCATAAGTGTTTGGTAATCCATTTAATAAACTGCAAATATTAAACAAAATTAATAAAAAAGATACAATTTAAGAATTTAAGTTGAAAATTACTTTGGAGTAATTTTAGCTAAACTTTGATCATCCATCGTATCTATCATGTTCATTATTTCAAATGGATTTTGTGGTGCTGCATAAGCCCGCTCCTCTAAGACGCTCTCATTACACTGGCAGTACGAAGTTGAAACATGTAACAAAACTTTTAAATTTGGCATTTTTAGTGCTAATTTGAGTAATTTTAATGTGCCAGCCACATTCATTTGAATCATTGGTCGTAAAGGTTGATCAAAACGGACGTTAGCTGCACAATGAAATATTACTTCAACATTCGAGGCTAATTCATTAGCATCATTCACATTTAAACCAAGGTCATTCTCCATTACATCGCCTTTGACAACTTGAATTTTGTTCATGATCTTACTATCTGCTTCTAACAGTTTTTTAAAAACCTAAAATAATCAATTTTTTACAATTAAACTCTGTTTTAGAGTAAAGTATACATTTGCGTTCAAAAATGATTTAAAATTATTAATAATTATGAATGATAATAATTGTGAAATAATAATAAATAAAATAAAATAAATAAATAAAATTGATAAAATCATTAATAGGTTGTTAATAAACTTTCACAGCAAATTAACAAAACTCTAGAAAAAAGTGCAAACATACAAATCAAGTACAGGTTTGGGTCAGTTGACTAATGAACGCTGACTCTGAGCTTCAAATTTGGCAGGGCAGGAGTTCAATCCCAGGTATTTGTAGTCTCAAAAAAAATAATTTACGAATAATTAAATATCAGAAATAGTTCCAAGACCACTGATGATGGGTATTTGGCAATACTCGAAACAGCTATATGGTTAGCCAAAAATTCAATTAATTAAAATAATATAAAAAGAATTGTTGTTGTTGTAGTTCAATTATATTAAAATCACACAAATTAATTTTATATGTGCAATAATACTCTAAAGGTAATATGATTTAGTATAATAACTCTACTTATAAACTAATCTGTTTTTATGAAATACTCCATAAGAACTGTAGTTACACATATTACCTTTAATAAAATTATACACATATATTCGTATAAAATGAATCAGGTACACATGTATCTGATAATAATATTAACTTCCTATTCATAATCAATTTGAAGTTTTCTTAATACCGTTCAACATATTCTGAAATATATTATACATACATATGAACTTGTGGAAATACCTTTATCATTACAAGAAATGTTTGTCATTCAGTCATGCTTATAAACACATAAATTTAAAGATACAGAAATAAATAAAAACATTTAGTTGCATCTCATGGAACAAGGGCCATGACTTATTTACTCATACTGAAAATGATTTCATGTACTTATTTTTATACAGTTTAGCTTAGTTGAAGTTAACTAAATAACAACTGAAGTAACAATAAAACACAAAATTGTATTAGGAAATGAACAATGGTAATTTTTTGTCAGCTCATCAAAAAATCAGTGGCAAAATAATTAAATAATAAATAAAAAATTTAAAATTCATGCTATATTTGTTTCTTTTTGTACTTCATTAGGGAAAAAGTTAAAACACACTAACTTATATTTTGTGTGTTGTTTATGTTATAAGCATACAATCTGCTTAAGAAGTATCGGGAATAAAATTTAAAAGGTTTGAATCATATTAGTCCTATATTTTTATTTTACTCTATGATTAAATAAATGAAAAATTAAAAAATTTTAACTTTCAGGCAAAAATACTTGAAATATGTCTTTAATTAGAAAAAGATACTCTTCTGTTCCTCTACAAATAATTGCGAAATTAAACTTTTAAGATTGGAGTATAACGAAAGACTTAAGCAACAAACCTGACTCAAGCTTTATCATAGGATAATAGACCTGTGTTAGTTATTATTTGCCTGATGAAAGAGCACAGGGTGGAGAGTATTTGTTATTGTTATATGAACAATAAAAATAAATATTTTAAATATAAGGTTTTTCATAATAGAGAATTACAACAAAATTTTATTTTAAATTAATTACATTTTTAATTGACTATACAATTGTTTCGAATATCAAAAAATACTTAATAGACGTGTTTTAGTCTTTGTTGTTAGATTTCTGTACTATTATTTTTGTAGAAACATTATTTATATTTTACTTTGTTCCTTCTGGCGTATTGATCCTTTAATGAGGACCATATTACAAAAAAGTTGTGGATATATAATCCAAATACCACTAATGATGTGCATTTCTCAACACTCAGAACAACCGTCTGGTGAGCTATAAAAGCAATTTATTAACAAAATTTCCGATTACGAATATTACTCTACGAAATTTCCGTTTCATTATTGGTAACGTTATGTAATGCATCATTAAAAGTAAATTAGCAGGGGCTACAGTAAAATAATGAAAGAGCGTAATGGGGAGGCCCGGATTACTATCCCTATACTCACGAGTTCTTACTTATGCATAGTTTAAATATTTATGCTTTCTTATATGTATATATTTTTTATAATATTAGAATAAAGATCACACAGAATATTTTTTAGCTATTTACTTAATTTACTATTTACTCAAAGAGAACGAATTTTTATTGGTAACATGAGACGTATTCTCAAAAACTTTAGTATACCGAAAGCCCTACTATTGTTATTTATGGTTACTCTGACATTGACCGTGGGCGTAGGAATATGAATTGGTAATACCTATGCCAAAAATATTCGAAGATGCGCTTTGAAATTGAGTTCTAACCCAAACATTTTTTTTTTGTCAAAGTAAATAACTCTGAATACTCAATTAAACAAAAATGTAATAATTTTTGTAGCTTATAAATTTAATTAAATTTTGGTATTTCAAGTGCGCTATGTGTAAATTAAAAATTCTTACAATTCGTTTATTATATGGTAATTAACTCGACAAATGTACAACAATAAGTAATATTTTTCATACAAATTTGTAACAAAATGCTTGTAAAACTAGCTTAGGTGGATACAGAATTGTAAATATGGCATTAGACATAATATATACAATTCTATTTTATTGTATTATATTGATCTATAAAACTATAATAATAAACATAGGTAAATAGCTTTTGATGATTTTATAAACAACTGCTTTTTACAGACATACTATGAACATATTAAGAATGATCTCGAAAACGATTAATTGTTTTTGGTTAAGTATATTTACATATCATAAACCTTACCAATAAATTTAGGGTATATCATAACTTTTTATTCACTCTGTAGAATTCCTTCTTTTGCCTAAAATTTTTCTAAACTTTTTTCTAAATCGCTATTATATTCGATTGCAAAGACTATACAATCACTTTTGTTAAGAAGTTAACATATCAAATGTAGATTAAAACAATTGAATTAAGTTCATTTTAGTATTTAATTTAGACTTTAAATTAAAATAGTGATAAATAATTTATAAAAATCTTTTTATTATTATGTAGTTCAATGCTACTAACGGATATTGAATATTGTAGTAAGTTAGCATTATCAAAGCATTTGAGAATATTTTTAAATACAGCCGAACAGTTAGTTACACCATCAGTGTTTATAAATTTAACAAAAATTCGAAATACATACATTCAGATACAGGTTGAAGCTGATAATAAGATAATAAATCTGAATAATGTTAATATTTACTATTATAATATTTACTATTTATGTTATATACACTTCATACTATAAACTATATGGTATACTTACTGTATTATTAGATGTTTAAAGTATCATTCACGATAAAAATATTCTATACTTACTATTGATTTAAAGTATTGCTCCTTTCGTATGAAAGCATCTACTCCCTTCTTGTGTCTTATAAGCAGATATAACTTATTTAATTTTGGACAGCTTCTCAAAAGTTTCTCTACAAGAACTTTTCCCATAAATCCAGTGGCACCAGTAATTAATATATTTTTTCCAGCGTACCATTCTGCTATTTGAGATATATTATTTTCGAACGTATTTTGTGAAAGCTCCATTTTTTGCTAAATAAAATTTAAAAATAATTAAAAGATAATAGAATATAATATCACGTTGAAACATATTTTCTTTTATACCCTTCACACATATACATATAGTCTTTATGTGGTTAAAACAGCAAATTTATTAAATTTAGTTATTTCCAATTCTCAAAAATTAAATTTTAGATACAGAATCTTTGCAATATGAAATGTGGAGCACACCTTATCGGTAATAAACAGTAATAGAAGAGATTTCTCTAAACCAGCGGTGTCGAGTGCGTGCTAATATTAGAAGTTTTTCTTGTTAAACTTTTAGCATGTCTAGTTCTTGGCATCAATAAATTACTTTAAATACAAGTAAGCTATGACAGAGAAAAAGAAAGCTATGTTTCTTTCATTTTTGCTGCAGATGCCTTGCTCTTTGCAGGCAGTTAGCCACCACCATTGGTAAATCGGTTTTTAATAATTTTGGAGAACTAACGATGAAAAAATTATTTATGATTGAACTTATGAAGTTAAGTTATCACTTTATTTTTTAATATATTTCAAAATTTATTATTATTTATTATTATATCTTCATTTCAATATGGAGACCATATAGATATACAGATTAAGTTTGAAAAACTTGAGATATTCCGTAAATATCTCTGTCTAAAGGGTATTTAGGATTCGGTATACTTATAACTTTTTTAATGTTGCACAAATATAAAGTTTTTATTATTTTGGGTTTTAAGCGCTTCTATGAAACTTTAAATAAAAATCTTTTAAGTTGGTATTTTATTTTTTATTTATATTTTATATAGTTATTATCTACATAAATAACACCGACATTTCGAATTCATAACTATTCTAAAATTTTTATTGTTTAATATCAAATTTAATATTTTCAAATTTTCAAATTGTTGTACAATGCATATTACACTCCAATATATCATTTAAATTAATATATTAAAAAACACGGAAGTTATATTTTGGATTGATATCAAAACAGTGTATTTATTTGAAATTATATATCAAATTTAAGTTGAATTTTTGCTAAAACTTTCTTTCAATTTAATTTTATAACATACATTTAAACTTTATAGATTTTAATTTTCGTATTTGTCACACAAAACCATTTTTATTTTTTTCGTTATAATTTTCATTAAATACAATAAGAGCAGAGCAACCACGAGTAATGAGAAAAGAAAGTAAGAAATTATTTTTTAAATTTTATTTTTGCTTTTAATGATTCCATACCAGTGCCTTCACTTATACTTGCATTGTTTCTATTATAATCAGTTTTTCACAGAAATTATTTAAATTTAATTAAATGTGCAATTAAATTGCATGTCAAAGTTGAAAAATATATATCTTTACACTGCAATTATAAAAATATTGTATAGAACAGCGAATTAAAATCCCCAATGCAATTTGCTTAGATTTGAATGAAATTTAAATGGACTTCACAAACATTTCTAAGAATTATTTATTAGACTTTTCAATTTTAGTATTTTGCCGCGACGTATACGGATATGAATATATTAGTTTAAATGGCTAATATCTATTGCAAGTCTATTATCAGTTATTATTTACAGTTTTAAAAAGCGATGTTGTCGATAGAAGTTCAATTGATTAAAGACTATAATTTGTTATTAATTAAATTTTTACTTAATAGAAATTCTAAGTTGATTCTAAGTTAATTTTAACCTATTAAAATTTAAATAACAATATTTGGTAAAACACCGCTAATTATACAGCAAAATTTCCAGAGTAAACATTAGTAATTCAATTCTCTCCAAAATATGTGACTTTCAAAGTCTCATGGGTCAAGAATGCAGAAGTTAAAAAACGTTTTGCATATACAATCAGTTCATATAGCAATAATACAAAAAATCAGAGACAATCGGACAATCAGTTTTTGGAGGTGATATGTAATATTATTTTTGTAAATATGCTAATAAAACTTTCACAGCAAATTAAAAAAACTTCAGAAAAAAGCTCGAACATACAATTCAAGTATGGCTTTGGGTCAGCTGACTAATGAATGCTGACTCTGAGCTTCAAATTTGACAGGAGCTCAATCCCAGGAATTTGTAGACAAAAAAAAAATATTTTACGAATATTTAAATATCAGAAATAATTCCAAGACAACTGATGATGGGTATTTGGCAATACACGAAACAGCTATATGGTTAGCCAAAAATTCAGTTAATTAAAATAATATAAAAATGAATTTTTGTTGTTGTAGTTCACTACTTTTCGAAAAACCTCTTTATTATTTTTGTCCACATAACTTTTGTATCAGCAATCAGTTTATATAAAAGTTCTGTAGCAATAAGAATGAAATATAATACAGATATTAGATACGCTTATAGTCATAAATTTTATTTACCCAATTTAGATCGATTAAATTTATTGCACAAAATTTTTATATGTACATCATTTATCTACAAAGATTATTTAGCGTAAAGGCACTTTTCTTCGTTTATTCGCCAATAAAGGCAAATAATACAAATGCTAGTAAGTGTAATATCATAATATGGTGGACACACTGTCTAAAGATTTATTTCCCAAAAGAGGAATAATATATATCTTTGGATTGGTATTTAATTAATCTTATACGTACCTTCTAATTAAAAAAGAACGAGAGGCCTATTTTTAAATTTCCGCGCTTATCCAATCGGTAAATTTTTTTATTTTCACGTTGGCAACACTATTATACACATTCTGTCAAAGTTTAACGCATATCGTACGATTAGTTTTTGTTTGGCGTCTACACAAAGAAGTCGAAAAATGTTCGTGTGACGATTTTTATAATGGATCAAAAATTAGAACAACGTGCGTGCATCAAATTTTGTGTTGGATTCAAGTGTGCCGAAACTGTTAAAAAATGTTAAAAAAGGCCTTTGATGATTTGTGTGTGTCGCAACCACGAGTATACAAATAGTTTAAAAAATTCAAACACGGTCCTACAAGCTTGGATCATGATGAGATCTCTGGCCGTCCAACAACTTCTGTTACTGAAGAAAACATTGAATCGGCAAAGCAGATCGTGTTGGAAAATCGTTGTGAACCGATTAGAAAATTTGCAGTATTTGAAACGCGTTGCTTCTCGGCTGGTGGCAATAAAGCTGAATTTCATTCAAAAAAAGCCGTATTTTTGGCCAAAAACTCCACCAATATCATCAACCAAGCACCGTACTCTCCAGATATGGCCCCGACTTCTCTTCTCCCGACTTAAATTGCCATTGCGAGGAACGTGTTTTGAGACTATAGAGGCCATAAGGTAAAAATTGCCACACGAACATTTTTCGACTTCTTTGTATAGACGCCAAACAAAAACTAATCGTACGATCTGCGTTAAACTTTGACAGGATGTGTATAATAGCGTGAAAATAAAAAAAATTTACCGATTGGATAAGCGCGGGAATTCAAAAATTAAAAATTAAAGTTATTTTTTGATCACAAGGTATATATGAATATAATCCTGAGGGAATATAGATTATGAATTCATTCCTTTAAAAATCCAATAAGGCAAATTTTAATTATCTAAAACAGCTTAAATTAATTAATTATTAATAAATTTATTAATTATTAATATTGTATTATTAAATAAACAATTTTAATAGAATTAATTATTTAACATTTAATATTTAATGATTTATATAAATATTTGTAACTGGCACAAAAATTTCAAACAATAATGGTGCACGTTCTTTCATATCGACGGATATACGTGTATTACATTTTTAAATATTCGTATGAGTTTCAGCAAAATTGTATATATGTTAGAATAATCATATATAAGTGAGTACAAAATAACAATTTAAACACTGTTTACACAACTTGTCTACAATAATTCAAATCAAACGATGTGTAATTGATGTGTATAAATGCATGCTGAATAATTATCACTTAACACCTTATAATCATAGGAATTTAATATCAGTATTTCACATAACTTGAACTCTTTTGATTAAATTATTTAAATATATGTTACACTATTCCTAATGTTACTGACTTAAGGAGAGAAAAATCGTTAGTAACTGCATTTAATTATTCGTCGATTAAGAATGAGCTGATGAATTTCTTAACCTAATGTAAACCAAAGTAAAGAACTATTAAAAGTGAAAAAAATAAATATATTTTGTTTTTCATAATTTTTTAACATTGAACAATTTTATAAAGTTTATCTACAAAAATGTTTTTATTTTTATTAAGTGTTTTTAGTAAAGTTAGTCAACACTTCTCATTTTTAATCTTTTTCAGCTTTTAATTCTTTTTTATGGGAGAAATCATATTCGTTGTGGTGATTTTAATACATTATTAAATTAATTTTATTAATAATGTGGATATTTGTAAACAAAAGAAGTGTTAATATTACTTCAAATAATAATGAAACTCAAAAGTATCGCAAAGAGATCAAATTTTTTCGAAATTTACAAATAAAAATTAATTTTGATGGAAAAATAGTTAATTTTAAAGAAGAGAACGTGAGAAAACAGGAGCATTGAGTAAGAATATTATTTTAAATTAAGTAAGAATCTTACCTATATTATGTTTATATGAATTCTAAGATTGATTACGTTCACAACTATTAGTGAGTGATGGTAGGTGAATTATGTACACTTTATCTTCTTTCTGTCAAAATTTAAACATCGTTTGACATTATTCCGTGACTTAATATTTTATTGGTCAAAAAACAATATGGAACAAATAGCTAAAATAAAAAAAAATTCTTCAAAGGAATTAAAAAGTACAACCTATCGATTTTTGACCGAAGATTTGGGAAAATGGAAGAATTTTAGAAGAGGGTGCTTTTCAAATAATTACAAATTTGAGGTTGTTAAGTAATGTTATTATTTACGGATCTATTTTTTTGCGATCTTTTAGAGTAGCAAAGGTTTTTGAAAGAAGAAAATATTAATAGACCTTTCTTTAAAAATATTAAGTTTTTTAAGTACAAAAGAAATTGTTATGCTATGTGTTAGATAGGATAATAGTAAATGAGTAACTGGGTGCTAACGTATGCTATAATTAAAGGATATATATATTTTTGTCATTGGATTAATGTGTTATTTTAAAAGTTAATCTACTTCTGTATTACGAAAAATTTAAGGTTGGCAAAATATATTTGATAATTTTGCTTCTGAAAAAAAAAGAAAAAACAGTGAATCTATTTAATAAATAGTTTTTTCAAAGTCTTTTTCACAAAAACGATCTCTAGTGATAAAATCTTGGGTTTGATTTTAAATTATTTATTTTACCAGAAATTCTTCAAAACATTGCCTCTCTGTTGAAGAAATCTTGTTTGGAATTTCAACTTATTTGTCTTTCTAAAAGTTTTTCAGAACATCACTATCTCTTTTACGAAATTTCAGTCTCCATTTCAGTTTATTTATCTTTATAAAATTTTTTCGTATTACTTTCCCTTTCAAAATTTCAGGTTTCTTGCAGTTTTCTTATATTTTCTGAGATTTTTCACAACATTATCTCCTTGCGGTGAAATTCTGGTTACGTCACTGTTGCTTATGTAAAAATTATTAAAAATTTTTTTAATGACTTCTTGTTTAAAATTGAAATTTAAATTTATTAAATCATATAAGTTTCTGAGCTCTAAATAAAATATTTATTTTTTTTTTCTAATTATACCAATTAATTAAAATTTTATTTTAATTAGCAACTTTTTGTTACCATTTTAAAAGGACAATTAATAATAATATTTTAATTTAATTAGAACTATTTAAATCATAAATTTCTGATTGAAATAAAATAATTTATTTATTTTTATTTTTTACTTATACAATTTAATTATATTGTACTATGTGGAATATTACAAAAAAGTTGACAGCGTGTAACATTTTAGAATGCTATCGAAATTTTCACTTACTATATAATGTCATACTATTTTAGCAGAAATAAATAATCATTAATATAATTAAGTAATGCTAAGACATTATTAGGAAATGATATTTTACTCTAACTTATCTTTCACTTCAATAGCAAATTTAAGTTTTTTTTAGTTAGAATAAGCATCAGTTGTTTATGTTGAAGAGGTCATAGTGTTGTGATTGTTTGGCCTTTTACTACTAATGATAGAGTTTTTTAAGAAAATAAGAGAATATTAATAATGATAGATTTTTTGAATTATATGGATAATATAGCATATGCAACACACATAATCAATAAAAACTAATATTAGTGTAGCTTATTTAAGACAAAATATTTAAGTTGATATTGTTAGTATTTTTTTAAACATTTTTAATAGATGCAGTTGAAGTTATAATTTGTTTTTAATATTAAAATGCAATTTTTATAAAATGAGCACTTTTAGCACATATTATGTTCAGTGAATAAAATAAGTAAATTAATTATTGGTATGCACATCGTTTCAGAAAAATATGTTTCCGTTTAGCCAAGAAGGTTGTCAAAAACTTTTTGTGTTTTAAAATGCACACATAATTAATTGTGTAAAATCATTTACACAAATATTGATAATAATTATTTGAATTTCTTATTATTGAATTATTTTCAAAGTCATCACTTCAAATGAATTTGTTACTTTTCCATTAACACTTTTATGTTAAACATTTACTTTATAACAAACCGAACTCACTTCCTATAAATTACTTATATTAAATAATTCCTTTTATGAAATAATATTATGGGAAAATAATATCGAATTTTACAATAAATTTTTTGAGTTGAACACCAGTGATTTGACGTGATTTGCTTCTGCTGAAGTCAAAATCTTGACTAAACCAAAATGCACGAATGCCTCAAAATTATACAAACTCTTCGAGGTAAAGGAAATAGTTAAGCGTACGAATTGCAAATATGAACACGGCTGTGGCTTCAATTTACGTTTGTGTGATGATTCAAGCTCAGCGATACAGTGATTAAACAGTAGATTGTATATTGTACAATAATATTTAAACGTATTCGAAATCATAATGTACACACTCTAATTGAGGCTTTTATTTCAAAGAAAGAATGGCAGTAAATTTTTCAATACACTGCCTTCTACATAGTCACAGACGAATAAACTAATATTTTTGTTTAAACAATTCAAGTCCACAATTATTATTAGGTAACGTTTCTAAATTACCGATGTAATATACTTTGCAAGTGTAAATGTACCTATACTATAAGCATACTATACACGTATAAGAACGAATGTGAAAACAATTACATTCGTTCTATAATTATATTTTTAGCTTAAATCAGGAAAAAATAATTTTTAGCTTTAATAATTTTAATAATAGCTGAATAAAATATATTAAAAAATGGGAGTTAGTAATATGATAATTGCCAATCCCTCATTTGGCAACTCTGAAACAGTTTATTTGACCTAAAAACCATCAACGACAGACACACTTTGAAGGAGTTTAACTTCAATTGCAAGGCCACATAAACTGCAGCATGTTTACATACTCGTGTTACGTTGGCTAACTCATCAACTTCCATTTAAATAAGATTTTTGCTGCACAGATACCCACAACAAAACAATAAGAAAATAAGAAAAAATTAAACAACAAATTTATAAACCGAACCTGAATTCCAAGTCATAAAACTGGTATGTTATATACACGACGCATGTAACATATCCACTTAACAGTTGAAAGGACTACTGTCAAATACAACAATATGTGCAAATAACAGTAAAAAAATAATTTTGTTGGCATGATTCGCAATAGCAAAGCTCTAATATTTATTGAAAGTTTATATAATATTTTTTGTATTTATTTGCGATTCTTTTCGAAAAGATTGCACTACAGTCTAAAATTCCATTGAATGTATGCTGTCACGAATTCCAATTTTGTTTAACAAAAATTGATCAGAATATATTTTATTTTTCTTTAATGCAATAATGACTGTTACAAAATAAATGTCGATAATATGTCATAATAACACTTATGAACTAAAAATCAAATACTAATACAAAAATATAGACACGTAGTATATTTTATAACGCTTTCAAAGTGACATATATACATCCATCTAATCTAGGGCATAATCCAAATGTCGAATAATAATGTAATTTAAATAGACTACGCACATGAACAGCAAGGACCAAAGCAGTAATGACCTATAGTATATTTTATAACGTTTTCAAAGTGACATACATATATACATCCATCCAATCTAGGGCATAATCCAAATGTCGAATAAAGATGTAATTTAAATAGACTACGCACCTGAACAGCAAGGACCAAAGCAGTAATGACCTATTTAGCCTATTTAGCCTAATAGAGCCTATTTGATGGATGCTCTAATACTTTCCCATAAAGGCACGAAGCATTCCATGTATCCTGATACGACACCCTAGTTAAATAGGTCAGATATTTAATATTTTTTTATGCTTATACAATAATTTATTTATAATGTAACAGTCGTATTGAGTGTATTTTCTTTGTTAGGTTAAGAAATTATTCAACCCATTCTTAATATTAGTAATGAAACTCTTCCCACCTATGTTATTATTTTTATTTCATGGCATTTTATATAGCCTTGGACCAAGAAATCATCTCTGGTATTAATATTGCTTTAATTGCTTTAACATTAATATTGAATGCATAACAAGTATCATTACTATATTTGGATATATTGAATTTTGTTTGTTCAGTTCATAACATCTTTTGAATGAAGTTTATAAGTAGTGCACATAAATTTAAATAAATTGTTTCAAATTTTATATAAACTAGTATTATTGTATTATTGTTATAATAAGTATTATTGTTAAGGGATGTAGTGCTGCGACCGTCGGGTTTATTGTGCCCGTATTTAAAAGTAAAAATATTAAAAATTAATGCTTAAAGGAATATATACCAGGTTAAGTTAGGTTAGGTTAGACTGGCGGGCTTGTGTACCAAGAAAGCCCACTTGAGCTCAAATAATGGCCAGTTGTGGTATTACAGGAATAGCGTTGGTTCGTACATAGACAAGATCAGTATTCGACCAATGCCGAAAAAGGCAACGACCCCCCCATTAGGTGAAGGTGAAGCAACCTGACAGTTCTATGAGTCTGGCTAGGTTCCTAATATTGTGCGATGCCAGCTCAGTCAGAACGGTCAGAAAAGGGACAATATATATCAGACTTTTATATGATAATGTTATAGCGGAGTTGGTATTGACATAAACGTCTTATCGTATCTAACCTAGTTTGAATATAATGAGTTGTTCCGAAACTAATCACGTTTTTCTTGTAAAAATGATGGAGGATATTTTTGCAGTTTCCACATATTTAAAGCATATATTTTTCATATTGGTCTAATTCTTTTTGCGAGTATTACTGACAGTATTATAATTACACGTTCATAAAGCTTCTGATCTTTGCTGGTAAAAACTGCTCAAAGTCATTTTTGATCTAATTTGAAGTAGAAGCTTTGCCTTTTGAAATATTTTTAAAAGAGCAATATTCCTAAAATTCCATCATTTTGCTGATAAAAATGAATTTTTAAGTGTGTAAATTTTAAATTTTTTTGTTATTAAATGACATCTAAACATATAATTAATGTGAACTCCTACTGAGACTATTCTTAATCCTTGTTAAAAATTTAAACAATTATCCCAATTTCTAGTAAAAATATTTTTTTTATTTGTGAGTTAACATTAAAATTAATTTTAAAGTTAACTTTAAAAGCTTTGTCCTTCGCCTTCAGTAAAAATATAATGAATATAATTTAATCAGATTTTTAAATATTATAAATATTCAAAACTAAATCAAAACATCAGTTTACATGGATATCAAAACATCAGTTTATAGTTTATATTATTATTAATTAGTTGGAGAATTTACAGTACCAACAATGAATATATTGAGCCAGCTTAAAGGTTTTAAAATAATTTACCAAGTCTTATTTTCTCGATAAATTAGAGTATTGAGTTAATTTTACCGAGTGTTATTTTCTCATCCCATATGAGATATCAATCTTAGAATTTTTTTCTATTTTTTTGATAGTTTGACAAATGTTCATGAAGGTATATTAATATAGGCATAGGCTAAATATGTAAAACTCTTTTGTTCTAGTATCGGCTAGCCTTGAAATTGTAAATTAATCCTTCATACGTATCACAAACAAAAGAAATAAGTTATTAAAATATTAGTCATTCATGAATACTATTAGAAAACGAAGAGCTATTATTGGTATTTATCAAAACTAAATAAAATATTTCTAATTTAGTGAAAATACCTCACAAAAAATGTGAGAAAAGCTGCAAATATTTAAAAAAAAATTAACACCATGAAAAAAATATATAACTTCTTAATGTGTTTGTTAATAAATAATCTCATCATTGTGCTAATTAAAATAGGTCTTTTTGTTATAATTTTAAATGAGAAATTGCTTTAATTTATTATACATAAAAATATTTTTTGAACATATCCGTTTTAGCACTATTTACAGATTTTATAATAGAGATAGTGACATAGAGATGAATTTTGTTATTTAAACTGGTAAATTAAAATTAAAATATATATTAATATGTTATAGCTGTTAATAATAAGAAGAAACATAATTTTTCTAAACTTTTTTATAAAAAATTAGAATGTTCAATTCTTTAAAGCTTTAAATAATTATTATTTTTTAAGAAATATATTAACCAACATCATGTTTTATTAATAGTCAAAAATTCAGGAAGTAGGGTGAATATTGCAAATCATAATATTTAAATTACTTCTATCTTTATTGATGTGCAAAGAGGTATGTGGACTTACTCTATTACAGCACATCATGTCATAGTTTTGTTTAAAAATTAGCTAAAATCTCGTAAAACATATGCTAAAGTTCACTTGGTGCTAACTTATTTGAAAATTGATTTTGGTTTCGCAATTATGTTAACGTTGGGCTTTACTGAGTTACAAAACTCTGAATATTTTATTGAAAATGCTAACAAAATATTTAGTATGTGTTTTGAAGATATTAACTAGTATTTTATTGCATTTTTGCAACTAGGATAGATATACACTAATTTTAAGGAATCTTAAATAGATCTCTTCTTTTGTTATTGTTTAACATTTTAAATAAAAACAATTTTGTAGAGTGTAATAAAGTAGCTTACTCTTTATACTAACATTTGGCCATTCATTAACACATAATTAAGAACGTACTAACTATGTACTAATAAATGTGGTTCTTTTATAGAGACAATAATATATATTATTAGGGACAAGGAAATAAATTAAGTTTAAATTAATCAACATTTACTCAACAACATTTACTGTAACAATTAAATCATGCAGTGAAAATGTCTGCATATGAATCACTATTCTAAAATGCATTCGAATTTTGGAAGATTGTATCATTACTTCAGCAGGTATTAAAACGAATAGTTTCAGCGCAGATCAATTTTATTGATCAATTCTATGGATGCATTTTTACAAATAAAGAAATCGAATTACTGTATATATTTTGCTCCGCACACAATATCGGTAGCGATATTAACAAAAATGCACTTAAAATAGTTGCTTCAATTGCCCTAATTGACATTCATTCAATTAATAAATCGAGTAATGAAGTAATTTAGTCAGACTCAATATTTTTATTATGAAATAGATGAAGTCGAAGATTTTTTGTGTGGAATATGAAAAATTCTAAATAAAAGACAACTTTTAAAAATATATAAAATTCAAACTTCGATGTAATTATAAAAAAAAATACAACCTATGCAAATATCAAAGTTGGTTAAAATTTGAAGGTAAAAAATTAAAATAATCTTGAATCAAATATTGAGGAATATGTTTAACATATTAACTCATTTTTCTTTTTATAGTTTTAATATTTTTTATAAGTTTCAATAGTCAAAATTATGCTTTAGATATAATAAATTATATTGTTGAAATTATAAATATAAATTGCAGACTACATATTCTCAATGGCTACAAGAAATTATTTTATTCTAAAATGTAATTCTTGACTTATTGCAATTATTTATTAAAACAAAAAAAAAATTAACAGAAGTTTCTACAAATCCAAAATTGAAATGTCTAAACAAATAAAATGTGTATTACGGATAATAATCACGATAAGTACGAAAAGTGTTTCTGTGCTCCCATTATGAGCATAATTTGTTGTAGTAATTCATGGATAGGAAATTATGTATACATTAAAAACAGAAAATACACATGTTTTTAAAGAATTAAAAAACATGAAATAGGGAAAAATGGGTGTGATTTATAAACTTTAAAACTGTTTTTGTTTATATTTAAAAACAATGTTAAAAACAATTCTAAAAACTTATTGAATTTCTTTTACTTGTTTATAAATTTATTGTATTTAATGTATTATATTAAGTAAAATAAATAAATAATTTTAGAAATTTTTATGAAAAATTTGTAAAATTAAAAAAATTATGAAAAAAAAATAAAATAATCAGTAATAGGGCCTATTTACACTATCATGAACATAAGATGAACTTGACGACAACATGAACTGTCAGTTCGGTTTACACTGTCATGAGCGTGAAATTTGTTTTGTTTTGTGTAAACGTATAAAATGCTTGTATGTAGTAGTGCAGAGCACAGAAATTGAGAGTATTCAGTATTAAAAGGTAAACGTAAACATAACATAACATATGTATGCGTATCAAGCTAAAAAAACGCAGCAAATTTCATTGCGTGAAATTCGTGAACTCACATCACACTCTCTCTTGATAGTGTAAATCGGCCCATAGGTATATAATAATTGTTTTATTACCATTATTTTGATTGAATCATATACATTGCTTGGTAAAAACATTAAGGTAATTAATGTTTAAATTTCAATTATTTTTTTAATGTCTTTATTGATGCTTCGCAACCGTAGCTATTTACATTAAACGTTTGTCACATGTACTATTACTTTATATATTATTATTATATGTTATATTATTGTTAAATATTTTTATTAACTATTTTTTAATATATAAACAACAATATATATATTCATTTATACTTCATTACGCAAATCAACACGAGTGAACATTAGATTTGTACACGAATTATGTGTAAATTATTTATGTTGCTTTCTTATAATTTTCTTTATCGTATTAACTAATACAATTAATAACAAACCCTATTTCCGATTATCCGAATACATTTACTGAACGCTGTGGCATCACTGTCGAATCATTTGTAAACAATTTCATTGTGGTGAATTCAAATATATGTAGTTTTAATAAAATATGGATCAATGTTTTCTATGTGGAAATGGAAATACGGACTCATTTTATACGATTGAAACAACAAATGCTCCCTATTCTCAAAGGCCACTTGAAATGGTATTCAAACATCTCGGCAAAATTATTAAAATCGATTTGGTTTTTCGTGGTGTAACAAAATTGTGCACAAATTGCTTCGATGAATTATCAGATTACGATGAAGTGATGGTGAAGTTAATGTCTTTTCAAAATAACTTAACAAAAAAACTTGAGCTATGCATTGGTTCAAAATATGAAAATCAAGATGAAATTTTATCAGATGGTGCCGAATTTCTTATAGAAGAAACAAGTGACAAATCTACAATAGAAGAAGATTTGATCGAGACTGTCTGCAGTTCGAAAGAAGAAACATCTGCTAATGATCCAGACGATTTTATAATAGATTGTGATAACAATAGCAATAAATCTGATAGTCCTAGAAAACGACCTACACAGGACTGTGTTATTTGTGATACAAGTTTTAAATCAAAATTTCGACTTCAGGAGCACATGAAAGTACATCACGATAGCAAAGATCATTCATGTAATATATGTGGCGCTATTCGACGGGATGAGGAGTACTTAGAACTTCATATGAATATTCATGAGGGTAAAAAAGAAACAGAATGCAGATACTGCCCAAAACAATTTGCTCGGCCTGTGAATACGTTGCGACATATGCGGAAGCATTGGGATCAAAAGAAATATCAATGTGAAAAATGTGGTGAACGCTTTTCATTAGATAATATGTTATATAATCATCGAATGCGACATGAAGCCGAGGAAAATCCACTTATATGCAGCATTTGTAAGCAGTCATTTAAATCGCGTAAAACATATAATCATCATATAATAATACATCAGGAAAACCGACCACGACACCACTGTACAATATGTAAAAAATCATTTACTGAACGTTATTCATTAAAAATGCATATGAAAACACATGGAAAAGACTGTCCCCAAACAGTAGAAGAAATTCTTGTGGAAGCAGAAACTGACAAAGCCGTTTGTTCTCTCACAATTGATAATGGTGAAGAAGATTGCCTAATTTGTAATATGAAATTTGAGAACAGAAATGAATATGAAAAGCACGCACAAAATTTTCATAGCGATATTATACCTTAATTTTTTTTTGCAGGTCAATATATTTGTACAATATTAATATTTTCTTTTATAAATTGTATTGCATTAAATTTAACTTTAATATAAGTTTCTGTACAAAACTAAATAGTTGTCTTAATATGTTAGTACGCACGGGTTTTATAAATTTATTGTATCTTCCAAACTTCTTCCTAAAAATTTTGCTATTATTTCCGATGTGTTAAGTTTGTAGAACTCAAAATTAGTTCAACTAAGGAACTTCGAATAATAGCATTTATAGTAACTGGTTTACTATTACTTGTAACGATTACGGTTTTTTTTTATTTAAATGATAAACAGCAGTTATATACATTTACTTTATATTGCATTACAAGTTCTTTCTGCAAACAAGGTATCGAATCTTCATAAAGTTTAACTTATTGTTTCTATGACAAATCTCAACATAAGTCGGACCGCACTTTTACAGTTTTTAGTACTTTAATTCCGATTTTGGATACTTTAGATAACTATTCAAGTTAAATATACTATAAAAACTACAAGTCCTAATTCCGAATCAATATCAGACGACACTGAATCTTTCATAAGCTCAACTTACAAACAAATTTGTATTGACTAATTATAACAGAAAATTAACTGCACTAACTCTTGTATAGTTTGAATAACACTTTAACGTAAATACGCGGCTTAAACTATAAAATTCTATTTAGATTGCAAATTAATACATTTTTAGTAAAAGATTTGTATGTGGAATATGGTAATTTTTTTAATGTTTTTTAAGATTTGTGTACACAACTAAGCAAAGACAACTAAGCTTATTCATTCTCTTGTGAGCGCAAGCGACCATTTGGATTTGTCAATCTAATAGACAATTGCTTAGCACGTTCAACAATTTCCTTGCGTTTTTTTGATGACACACCGCGTGCGATCTCGCCACAGTATACACGGTTTTGCATCATGAGGACTTCCAATTCCTTTACATTATGTACGAGAAACTTTTTAAATCCTGTAGGCAGCATATGGCGGGTGCGTTTATTTGAACCATAACCAATGTTGGGCATCAAATATTGTCCCTTAAAACGACGACGTACTCTGTTGTCGATACCTTTTGGTTTACGCCATTTATGCTAAGGTAAAAAAGTTTTTCAGTAAACGAACATAAAAAAATTCTATAATATACTCACAGAAAGCTTAGCATAACGATCAGATTGATGACGTATAAAATGCTTTGTCCGCTTCTTCACAATTTTAGGTCTATATGCTGGGCGAATAGTCATTTTGAACGCTAAAATTATAAAGCATATCAGTTAAATACAATCGTCATTGCTTAGAATCTTTCAGCATAGGCACTCTTCGATTTAGACATTTCTCACAATAATCAATGTAAAAAATGTTTGATATAAAATATTATTACAATTATTTATTTATTTTACATTTTAGATTTGAAAGCAAAGTATATAATATATAGAAGATTGCATATGATTTGTCGGATTTTTAAAATAATGCAAACCTATACCTATAAAAGAGCACGTAAAAAGAAAGGAAATTGAAGTTTGTTGTGATTGATGGGAGCATGCAGTATGTTCAGTCGGCGCATATTTGACAGATATGTTCCGTGTATACATTCAAACATGGGGTTGATGGCACTTGACAATATAGAATATATAAGTCGATATATATGCTGTCTTACATTAGCTCTTTTTTTTTTTAAAGTAAATGTCAAATGAAATTTAAAATGAGAATGAAATCATATATTCTTTTTAAGACAAGCAGTTTGTTAATATAGTACAAAATAATTTCAAATTAAACCATAATAAATCAGATGTTTTTATGCTTACTGATATTTTTATTTCAATGAAGCAACATTTTTTAAATATCTTGCATATCTTTTCAATTTAATTTAAATAATTTATCAAGTAAAATTAAACAATATTTAATGAAGTATAGAATAACATTTCGATCTCATAATCCTTCTTTCGTACCAGTTTCTGAATTCTTGAACTCTCGGATTGTATGCTGAATCTTTTTTTGTTTAATGAAATTCAAGCTATTTTATTTTTCGGTACGAAGAAATTATCATTGCGTAATACGTTGCAAATTATATAACATCTTATTTCTGGCAAGGTTTCAAATAATTATTTTAGCTGTCGATATTCTCAATAATCACAGTAAGCTGGATCACAATTCAAATATATTGACAAAACAAAATTTGGAAAATTTCAGTAATAAAATTATTTTCCTAGAAGAAGTTTCAAGTTTCCTGATTAAGGGAATAAATAGAACACAATAAATAATTTTCAAATTTAAATATAGCCTCTGTGTTTTTAATTCCGTTCGAGGACAGAAACCATGCTATATATGCAATATAAGCGAAATAACACATTTACTTTATATATATTAAATTAAATAATTGTTTATGGGACTAAATTTTCTTTGCGATTAATGTAGTATTAAATTATTATTTTGAAATTATTTTAATTTTTTATTAGCATTATACAAAATTTTCCCAGGATTATAGAATAATCTGGTGTTGTCTTGAAATTATACTGAATTTATAATATATCGAATAAGCCACTAATTCGATTTATTATTAACAAATAAAACATATAATTTAATTTTGTCTTTGTTATTAAAAAATTGTTTTGATTGGAAATAAAATAAAACAAAATTAAAGCAAATTATTTTATTTGCAATCATTTAATCTTGTGTCATTGTACTTTGTAATCATTTAAATTATTGAGAAGAGCTGGGTATTATATTAATAAATAAGTGCAGTAAAGAAATTCAAATATAGCCTTGCATTTAAATTGCAATTAATTTATGTAAGTTATATTTAGACGCTGTTAGGTAAATAATTGTTCACTAAAGTTTTAAAATGAAAATTCCAAAGCAACTGATTTAAAACAAATGGAAAAAAATTAAAAATTATAATAAAACTAGTTCTTTTATTTTTATCAATATATCTTAATTTATAATTTTTTAACGCTTAAAATAATATGTAAGTTTTGTGAAATATTTTATAACATAAACAGCTAATGAGCTGATGTTTTACTGAATACCAAAAAAAAAACTATCAGGCCCAATGCTCGGCAATTTGTTAACTGCACATTAAAGTTATGACTTTACCGAGTTATTAATCTCGTCTGAATGTTCCTAATATCATAATAAATTTATTATCGTGATATGATTGCAGTAATTGTTGCCTTACGTTTATCACAATTCCTGTTATAACCAATGCAATGCATTACTCTGAATAATATTTATAATAACACACTTATCGGTTGAGTCGTTCTATTACTTCCTATAAGAAGAATCTTTGAGTATTATACCTATGTTATTGTTTACCATATTGTGTGGAACGGTTTTATTACATAAAAAAACTTCAATATTAATCCATTAAATTTTAAAGTTTTTATTTGCATCTTTCTTTCTAAGAATTTAAAGCTATATAACATATAATTTTTAAGAATCACAACATACAAATAAGTTTATACATAAATATATATATATACGAGAAAATTTAAATTAAATTTTAAATTAAATGCTCATTCTGTCGATACTTTTAAAAATATTTTTTGGTATAATATTAAATATTTTAAGTCAAAAACATTTAGGATTTTATTTACAAATATTTGATACTAGCATCTTGTGCTTTCTTTAGGCGTCTCTCTATGTATACACCAATACTATATTTGTTTAATTTGTTTGATAATCCTTTATACAATCTATATGCAATTTTTGTATTAGAAACAAATTGTACTACAAAAGGAATATCTTTAACTATGATAAAAAAATACTTGCGGCATGACTATATTTATGACACCAGTTTTTTCAAGGTTTCATATGCAGTATTCATTATACCCCAGCTTAAGAAGGAACGACATGAATTAAACATGCAACCACGATAAAAATATTTAATTTGTCCTCCACGTTCATAGTAAATTCGTTTTGAAGTCATCCACATACTCGCTGGTTTTTGTCCCATTTCACTTTGCATAGCAACTTTAATTACATTTAGAGGATAAAAGAGTGTACTTATGGAAGCACCAATTATAGCTCCAGCTACGAATTCTTGCACTGTCTTTTTGGTCATTGAGTTCTAGAGTTTAAAAGTTAGTAATGATCACTTTGTAAAAGTTTATTTTGTTACTCTTTGTGGTAAGTACTTGATGGCTTCTTCACGCATCATAAAGAATAACGCATTTGAGGGTCCATTTCGCCAAAGTACTGGTACAAGCCCTCTATACAATTCAAGAAATCCATGATTGACCCATATATATCTAAAATAATGTAGATTTAGTAATTCGTAAATATAAACAATATAAATTTTAATAAATAATATAAATAAATATTTATTCCATTTAATAATTGTTTTAGAAAATTGAAATTTATTCAGATGTTTTCACTAAAAAACATTTTTAAAACATTTATTTACTTGCAGTAAAATTTTTTAAATATTGTGACTTTGCTATATAATTAACCAAGAACGTCTTCTATTAAGACTTAACCTATAAGTCCAGATTATTTTTTGATAAAATAACAAATTTGTTTAAACAGTTCTCATTTAGATGGGAAGTATAATATTTGCATTTACAGTTTTTGTAAATCAATCAAATTTTAATCTAATTCGGTCGAATTTTAATCCCATGTAAGAAATTTATAGATAATATAATAATAAATTTAATTTGGTTACGTCTTTTATTTACCTAAAGTGTGGGAGATTGGTTGCAAATATTATCAATCTCCCACACTTTAGGTAAATAAAAGACGTAACCAAATTAAATTTATTATTATATTATCTATAAATTTCTTACATGGGATTAAAATTCGACCGAATTAGATTAAAATTTGATTGACTTACAAAAACTGTATACAACTGTATAATTTAAATAGTTTAATAATCGAGATAAATCGATATACAGCTTTAGTTATGTATCTCTCACATGTATCTTTTAATGTGTATATTAAAAATATTCTAGTATTCATAAAATTCTTTACCTATTTATTTAATTACAATTAAAATTTCAAATTTTGTTGTAAAAGCAGATAATATTTTTTATGAAATTTAAAATTATAACACGAAATTTTAAAAGTTAAAGCTGCCTTTATGTCACATGTAATAAGCTAAAATCTTACCTAAATGCTGCTGGGGTATTAGCAAAAGCCCCGTGGAATTTCGAATGCGCTAAAAGCGTTTGAACACGTTCAAATGGCATTAAAGCAGCTTCAACAGAACCCGAAGCAATTCCTGCGAGCACTTTTGCTGCATATAAATTCATATTAAATTTATCAACAAAATATCGTCTAGTTCCATCGAACACACCAAACATAAGAGATAGTGATATCGTTTTTTGTGCAAGTGGTGGAAACATTCCACGATAAAGATAACCGATTCCTTCATGTCTAAGTTGGCCAAATGCTGATGTAATATGCTGAATAAAAAAATAAGAAAATTACATTTAAAAATAAACTTATATACATATTTATTATAAGATATATTACAACACCATGAAGCATCTGTCGAAAAATCATTTTATAAATTGGATATGACACTGTAATATTCACAAATGCCGCGCCACAACCACATATGAATTCTTTTGCATCGAACGATTCCAAGAAGTCATGAGGGAAAACAGGAGGCGCAAGTGGAATGCTGGCATCATCTCTTGGTTCGTCATATTTTTCAATAACCATAGTAATATAACAGAGGTATAAACTTTGCTTGAATCAAAAATTTCAGTATTGTAATCAAGAATTTGTCAGCTTAAGGTCATTTTTGTGTTTCGCTTCTATCGAGTTTTATTCAGATGTGGCACTAAGTTTAAATTGTGGCACTTCATCCAAAATTATTTACAGTGAACTAAGATGTTTTCTAGGTTCCAAGTTGCTTGTCCTCAGATTCTATGAAAGCATAACATTAATTATATAATATACATAGTTTTAAATAACACATATGTATATTTACTTTTGCGCATATTGACTTCAAGATCTAAATATTTATAAAGTAATATCAACGAACAAATTTTGATTTTTGTCTCATCTAATTCTAATCTAAATATGAGCCACAGTCCAATATAAATAAATATAATAAAATTTTCCAAGTTTATGTCGTCATTTGACAACTACATATTTTTTGGAAACAGAGTTACCATGTTAAAAAAGAAAGATTTAAATAATTGAATCGCTCTCAAATCGCTTTCAATAATCGCCCTCTTTTTTTGTAATCATACGTATTATAGGCTTATTTGTACATCCACTAAATAAGAATTGCTTATAGCGGAACAATAATAAAATAATTGGATTTAAAAATAATTAAAATGCCTGTTATTGTAACAGCAACAATTAGTTCGTGTTAATTTTGTAACAATTCTCTTTCATATTCCTTGTACTGTTAATGTTACTGTGTATATGAATACGGTATATTATTAGTGATTATTGTGATTCCTTTCTATATATATATTATTAGGCCTTTTCTAAGTCCAATCTTTACTAGCTTAATTAGTCCAATCTTTTTGAAATGGCTTAACTAATAAACAGCTCAAAAAGCATGGTTGCCAAGACTAAAAATTTGTCTATTGTGAACGACTTTTGGAAGTACCTACGAAACTTGCAGTTAACTGTCAACAAATGATTTTGTTAGTTATTCATATTTCTTGTCGTTATTGTTCGTAACAAATACTTTACTTTTTCTATTTATTATTTTACTGTTAGTAGACATGAAAATTCATATATTATTCAGAATTATGTAAACAAAATAGTCTTACCAATAATTGCAATAAATTATTATTAATTTCCAAAATTTTAACATAAAATTTTATTACGTGTTTTGCTTAACAAAATTTCCCTATTATCCAGAGTTGCCATGGAAAGTAGTTCTTATTTTATTTGTTATTTTGCGCCATGCTTACAAAAGAAAGGGCTTATTATAACATTATCGAAATCACTAACAAAGCAGTAAGCTAAGATGAAGCCATCATCCCGAGATACCTTCTGCTATAACAGATACCATCCCATAAAGCCTTTAATAATTTCAGAATTAATTGTTATAAAATTTTGCTCCTCAAGAATGTATTGAATACATTTATTTTTATACATTAATGGCGTTTTCGATTGTTAAATCTGGGGCAAGTTGTTAAATCGAGATACACTTTTGTTGCAGTTTTCATTTTCGATTGGTAAATCTGTATAAAACTGGATTCAAGCTAGAGTTTTGCTTGTAATTTTAGCGGTCAATTGTTGTTGCTTTCAACACAATATAAAGAAATAACTTTTTGACAGCTGAAATTACAAATAAAACTCTCGTGCTAATTCAGAATAAAAGTAGAGTTGAAGATTTTATCGTAAATATTGTGTAAAACTCCACAGAAAAAGAAGTTAATGTGAACATTATAATTCAATTGGTTTATTTATTATTACAACTACAAAAATTTTAGATTTCCCTTAAAATGTTCGATTTGGCAACAAAACTTAACAGATCTAGAGTACATTTAGATTGAATCCAAATTTACCAATCAAAAACGCCATTAATATTTACTTACACTCATATATAAAGGCTAATTTAACATTTAATTTAATTTATCTTTTAAACTAAATAAGTTCTGTTTACGATACAGTAGTGTGTATTTATTTTGAATATAATGTAAAAGGTATTTTATACAATAGTATATTTGATTGAATATTAATAAAATTGGGCTTGTGTTAGAATAATTTATAACAGGTCTTCGAAACCTCAATGTTTTCCGTTCGCGTTTTAAAATATATATTAATGGTAAATATTTTATATTATGGTAAATATTAGTTTACGTGACTTTTCTTTGATATAAATGTTTTCATTATTGTAATAAATTTCAGCACTGAAACATGAACATATTAACAATTGAAAAATTTTGTAAAATTGACAACTTTGGCTGCTAGAGCTTAAACAAATTTTTAATCATCGACTATCTTAAGTATATATATTCCTATTAATAAATTATTTCCTATTTTAGTTTAATAGTATTTCTTATATTAGTTCTAAATTAAATGATTTAGTTAGTATATGTTTCGTGAAAATATTTTTTATTTAACGCATAATTCAAGTCAATTTAAAATATATTTTAAAAAAATAAATAAATAAAATACCAAGAACTGAAGAGAAATTTGAGTGAATGAACAGATACCGAACTATATGGTGCTAAACCGATATATTTTTTCGGCTCGGTTCCGGTTCGTTCCAGCAAAAATATGAGATTATCCGATTCGGTTCCGGTTCGAAGCCCTGATTTATAAATAAATCATTAATGTTTTAATGTTTTCTTCAGACAGAGCAAATATCATTATTAATAACTAAAATAAATCCAACCGTTTACACTACTCTAAAATTGAAAATACTATGTTTTTATAAGTTGAAATAGTGTTGCACTGGACACATTAATATCATTTTTTTAAAAACAAATGTTTTATCTTTATTATAACATCTTAATTTTCTGAAAACATATTTTTTCTCATAGCTGTAGTTGAAATACGTTTAATTTCATATACTAATTTTCCTTTCTAAAAAAAATGAAGATTTTTGCTAAATTCAGCTGTCTGTTGAATTAAGTCATACGGTTCTTATAATATATTACATTATTTTAATTGCTACGTTTCTAATCTAGTATTCAACAATGCAGAAATAACTTTGTGCATATACGCTAATGAACATTTTTTAAGTGATGGTCTAAATTCAATTGTGTACTAAATATATGCCCGCAAATTTGGCAGTGTTTTTTTGGTTCATTTGAACAAATTTCATATTGTGTGAAATTTGAAAGCGTTAGTGATTTCACGATAACATCATGTTCTTTTTCCATATGCTTGTTCAAGCTAAAAATTTAAAAAGTATATAGAAGTTTAGAAATAATTTCTTTGAAGTTTACTCACCCATCTTTGTTAATAAACGCTTGATCACATATAACACATCGAAATTTAGATTCTGGTTCTGTATGAGATGCTTCAGCATTAAGTTGTTCTATATTTTGACTATGATGGGAACGTTTATGAACTTTTAGAGTATATTTTTCTGTAAATGTCTTAGAACAGATGTCGCAACTGTAACGCGGGCGGTCGGCACGATGCGTTATCATATGGTGAGTATAAGTACGTTTTGTTTTAAATATCTGTATATATAAATAAATAATAAATAAAAACAATTTTTAAACTATGCAAGTATTATAAAAAACGTACTTGATTACATTTTTCACAACGCAATGGTTGCTCCTCAGCTTCATGTTGTAATTTATGATTATACAACACCGTTGTTTGTGAAAAACAAAGACCACATTTGTCGCATTGATATTTTTTCGAGTTAAGATGCACCTCCATATGACGAATTGCACTAATTTTTGTAGTAAATTCTTTGAAACAAAAACGACACTGGTTTTCGTTACGTCCTTCATGTGTGTTCATGTGAAGCATTACATAGTCTTCATTTCTGTGTGTATAACTGCAGAGCGTGCACCTATACTTTTTGTGTGCCTGGGACATGTGTTTCTGAAGTCGTACTTTGCTTTTAAAACCTATGGGGCAAAAATTACATTGCATGACTTCTTGCACAACTTTTGTTTCGCGAGTGTTTTTAGAAGCTTTTGCCGGTTTAGTATTGTGAGGAGTTGACATTGCTTCTTTCATTATTTCATCTATCTCATTGTCAGATATTTCAATATTACTAAAAAAGTATTCTTCAGTGAACGAATTCGCATCTTCAAAGAATTGCTCCTCATAGTCAGAATCAATATTTGTAGCCGCCTAAAATATAAATGCAAACTATATAGTCAACATTATCCAGCAGTGTATTAATTAAACTTGCTAAAAGTTTAAGTACTTTTAGTTAGTTAAATTAAGAACTAACCTTTTCTACGAGCTTAGCAAGGCACTTTTGTTGTTGTATAACTTTCACTACGGTTCTATCATATCCAACAATTTGGTTGTAGCAGGTGCTACAAAGGCTCTCGCCATGAGATATAAATATTTCGGCATTTATGCAGCGAGCTAAATAATTAAATACATCCCTAATGGACTTTTTCGATGAAGGACATAGAGTTTTATCGACCAATATATTTTGCTTTTCATTTATTTTTTTACGGCAAAGATAGCACCGTATTATATTATAATTTATATTATCCATTATTAATATAGCTTACAATTTTTCTAATTTTTGCGTAAACAATAACAAATCGCAGTAGCAATCAATGTCTGTTTCAGAAGCGGAACACTGAAATAAAACAACAAGCATACATGTGTGTATCAACACAAATTTATTTAAAATGAAAATGAAAAAACATAATTATTAATTGCGGATTATGCTCAGCACAAATGTATTGTTATGTAGATTATATGTAGCGGTAACCTTTCGATTCATTTACATATATTTGTTTATTTGAATATTTTTATTTATTATTTGCATCAAATTATTTAGTGTATCTTCTTTACCCTCTTAAGCATGATATAGACGATGCTACATGTATGCACACCAAGTATGCGCTTCGCTATACACTTTGAAACAAGGTGTAATTTTACCGCATACATGTCTTCAGACCGAAATTTGGTGTTCATACTTGAATATACATAGTGCAATTTACAAACTACTTCTTACATACTGAAGTCCGATGTAGTATCATGAGCGATCACGAATTTTCGATGAAATGTGTTTGTTGTATGTCGTAGCATTATGCGAATAATATAATCTGTCATCGTTTTAAGGTATTCTTAAATTCATATTATTTTGAAATGTAAATTTTATATTTTTAGCATTCTAAATATAAAATATATAATATATAAAAATAATTAAATTTTATATTACTGTTTTGAAAGAAATTGAATAAAAGTGTAAGTAATTTTAAGGTTAAGTTATGCTGGCAGGCCACGTGGAGACCATTAAAGTCCATTGCGATACCAGATCGGAGTCTTATTTCTAGCGATAGTATGCATCACTCAGAATGCGCGTGTTATTAGCGAATTGTATTAAGAGTTCAACAGCAAACTTAGGCATGTGCACAAGTCCGTAAAACTGACAGCACCCAAATATTTTTGTCAAGCTCTCGAGAGACTTAGACAGTTACACAGCAGATATTCAGAGTTTCCTTTTACGTAAATCTTTAACGTGAGTTAATTTGAAAGAGTTATAGATGAAGAAGTTAGAATAGTGTTTTGACATCAAGCGTGCACTTTTACTTCAAAGTGATAGAATGAAATCTTCTTTCAAAGGGATTGCAATAATTTTCTTATGGCGTAAGGTAATAGACATTTAATCGAATAGGCATAAAAGAAGAATGGTCTGATAAGTTCATTATACAAATAATCTATTTCTACAACCTGAATAGTACATAAGGTATATACTTCACCATGTAAAACGTTTAATGCAGTCCTTGATCTAAGGATTATAAAACTAATTCATCTTTATACGTCTTTTTATTTAGTTGCACTTTGTATCAAGATAATAGTGTACTATGTTAATGGTTTAATATGTAAAAAGAATATATAATTTTTTTTTTGCTTGAATAATCATACGCAACTTTTTGTTCAGACAACCTGTTTTTTCAAGACACTTTTAAAATATTAGCATGTCGAGCATTTAAAAAACTTACCATTGCGTTACGTTATTCATGTTATTCACTCAGGCTGTTAAAAATTTGTAACCGCAAATAAGTAAACCTATAATACGTAGGTATGTATTATCGACATCGTAATTTCTTAATTTTTTCATATATACGACAATATATACTGTTCCTTTTAAACCTCTTTCTTATGCGTCAGTTATTAATCTGTATTTGAAATCTGTGCTCTATATAATCTATGTCTGTTTTATTGATTTGATTATCAAGTCTATTTTAGTGATTTCCTAGTCGTCTTTATCCACAGATATATACATATTTTTCTACTGCATTGTGCCATCAAATGTTGCCTTTTTTTAAAACAAAAAATTGACGAATTACTTGTAAGCTCCTTTTAATTACTTTTCCGTGTCTAGTTCTATTTTTGTTATGTGGATGATTTTAAATTTCTTTAACTTATGTTTATTGTTTTAACAATAATTTAATTGTAAATAAATTTCTATATTTCGTATTAAATATTCTTTATATTAATTTTAGTTCATATTTTTCAAGATACAACACATTTTGAAGATAAAGGATAAACGCATATAAAGTTAAAAAATTCTTAATTTAATATCCTTCATCGCACGCTTCAATTTCGTAGTCGGTATATTTAGAAAGTAAAATCTTTCTAGATTCATCATGATCTGCTTTTCCGTAACCCTTTTATGAGAACTCTACTTTAGTAACCTTACATTTGTAACAATTAAATATTTTACCTGAGAGTATCCATAAACTTTAATCTTTTTTGCATCTGGATTATGATCTATTCTGCCACCACCTAAACATTCTGTTTCTAGTCCTAAGCCTTGCAACGAAGAGCTTACTCGTTCGTATATATCAGCTAAATAATATTTACTTGAATTTATTTCTTATGGAAACCGCAATACTTACAATGCCACTTGCAATCTGCATAGCCGCGCACAATGTTTTTGTTTGGCTCGGAGCCATCCGCTTTTTCTTTGCCAAAAACTTTTATCAAGACATATTTAAATACACCTTCCTCAATATCGACATCAGGAACAGCGTTAAGTTTTTCATCAGCCATTTTACAAATATTTGTTATATCTGAAAAGTATTTATAAAATATCGTTGGTAAAACATAAATTTTGCACACTTACATCTCTTTTGCAAAGCATAACCAAATCGGGGAGAAAACAAAGTAGCAGCTGCTTTGAGCATTTTTACAATTTTGACTTTTCTAATTCAATGAACAAAGAACAGTACAAACAAAAAGTTTTGACTTTGTTACTTTTTATAAAGTATTTTCGTAAAGTATTTATTTGAAATGACTGTTAAAAAAGAATTTATAACTTTTGAATATAACATGATTGCTACTGGATTTGAAAAAAATATATGTAAACTTTTTGGTAACAGGTTTATTAGACCCAGCAGCATTTTTTACATCTAAATTTTCAAAACAGAAATAAGCGAACCATTTCTTAGTAGGTGTTAGAGTTACAGTGCTTGCATTAAAAACAAAACAAATCCCTTTGAACTTCCCAAAAGGGGTAAAATAACTTTTATAGAAATCGTGTAGCTATATATTTATCATTTAAATATATATATTATGAATTATATTCTACATTCGTTATTAAGAAATTATTTTTTTAAAAAAGGCATGTTATTTACCAAATTCTTTCAAACCGAAACCTGTATCCAGACAAATGTGAACTATTGTAATAAATTATATTAATCATTGTAATAAATAAACTAAATGCTATTCATTATTGTAAAGACTTTATTATTTATTATTGTAGTAAATAATTGTTACTATAATTTGAGTTGTGCATTGTAATTGTAGTTGTAGAAGAATTGCAAAACCAGATTTAATTCGAGTAATACGCAGGGTTGTGTTCAAATTTTTCATTGACCATATTCAATGAAATATTTCAGCGTATGAATTGAAGTTAAGAGGCTTCATTAAATAAAATTAAAGGCTGTATTTAATATAACAAACTAAAATGACCAGCTTGGCATCTACTTAGAAAAATAGTTGTTTACCAATTTATTATAGTAACATAAATATACCTGAAATTATTTCTAATCTTCTGAAAACACAATCAGCGAGAAATGTGACTCTGCATATTGTGTTGTTTTATTTTTAAGTCTCGTTTCTCGCTGATTGTGTTCTAGATATATGTTTTGTTAAAGTTTAAGGTTTTTACTTATGATTTCTATTCAGGGTATATATTACTTAAAAAAAAAATATTGCATTTGTATTGATACTGATATTGAGCTTGTTGAAGTCTGAGTTATGTCATATGACACAGTTATACGCACGACATTCTGTGACGATTTTAAAACATTGTTCAGTGATATTGTATTCATATTGGATTTCTACATTGATTAATTACTGTAGAAAAAATTGGATATGAGATCAGTCAAAACCAAGAACTTCAGCGTAAAAACCAGAAAGTTAGGACTATTAAGTCGACTGGAACATTTTCTGAGAAAACAATCACTATTATTTATAACGATAGATTTTCTTTAAAACAAACAATGGATTCTTTTCACACTCCATACATTTACTAGATGCAGTCTTGGCCCTTCTACAGAGACTTTTTATTATGTTAACAAATAAAATTTTAATTCTTGAAAATGAGTTTTACTACTTAATACTACTGTAAAACGTGTGTATCGACAAGTTAGGAGAATGCATAAAACACTTTATACATGCTGTTCAGTGCACTGTAAAAAAATTTAGAATATTACAATATTATAAATAATATTATATATATAATATAGTATTATAATATTATATATTATACTATTATTAGCTAAAATTTAATTTATAAGTTTCAAACGTGGTTTTAACAAGATTATCAACATTTTTAAAATCAACAAATTACTTTAACGATCATGGATGATCTAGTATCGTTTTGGGTAAAAATAGTCTAATTGTGTCTATGTATCCGTATGATAGTTTTTACATAAACATTTTTGGCATAGCCGTACGTACAGGTACGTACCTGTCTATCTATAATCTTCGTTGTTCAGATTTAATATACCACACTAACGGCAGAAATGCGAAATATGTAGCGGACGAGCAGTGCCCCTTTTGGTCTTCATGCAAGCAAAAAGGAACCAATATAAGTTAACAAATTTGCCTACATTTATAATTTCAAAGAATAACAGCTTTGTCAGTTTAGTTTATTAAAGTGGCCTTAAATACTTTGAATATTTTCCTAGTCAAAGATAAGCAGTAACATATAAGATAGAGTAGAGTTTGCTACTCACTACCATAAAAATGTCTTTAAAGGATAGTCCAAGTGTTATTGCTTGCCTTTCTAATACGTAGTGGCCAGTGTACCATAGTACTAAGTTGGTTCCTCCTGGCATATAGCTATTCTGACGTAATTTACCAGCGGTTTCAGTTCTATCCTATTAAAAGGGGAATGCTTCTGTGCATTCGAAGGACGGAACCATCTTTTTGGTATTATGCTCGTACAATTTCATTAAACGGATTTATTTTAATTTAAATAACTTAAGAACTTACTATTCAAATCTAATATACCTTGGTAACTTTATTTCTAAAAATGCTGTTTATACGATATTCTTCCTTCTGTAAAGTTGAATACATCTTAGAATTGGCAGAATGTACAATTTATAATTTTTTTATTAAATTTTTTTATTGTATTTATTTATTATATAATAGTATATTTTAATTTTTACGTATGGCCTAAAAATTGACACTGACAAATGCGACATATTGTAAGTAGTTGAATTGTTTAAATAAAAAATTTTCTTTATATATAAAAATGCATTGTTATATCATAAGAAAATATTATAAAATGCAATGAGATACATTTTTTCAGTTAAACACACCTTATTTATAATGTTGCAGCTAATTATGTAATCTCGGAATATAAATTTAAAAATTATACTCATTGAATTCGAACATTCAACGGATTCAAAATACGACCTGACATCACAGCTACTTCCAAATCTCGGTCAATGATGAAAAATAGAAATGGATGATTTACTGAAATTTGTATAGGCTGCATCTGAATTCCGTAATTACCTGCGAAAAAAAGAAGTTTCATTAACTTCGCTTGAATGCGCCTCAAATTGGCATTTAATTGCAGAATAATGAAGTCTGAGAATGATTTGTAAAATAGTATTAGTGATTGTCACATACGCTTTAATTGATTAATCGGGTGTGTACGAATGTTTACATTAATCGATTGCTCAATATGCTTAACGTAAATTCCCTGCGCATCAGTCATTGAATGGAAATCTGCTCGAGTAGGTTCAAATATATCACATATTCCCATCTTAATAAGTATAATTATTATTTTTAAAAGTTTTTGTTATTAACTCAACACTTTAACGTATTACTTACATTTTGCAAATCATTTGTTAGAAACATCGTTCCATGTAATTTAAAATCTGGTATTATCGCCTGAACCCATCGAGGTTTCAATTGTTTGCGCATCGTGCGAAGTGTGGGACCCAATCTTAAGGAAGCTGCAGCTGAAACTAAATCTGAATTGTAGTCTGGCAACAATATCATAAGATTATATTCAGGTGTATCCAGTTCAAGCTCAAGTACGCTCATTTTAAGCGTTTCAAAGTACTTATAATATAGCACAGCATTGTATACCTTATAGGTGGTGTGAACGATTTGTTGATTGCCAAGATAGAATATATGGCTTATGACATCGGTATTATAATTTTGATGTTTAATATCAGTTTCTTGCTGAATATGTTCATCCAAATTCACATCGAAAGTGTTATCTAGCGCTACTGCAGCCGATGGTCCAGATAACGGTGTAAGGTTGTGATGATGAGGCCTTGGATTAAAAAGTGTTACAAATAAATTTGCATCTAAGCCTTTCACTCCATATAAGTGACGTTTCTGTCGTTTATTTCTGTTTGCAGTGCTACGTATTGATTTCATTGCACTTCGCGTAGTTGGTAAATATTTATTTCTAGATGTTATAGGTGCCGATAACGCAATAAGGTTAATTGGGTGTGCATTACGAATACGTGCAGATGGTTTATTTATGTTTTCTGGCGAAATTATTTCTGCTGCAGGATTTTCAGTAACATCAGTTGGATTGCTTGTTGTAGTCTCAATCAGTGTATCATCGGTTAAAGCTGTTGTATCATCAGTTGAAGTAGAAGTCGTTTCATCAGTTACGCTATTGGGATTTATTGTTGTTATCTCTTGATCTATGGTAGCATCCATATTATTGTTGATTGTTGTACTTGTGCTAGTAGCTTCAGATGAAGTATTAGGAGTATTGCTTGTCTGAGTTGTTATCTGAATTTCCTCCGTTGTTGTAATATTATTAATATCATTAATTGTAGTTGTTTCTAATGTTGTTGTAGTTGTTGTTTCGACAATTGCTGGGGTTACTTCTGACAGTGGCGTTACTGTTGAATTTTCAGACACTGCTGATGTTGTGCATGCTGATACCATATCTACTGATAAATCGTAACCGTAGAATGTTAGAATACTCTCATAGTATTTTGTGATAGTTACATTTTCTTTATTTAAACTAAGTCCTTTTAGGGGATTATCTGAGCCAAAAAAGTATGTCTGAAAAAGATGTTCACGTATGTTGATTAGTATTTCGATTATTTTTTACTTTTGATTAGTATTTCCTATATTTTACTAAAGATGAACTTCATTTGTTATTCAATCTTGATTACTTCATTTAGATTATTATTATATACACCTAATAAGAGTGAAATATTTTATTAAATATTGCAAATTTATCATTATATTATTTTAAAAATTTATGGTAATCTTTACTTCCACGAATGTTAAAATCAGATCATGCGTGTATTATACGAAAATATTTAAATTAAAAAGCTTCATCAGTCGTTGGCTTAATTAGGCGTTGAGTTCATTACACTTTCAACTATTAAAAAGTTAAAAATAATAATAAATAGAGAATCAAAGTCAACATTTCTTACTTAGGTGCATTTATACATTTCAACAATCATCGTATATTTTGAAATATGCTCAGGTTAAGTACTTTTTGCCTGGAGCTCTAAAATATTATCGCTAATTGAAGAATATTCGGAAATTATTTTCCATTGAAGTCGAAGCAGCCCAAATAATGTTACTTAAGAGTGTATTTCTTGTATAAAGATTAAATAATTAATAAATAAATTAAAAATAATTATTTTAGTTCTAGCTCAATATCTACTGAAAATCTTTAAAATTAATATATGATGAATGTCTTTTTTAGTGCATTAACACTAACACAATTTTATATTATAATAATTTTTTGAATTTTTTAGGCCTTAGCCTAACCCATAAACCAATTACATGTAACATGTTATTTATTACATGTTATTTAGATATTCGAACTGATTATCATTAGACTGACAACCTGCGATATTATGACGATTTCCGAACTGACTATTCATAGATTTTTAAACGTATTGTCAATTACACTTTTAAAAGGACTCAGATATAAAAATCTAACTGACTATAATTTAGATTTCTAAAAAGCTGTCGTTTAGATTTCGAAAATGAGTTCCGTTTATATTTCTGAGCAAACTGTCATTTAGATTGTTAAACCAAATGCCATTTATTTAGACTTTTAAACTGACTATCATCACACATTCAAGTTTAGTGTCATTTAGTCTTCCAAGTTACGGCTCATATTAACTTCAATGCGAACTGTTATTTAGATTTCCAAACTAATTGTCATTTAGACTTTCAAATTGATTGTGAGTAAGACTTTCAAACACATTGCCATTTGTACTCCCAAGTTGACTTATTAAGACTTCTAAGTTCTTTGTTATTTAGACTTTCAAAATGACTCTCGCCTTGACTTCTAAACAAACTTCAATTTAAATTTCTAGAGTTATTATTATTTCTCTTTATTACTCTCTTGAAGATAAACCCTAAGAAAATTCCTCAACATCATTTATGAAATTAAATAAATCAATCAATTTAAATTTAAAATTAAATAAATATTTATAAATCGAATGAATGAAAATTAGTGATGACATGGTGGAATTCTAAAACCAAATTATGTAGTGAAATTAAGATCTTTGATGATATATGGCTATAAGTTGAAAGATATTTCGAGAATATCAATTAGTTTAGTAAAACTAGAAAATTATTTTTGAAATATTTAACCTAGCGTTTAACTGATTAAACTTTGGCAACATTTATCCATACAGTCATTTTTACACTTACTCATAATTTCATTCAAACATAAATATCTTGTCAAAATGTAGCCAGTGGAGAAGCCCAGTTATATAGATATAGATATAGATAAGAATAATGTTCAATTTATATAAATTACTATTTTAATCACAGAAAATGTGTTTAATGGAACAGCCAGTAGAAGAAAACGTACGAAAAGCTGTATCTCTAGTGGAGAAATGCAATTTAAAGAGCACTACTGAGACTGGAAACGGTATGACATAATGAAACCATAAACTGAATTGTTGAGATCAATAAAATATTAATTGAGTAAGTGTTCTTTTAATAAAACATATGTATGAATTGGGTTGGCATGAAATATTTAGTAATTTTTTTTAATTAGGTATGACGTATATATTTCTACTTACTCTAAGCCGGCGATGTATATCACGATATCCAACTCTTATAATATCTATATTATTTGGTAGTTGAAGCACATTTCGTAATTCAAGCGCACTTTTTCCAGACGATCCTTCATAAAGTGCCACTAGTACACTCATCAATGCAGTTGGAGAGAATGCAAAGTTGTTACGATTCAAAATTGAATGAAAGTGTAGAATTCGGTAAGTCAAATCGTTACTTAAGTCTACCAGTAATTCGGCTGGTGTCAGTTCCTTCGTTGGGCTGTGCTGTAACAATTGCTCAGCATGAGGAAGAGGTGGAGGTAAATGGGGTCTCGGGAAACCACTTGCACGAAACTCATTGTGATCGATTTGTATGAAATGTGCAGAACTGTATTGCAATATCAGCAAAAAGATAAATGCAAAAATACTACTTAAACCATTGGATGATTTTAATGACTTTATTGTTCTAATATTCCACGCATTGCACCTTTTAAAACTTTTCATAGTTTTTTTGTATTGCAAATAGAATTTAAATGCTATAATTTAGTTTTATTTATTTTTAGAATGGATCAGTTTTACTGTAAAATATCATAAATTATTTGTCATTAAATTGATTAGATTTAATTGCACCATTTAAAGCTTTTCAAGGTAAATCTTTTTATATTGAAAATATTTTTGTCAATTTGTTAAAAAAATGTAAGTTTTTAAAACATTTTAATTCAATTAAATGCCGATACATAAATATTTCAAACCGATTCCAGCGGCGGAACAAGCCCAACTGAAATGAAATGCTTTCTGCGTTTGAGATACAATGCAAATAATTACAATCAACTACAGAGAAGTCGTACTTGATTTTTGTGTATTTTTAATTATTTTTGTTTTTTTTTTTAAATTTCACGGAGAGGTTGATTAGGACCGATTGATTTTATTCATAAAAATACGCTTTAAAATTTCAGTAAATTCCATTTGTAGCTTTTTAGGGTTCTTTGTGAAATATTTGGTGGCTTCGTATTTTATTAAAGGGTTGAAAATGTCCTTCTCTCTCAAAAATTCTCTAATAGTTTTTAGCATAAAAGAGCTACTGTCTAAGTTAGAATTGAAGTGCTGTAATATATTAAAATAATTATAGAAATGGTGATAATTTTAATGTTAGTTACGCAGCTATAATTGGCTTATAGATTTTCTTTTAATTTTTAAACTTAATTTCGAATGCCACTAATGACTAAACAATATATTGATATTTGATATATATTATCAGTTAACTAAAATTAAGAATTAAAGTAAAGAAATCATTTAAACCAATATTTTGTCTAAGGCTTAGCATTACGCAAATTTTCTTTTGATGTACTGGTAAAACTATATTATTTTATTTTTATGGTATATCAAATAAATGAATTTAAATTGATAATTTAATAAAACTAAATTTAACATTATAACCATATTTTTAATTTTGTCGAAAACAACTAATAACGTATGTATTTGTTTCTCCGCCACCCAATCTAAACAGTGAATTGTATTGGCCAGCGATTGCATTTGATTTGGACAGCCCTGGTCTAGAGTACCGGGACACAAAGATTTATTAGCTTATTTTTTCTCATTCTATAATATATACGTCCATTTAACATACGTTTCATGAAAATATTCTAGACGACTAGGAATTTTTATCAAGATCTAAAATCAAAAGTGCAAGAAGACAACCCACATACCACGATTTTTCTTATAAGACTCTAGAGTGAATATGAATAAAAATGATTTTGCAAATATCCCTATCGTATTTATATAGTAGTACTAGGAGATATAACTACTTTAATTAAAACATTGTATATTTTTCATAGTGTATAATGTATAACAGTAGTATATTAATTTAAAAAAAAATTTACCCTTATACAAGAGTAGTTAGTTTTGTCCAAAATTCGAATATTAATTTTTTTTATTCCTCTTTTGCGATCGTATCATTGAATATACCTCACACTACCAATAGGACGAAATATAATGCAGTGTAAAGATTTATTTCATTGGACTTGATATTATAAGTCTGTTCTGCATTGTCCCGTTGGCAGTGGAAGAGTTAAGTAAGAGTTTTACTGGTATTTTCAGTTATCACTGCTATCATTTTATAGGAAGCATGAAAAAATACCGTGTGAGATTAAAACCAATTAAAACCACCTACTGGAAATAAACGAAGTAGACTCCAGCCATAGAGGTCAGAATGCTGAGAACTCATCTAGTAATCGACTGCAAAAGTAGAAGTTACTAGCTTTAGCATTGGGAAATCTAATTTTATTTAAGCTAAAGAGCAAGAACGGTGGTGAAAAAAAAGATTAAACTCAGAAGGGGCATCACGTTGTTGATTGAAATACCGGCTTGATGAGTGAAATTAGTAATGCTAGTAACTTTAGCCTTGTATGGAACCAGGGAATTGAAAACTTCCTTGCTGCTACGTTGAACTTATAATTAATGCAGTCATGAAGAAATTTGTGTTTAAATAAACCAATATCTTTTTATTTGAGTGAAACTAATTGCAAATTATATACGGTCGTATTATATACGAGGTCGTATAAGCTGCCTATAGCAAAGCATTTCTGAGTTTTACATGTCTGAAGGTATAAATCTTCTGATTTTTTAATAAATTACAATACTGTACAATGTACAATATAAAATTATATCATGCAAATACATCTGTATAAAAATTTGAATCTAATAATAATATAAATAGAAATTATATTGTAGCAGTGAAGACTTTAAACGTCATTCTAAATAAATTTTAATAAATCATAAACAGGATATTAAAATTTTATTAGAATTTTTATATCATAATTTTGATAAAAATTTATTTCTCAAATTGGGAAAAAATTGAATAGTGTTCACAATGTATCGTAATTCACTGCTTTCTAGCAACGACCAAACCTTAATTGCATATGATTCACTTTCATCGAATGTTCCTCCTATTATTGAAACTCCTGAACGGATTCATAGCTGGATAAAACTCGAGCAGTTTGAAATATTACACAAAAAGTTCGCACAAAGTCTTGGAGTTGTAGAATTATCTGAGGCACTAAGTGAAATTGGTATAAATTTCTCGAAACGGGAATTTAGTCGTCTTTTTCTAAAAATCAATCAAAATCGTGATTTCCTATGTGACTGGAATGAATTTGTTTCATATCTGATTTACGGTTTTCAAGAAGATGATCCAAGTACCCAAAAAGAATCACTCATTTTGCCTATATCACAGGCTCCAATGGTACGAAAATCTGAACATAGATCTCAAATTTGTAGTATTGCCTTACTGAAAGCTGTACCTGATGATATTTTTGATAAATCTACTCCAACAACGTTATCAGAAGATTCTCCAGAAGTATCGGGAATATGGTTAACTGCAAGTCGTGAGGGTCAAATACGTTTTTGGTCACCCAGTTTAGATACAATAAGATCTAGAGTTTCAGAAAGCGGTAACAATTTTCGTTTTATTTTTATTAAAACATGTAATTGGTGTTTTATATTTTAAAGTTCATTTAAAAATGCAAACTTGGATATTAGCTATAGAAGCATTGTCGGATGTTAACATTGTGTGCACTTCATCAACAGAAAGAGAACTTCGATTTCATGACACAATCGTTCCAACATTTAGCATTCGCATGGTCATTCGAAGTCTACCATTTGCCGTATGCTCGTTAGCTTATAATTTTAGTCAAAATAGTAAGATACTTTCTAGACTGGTACTTGGAGATTATGGAGGAAATATACGTATATTGGCATATTCACCAGTCTTACGGGGTCCATTTCAGAGTAGACCTGGTGTAACAATGATAGATGTGTTTTGGTCGGATATTGTTAAGGCTAGTAATTTGTGGTAGCACACATATATAATATATAATACATATATGTTATATAACTACATATGTTATATAACTAAAACCAATTAAATTCTTATTAACAGGGAAAGATTTCATCGTTTCAATTGAAGGAGTATTACAGAGTTCATACCGAAATAATTCAAACAGTCTATTATTCAGTGCGTACCAATTCATTATTCTGCTCTGCCGAATATCGCAACACAAAGAAATATCGTGGACGTTGTCCTGGCTTAATTGTTATAGTAAACGACGACAAGACAACGTTCCGTATACCGCTGGTAAAGAATCTAAAAATAATGTTATAAACGAATATATCATGAGATGTGTCGTAATTTTAGGGTGTAACAACATTTTATGTGGATGAAGCAAATAATATTGTTGTTACTGGAGGACCTGATACATTTGTGCGTATTTGGGATGTTTTTATATCAAGTAAACCATCCGGTATACTTACTGGCCATAATGGTGGAATTGTTAAAGTTTTCGTACAGTCTGAAGAGAGGAAAGTCTATAGTATAGATTATCAGAAAATAATAAAAGTGTGGCATTTAACAGAACATACTTTGTTACAATCATTCGGTGATTTGGTACGTTTATTGCCTTCAGAAACTGACTTGTGCTACAAATATCACACACATTCTCGCGAATTGTTAGTAGGTGGGCGTAAAATTATAAGTATTAAATGTTGTCCTCGCATAAGAATGGATTTAACTGATGGAAATACTCACTCAGCGCCAGTATCAGTTGTACTATATAATCGATTATTTCGTAACATTGTTACATGTGGATTAGATAGTTACATAATTGTATGGGATCCATGGACAGGTCAAAGGAAAGTCATAATTAAGAATTGTCATACAAAGATTATTTATGGTGAGTCGAGGGATATTGAAATCACAGCAGCTTGTTTTGATCCTCTTGAGCAATTTTTATTAACTGGGGCAAGGGATGGTTCACTAAAAATTTGGAATTATAACAGTGCAGTTTGCATGCGAAATATGGTTACTAAGAAGGATCGTGAAGTTACTACTGTCATATGGGTAGTAGATAGGTAAGTATAATATTTTAGACATAAAAAATATTTTATAAAAAATTTGATTTGAACTGATTTAGAATTTTAGCCGTCGGTTGGGATCAGCAAGTCACAGAATTTAATGATGTTGAAGGACGTGAGTATGGTGATCCAAAAAAATGGCCTCGATTTCATGGTGACGATGTTACATGTGCAGATGTCAAAGTAGGTGAAGGAGTTGTGACAGCAACATATTCGGGGGAAATAATATTTTGGAAACTGGAAACTGGACAGCCATATCGTAGATATAGTGTCAAGGATCCTACAAAATTTATAGAGGTGAGTTTACAAATATGTTTAAAGGCTTAGTTTCTTATTCTAATAGTAATATGTATTGTATAATAACAAATAAAAATATATTTTTTATATTATACATCAAAATAAAAATTTCAAATTGAAGTTGAAAATGAAAAGTGAAAAGTGAAAGACAAGCTAATATGAGAAATGCCTAATATTTTAGAATATTTCTACTGTAGTTTTTATAAATTTTGCCAGTTTTTTTTTTTGAAGATACATATGTTGCAACTGTTTTAGTTTCTTTCATATGACTCACATATTTTTAGTAGATTGGTTGTAGAACAATAGTGATATTTTGAAAATTGAGGACAATGTGATGATTCTTACATTTAATGCTTTAAATAAACCACCCTAAGACATTCAAAAGGTATGGGTTCAAATTCAAAAACAGAACACTAAGCACTCATTAGATTTGCAAAAATGCCTACTACAGACCCTGCATAGAAATCTGCATATTATAAATGATAACGTGGAAATCCGTAATTCGCAAAAAGCAGTGCACTTTTGCTCCACTGGTGCGAAATTTAGTTTTCGAGCCGTACCACAGGTTTAGAGTTTGCACTACTTTAGAAATTAATGACCATTTTTAACCAATAGTGTGAATGTTTTATAAGAGAACCTGTATTTATCATCTGTGGCTATACAGTCCATGTAGGATCTAAGCCTGTTTAACAACAGTCTTCCATTCTTCTCTTTTTTTTTGCTTTTCTTTTCCAATTCCTTCTATTCACATCTTCTATCGTTTTCTTAGTCGCCCTCTTCTTTTAGTAGTTCGTACTTCGCTCTCATAAATCTTAAGCTTTACTCTCATATCCGGCTCGTGGTTGTATGTTATGTCACGTTTTCTTTCACGCGGTTGAAAATTTTTCTGAGTATTTTTCTTTTAAACATTGCTATTTTGCTTGTTTCTGTTTCAGTTAATCTCCATATCTCGCAGCCATATGTTACTACTGGGCGAATCAATGTCTTGTACATTTTTAGTTATATTTTCTGCGAAATATTTTTACTTGTAATTAGTCGTTTTATTTCATAATAGGCTTTATTCCCAGTTTTGACTCTCTCTTTTAATGTACTCTTTGATAGATTGTTCTCGCTAAACACAACACCTAAGTATTTATAGATACTGACACCTTCAATTAAATGGTTGTCAATGTTTAGGACATTTGGAGTAGATTTTGTGGCTGAGATTAATATGTATTTGGTTTTTTCGTAATATATTTTTATACCAATTTTTTGAACTTCCGTTTCGATTTTTTTAAAAACATTTTTTAGGTATGTTACATTGCAAGGTCATCAGCATAGTTGTATCTACATAGTTGTGTTATTTTGTTTACAATTGTACCATTCTGAATAATTTCATCAATTTTCAGTAACGCGTTATTAATAACTATCATCACCTTGTCGCACGCCAGTGTTGAGCTGGAATTGTTCGGAATAAGAGTTTTCTACTGCTACTGTTGTGCTTTCTAGGGTCATAATGACGAGATTTGTTATTTTTTAGATACATAGATAGATCTTGCATAATAAGGGTATTTTTTATACAACTTCTATTAACACTATCGAAAGCTTGTTTGAAGTCAATAAATAAACAGTGCATATTAATTACATATTCGATACATTTTTCCGCTGCTTGTGATAGTACAAATAGTTGATTGGTTGTGCCTCTGCTACATTATTTGCCATTTGCTCCCTTTCAATTTTTGCCTTAAAGTTCCCGCATACTAATAACATGTCATGTTGTTTTGTAGCGTCACAAGTTTTGCCTAGTAAATCATAGAAGGCTTTAATATCCTCTTCTTCTGAACTTACTGTAGACGTATGGAATGATATGACGTTTATGTTTTGAAATTTTCCTTTTATTTTAATTTTGTATATTATTTCCGATAAGGAATGTATACTCATTATGTTGTTTCTTAATTTTCTGTTTACATATAAGCCCGTTCCATACATCCCAGTTCTTACATTTTATTATAATATATTGTCTGATTTAATAATTAAATTGAAAAATATTGTAATATTTTTGAACAACAATATATAAGCTCAAACGTCGACCTGATGTCGGAGAAGAAAACAAGGCTTACTTAATAGAAGGATCAAATAATATTAATGTCTCACGATTTGTGCGACTTTCTGTATCGGACAGTATAAAAGCAATTCAAAGAAATGTTTTAAGAAGCAAAGAAAAGGGAGAAGCGATAAAAGCAATAGAGAATCTAAAAAATCCAAATACTCTTCCATTATCAGTTCAAGCCGTACTATTTCTACAAACTCGACCTATGACAAAAATTCATGGTAAGAAGGCAGTCACTTTATTCTGAGTAGACCTAAATATTTTTTTTATATTGAAAGGAACTCTGTTTGCGGCTTTGGAAAATGGAATGATACAAGTATATTCCCATCATCAGCATGGTGGCTATATAACTGAATTTAATGCTATACATAAAACCGGTGATTGTGTGTTAACAATGACAACTGATAGAAAAAATCGGTATCTTCTTACAGGTTCTGCATTTGGTTATGTTAAAGTATGGCATATTGTTAATTATTGGTAAATTTACTTTACAAAAAAAAATTGGTTTTATTAACAAGTAATTATATATAGCATTCCTGAAGCAGAAAAGCAACATGTTTGTATGCCAGCGTTACGTTTGCAGTTTATTTTTCTTCGTAAGGTACGTATAATGTCAAGAGCACGGCGTGTAGTGCGGCATCAGAAGGAACCACTCTTGTTAAGTTCGTACAAGGCTCATTTGAAGGCAATTAATTCGATTATATTCATTAATACGCCTAAAATTTATGTGACGTAAGTTTTTAATATATTTTTATTAAATTATTTCTCTTAAGTAATGATTATCAAATACAGCGGTAGTCACGACTGTTCGTGTCGACTGTGGACCTTAGGTGGTCACTATTTGGGAACATTGGGTACACCAGCTAAATGGCTTAATATTTCACCATTTGAACGAATGGATGAACAACAAGAATATCGAATACCTCCTGATATCAAGAAGGTTGCAAGCTCAACAACCATGAAGGTAAAACTTAATTCTGTTAAAAGTTTTCAGTAGGCAGTAGAGCTTTTTAATAGCGCTTTAAATGCGTTCGTAGAAACCAGTGAAGTGCATCGTTCTTCTTGTAGACAGTAAAATTTTACAATTGTCATGTCCTGTCATTTTAAGTGCCTTGCTCTCGCTAGTCTCGAGGCGCTTTGAATGCATTTTCACTCTCAGTCCACTTTGCGATAGATAAGCACTAAAATCGACAATTGAAAGTGATTTAAGGCGCTCAGAGCGTAGTTAAAACGGATTACTTGATACTTTTGGCAATTAAAGATCCAAAGCTTTACAAAGAAGCAGATTGGCAAGGAGACCTTTGCGTTTCATTAGTGCAACATGTTGTGTTAGAACTGAATATATATGAATATATGTATTATATATTTCTATGACTTTAACATCAAATCGATTATTTCTAAAACTTCTCCATTGAAAATATTTTTATAGGTTGTAAGTGGCATTCAAACTGATAAAATGAAAGCCAAGTTATATGCTCGTCTCGCAGAAAAATCAGTTGCTGAAGAAACGGCAGTAGGTTCTCGTTTCTACAAGATACCATTAAAAGATCCAATTTTGGGACACCATTTCGCTCTACCTGGCAGCAGTGCAGTAGAACAACGTATACAGCTGGAAACAAAATATGCGTATACACCAGTTTATACACATTTGAAAATACAAGAAACTAGTGGTATTGTATGTCCAAATATTCCACCAGTTATGCAAGAAATAGAACAAGAAAGTTACATGGACTTCTATAAACCAGAAGGTGTTGTTGTTGATACTAATTCAAGTGTCTCCTCGGAGTTTCCAGAAGAAACCACAGAAAAAAATAAGGAGCAAAGCACCAATAAAGATCACGAAGACGTTAAAGCTGGTAAAACCAATCTAAAGAATAAACTTTAAATGTTTTAATTTTGATTGGTTTATATATATATCTTTAGTTTCGACTTCTTAAAATTCTTAAAATTCTTAAAATATATTTGTTTTATAAAATTCAAAATAATTCCAAAAATGTTTATCTTGTAAAAACAGAATTTTTTAGCATTTTCTTTGCAAATGTGCTATATGTCATTTAACCTGCAAGCAGTTACTTTTGTCATATCTAGCAAATAAATAGATTTCTAATGGATGATTGTTTGAACCTAAAAGCTCAAAAGTATTATACATACATAAAATGAAATGTTGTTCTTTACATAAATAGCAAACCAACTATTTCGAGTGAAGTGAGTGCTTGCACCTAAAAAGTAAAATAATAATCAAAGTATTCAAAAAAAAAAGGGAAATAAACTTCTTTACAATCTATGAACCGATGGTGGAAAAATTAAACAAAATTTCAATACGTGAAAAAGAGGTTATATATCTTGTGGTCCTGAAACCAAACTATTATCCAGCGCACGATAAGTTTGGTTTAAGATTATTCATTTTACAATATTAATTTTCAATAACAATTAAGCATGACAAAATTGTAAAAAATTGCTTAGGCAAAAAATTCAAGATAAAGTTTTGAGAGATATGTGGTTTCGACAGGTCGGCGTCACAAACCATACAACACATCCTATTTTGTACAAAAATTTTTCCAGAGGTTTGATTTCACGTTACAGTGATGTGAATCTGTTTTCAAGGTCATGAGGCTTATCACCATCTGACTTCTTTTGTTGGGTTTGAATCGTGAGAATCAGTTGATTTACGCCTGAGTTATTGCCAACTATGTGCCTATAAATCATTAAAAATGACCGCCAATGGTTCCAGTTCTGCAAATGTTTCGTTATGTTGATTTTTTTTGTCAAATGTGCCGCGTTTATAACGAAAACAAACTAGAAGGGTTCGAACAGTAATGAAGATACAACAAAAATTTTGATTAATTTATTGAAATTTGATTGACCATATAACATTGTTTCGAGTATTGCCAAGTACTCATATCAGTGATTTTAGGAAATATTCTTTCATGCAAATCATATTCTTTTATGGTACTCGTATCATAAAATAGATTACCCTGTATAATAACTAATTACTACTAAAGCTGGCATAATCTAGGAGTATTTGTACAGAATTCGAATATTTGTAGTAAAAAGATTCTTTCAAAAAATATAACGTCCATTATTGTTCAAATATTTTTCAAATTATTGAGTCAAATAATTATAAAATATAACATTGAGATTCTTTAAAATTAATTTGGTTGGATGGGTCATGTGCTAAGGGAACCATCCAACGAAATATATGCCTAAGCCTTTATACCCTTTACCCTTAAGGTAGCAGAGAGGCGAAAGGGTTCCAAATTAACCTGTCGCAGTTTATCATTCATTAACTGAAATATTAGGAGATGCTATACAAATGTTGTTGAATAATAAAATTAGCAGCACGAACCCAATAAATTTATATCCTAAGCCAATAAAGGCAGCTTGAAAATATCTAATAATATTCAACGATTTGTGTTGTGGTTGCTCTTTGCAGCTGTCATTTGTTCGTGACATAATTATTAATAATAAAAAAACATTAAAAACAATATGTTTTACTCATATAAGTAAGTAATTTATTTAGTTTTAAATTAATATCGGTAATATTTTTATAACTGTTCTTAATAATTATGTATTTTGTTTAGCATTAACACTTATAAATTAGTATGTATATATGTTTTATGCAAGATGTTCTTTTTCCTTTGTAAACTTATAGATCAGGTAAAACTATCGATACATTGTTTCTGTAATAGTTTTGAATTATAGTTATACATATTTTATCAGTGGAGAATAATTAATAATTAAGAATAGTAATAATTATATATATTTTTACATAAAAAGACGCAAAATATATGTACTCGTATATGTTTGTATTTTGGGTTTGTATTGTTTAAAAATTTATCTTTTGTGTAAATATGCAAGTTAAGTTGCTTATACATGCTTGCGTTTGCGTATAGAGATGGGCGCTTGCATTCTGTAAATTTGCAAATCTGACTACTCTTAGATTTTCCATCTTGCAACTTGTTTTCTTGTTTTTTTTTTTTAATAACAATATTTGTAATTTACAAATGAATATAAATTTATATTCGTGTAAAATATTTACCTTTGAGAAGTTTTTTATACTATATAGTTTTCATAACTTTTTTTTATAATTTTTTTTATTTTTGTAGGTACACAGTTTTCTTGTTCTTTTGTATCTTAACAATTTTAAAAATATATTTTGCCTTGTTATATAAAACTTTATTTTAATATTTTTTAATTAAATTAAACAGACTAAATGTCTGCAAATTAGTGTTGTTGTTTCTGTTTTTATTGTTGTTGTTGTTGTTGATGTGTGTGGACTCATATACATTTATGCGTGTATCTGGTAATTAAAAAAACTTTATAATAAAATACTTTTGCTTGTTATTTACTTAATATCTTTAAAATATTATTTTAGTATATGGTCAGTTTTACATATATAAATTTATTTATTTTATTTTTTTTTTTTTTTGAAATTTTATTTCTTTTCCGTTCATATATGTATTTAGAAGCGAGATCAGATATTAATTTTATTAATCGACCGAACAGCATTAACAATACTTTTAATATGGATCTGCAGCTTCTCCAGATGTCCAGATGTTGTTGTATTGGTTTTTTTATTTGTCACGAACATTAATTATCTCTCTTTGATATTAATGGATAGGTATATATATATAAAGTTAATCATACCTACCACGGAGTTTTGAAGTTTTAATTTTTTTGAAGATTTACAGTATTATTGTTTTTATGTTATTACTTAAAATGTGTTTTTATGCAAATTTATACATAATTGAAAATATATTTTAAGCAAATATTTTAGGCGTACACACATACATACGTATGTATAATGACGAAATAGCTTTCTTAGAATATATTAATTATATATATTTAAGTTGTGAAAATATGCGACATTCAATAAAATATTAAATTATAAACATATTGTTATATAGAATGACATTTTTTTTATGATATATACATGTACATATGTTATATATATATTATATATATATATATATATATATACATTTCATAATATAAAACAATATATGACAATTTTTATCTATTATAATATGCCATTAATAAAAATAATATATTGTTATATATAATAATGTGCTTATATAAAAATATTTATAAAATTAGTAATTGTATTGCATTTGATACATTAACGATCATTTTTTGCTTACATTTTTTTTAGGCATATCAGTTGGTGAATTGAATTAATATATATATATATATATATATATATATTATATGAAATTTTGGGACAATATTAATGTTTATATAAGGACTGTAAATCGTGAAAATGTTTGAAGTGGTTCAATTTAATGGTTTGCTATTTGCAAATTAGGATGTTAACCATTTATTTGTTAAATTTAATTTATAAAATATCTGTTTAATATATATATATTACATCTGTTTTATATATATAAAATTTTATAAAACGAAAAAGAAAATATAAAGGCAGTCTTCAACTGATGGTCTTAGGTACCATTGCTGTTACTCATTGCCTTACTATGAAATTTATTGTATTTGTTAGACTTTCAAAAAAAAAATAGCAGTTTTTGTACGGGTTTAAACCAGCATTTCCACCAGGAATCGAACCGTTTAAATCGAACGAAATTTAAGAATTTAAAAACTATATCTATTTATAAACATAAAAATTTGGTTTTTTTTGTACCTAAAAAAGACACATATTTTGACAATCGGAATTGTATGTAATAATTTTTTTGAAATTGAACCGGAATAAAAAAAATGAATAAAAAAATGTTCAGTTCGAAGTTCTTATTTAGATACTTTAATCTTTTTATAATAAGTTTGATACTGTAATTTTCATTTCAAAATATTGTAATAAACTGCATATGTATTAGGTTCCAAAATATTCTCTACTGTGAAATCTAGTTAATATTATTGTTTGAGTTTTGAAAATTGAAGTTGAAATTATTTTGGTTATAAATTATACCAAAATTATACCAATCTTAAATTATATTTAACAGTTTTTAAATTATGATAATTTAACACTCAGAAGAAATCTATATTAAATATAGTTAATTACAAAACAAAACATCAGCTAAAATGCCAACATTTCAGAATTAGAATAAAAAATATGAGTGAAAAAATCAGCTAACTTATAATACCAGAATAAAAAGCAAGAAGAGAAATAACCCCTCTTACGTGTATTACTCCTCTTCCATCTGTGCAGCGGTGAAAATCTCCTCCAGTCAATCTTAAGAGGTGGTTTTAGTGGGTTAAAATGTTACATATTATACAAACAAAAACTAAAAAATAATATATAAGAGTAGGATCGTTTATGTTATACTATTATAAAGAAAATAATCCACCATAAAGAAAGTATACTCTTTTCCGGTCGTTGTGTAAAGTTGAAGTGTGTGTCTAATATTTTTGCAATACAATTATCGAAATATAATTAAATATATTTAATTTATTGAATGTCTACTATGATCTGAAAATTGAATTAGTATTTTTAAATAATAAAATTATTATGTGGCAAAAACATATTTTGTACATTAATACATTCATCTATCATTTTAATCAACATTATTTTCACATTAAGTTTGAAATCGTTACATTTGCAATAACAGTTCTAATCTAAGCATAAATTTATTTTAAAATGTTTGGGCTTTAACGCAAATAAATTACTTTCAACTAACATTTAATATGAACGACACTTACTAAAGTTATTTAAATGATTTCATTTTTAAAATTTATTATTAGTATCGGTGTGTTTAATTATATATTTATTGTATGCTTAATCATTATTTAATTTTTTTTTTGTTTTTTCTTATATTAATTTTATTTTATATTTGCATTTATTTTTTTTTAATTTTTTTTTTTTAATATTTTATAACAGACAACAAATATTTAATGTCGAATTACAACCAGTTTCACTAGTTTAAATATATATAAATTTTGAGATTTAAAATTAAAAGTAAATTCAAATTTTTTTAA